ACCAGCAGAGGCAGAACGACCGTCGGCAGAACACTCAACAGCAGCACCCCCAGAACCAACACCCCAAGAGCGAGAACCCCCTCCAACACCAGCGGCACCCCCAGAAGCCGCAGGACGAACACCCTCCTCCACACCAGCACCCCCAGGGGCCGAGAGCAACGGCGGCAGTGGCGGCGACAGCGGCGACGGCTGCGGCGGCGACGGCGACGGCGGCGGCAGCGGGGTCGGCGACTGCGACAGTGGGGGCGGAGGCACTGGGGAAGGGGGACGCGGCAAGGACGGACCGGGGGTACCACCAGAGTCAGCAGACTCCTCAACGGGGACAACCGACGGGAGGGGAGTGACGTGGGAGACACCAGACGGGGCAGGACGAGGCGGGAGAGGGGCAGGGGCTACCGGGGGAGAGGGAGCAAGGAAAAGGGGGGGGGCAACTGGGAGACCTCGGTGAGGGAAGCGGCGGTAGAAGGAGACGGACTCGTCAAAGGTGACGTCACGAGAGTGGAGGAAGCGGTGAGACGGCGGGTGGTAGAAAAGCCAGTCAGACGAGTCCAGGGGGAAACCGAGGAAGACACAGGGGACAGTGCGGGCAGTGAGCTTGTCCGTGCCAGAGGCACGAACGTGAGCAAGGCAGCCCCAGACGTGGAACGCAGACGCGTCACCGGGGGACCCGGTCCAAAGGAGGGTCGGCGAAACCTGCGGCCGCTGGGAGCGTGGCCACAGGTTAAGCTGGTGAGCCGCGTAGCGAACAGCGAACGGCCACAGAAAATGGGGGGCATCGGCATGGATCATGGAGGTACGGGCGACCTCCATGACCAAGCCGATGCGGCGCTCAGCAACCCCATTCTGCTGTGGCGAGTCCGGCAACGTGTACGACTGGGTGATGCCCTCCGCACGACAGAACTGTCCAAGCCGACCAGAGGCGAACTCGCCGCCACGGTCGGAGTGGAGACACAACACGGGGAGACCGCGGTGGAGACGCGCAGCTACAACCCACGGGAGAAGAACGTCGGGCACGTCGGCCTTCCGCTCCAGGGGAAACACCGTGGTGTAGCGCGTGTAGTCGTCAACGAGCACAAGGAAGTAGCGCTCACCGCGCGGTCCGGGGACGGGGGCAGGGCCCCAAACGTCCAAGTGCAGGGTCTGAAGGGGGGCAGTAGCAGGACGCAGCGAGGAGGAGTGAGGAGCACGGCGGAGCCGACCCTCGACGCAAGGCGTGCACGGTGGCGCAGTCGAGGGAGGAAGGGCAGGGAGCGACGCGGGGAGACCTAAGACAAGACCGTGCTGGGACATGTGACGCAGACGCGGGAGAGCAGGGTGACCTAAGCGGTGGTGCCAGAGAAGGGAGGGGTGAGTGAGGGACCGACACGAGCAAGCTGCAGCGACCTGGGAGGACGCACCAACCGGGGGGGAAGCGGTGTGTAGGGTAAACAGACCGGACACCGGGTCCCGGGGGAACGTCGCAAGGGGGGAACCTGAGACAGCCTCAGAACAGACAGCGAACCGCTCGTGCCCGGGGAACGTGGTGGTGACGCCGAGGTCCTGGAGACAGCCGACACCAACCAGGTTCCTGGAGAACGAGGGAACGTGGAGGCCAGTAAGGGAGCCCGAGGGAACTGCCGGACAGGGAAGGGACGTAGAACTGCGCGCGACGACCGGACCCGCAGAGGGGTCAGCGAGAGAGACAACAGCAGGTGCAGCAAGCGGCGTGAGCGTGGAACGGTCGCGGAAGAAGCAGGCAGAAGCACCAGAGTCGAGAGTGAAGGACAGCGACGCAGTGGCGGAGGCCGCGGACGGAGCCGGTGCAGCGACTAGACTAGGCAACCTAGGCAGTCCTACGCCTGTCGCAGCAGGGGAAGCTAAGCTACACAAGGGTGAAACACCTAAACTAGAGTACACATGGTAGTAAGATCCATCAACACTAGAAGCGTCAGCATACAAAGCATGCAAAGCAGCACCTATCTGATCCATGTCTAACTCAAAGATCGGCACGCCCTGGCGGAGCAGGCTGTGCCAGTCAGGGAGGTCCGGGGCCGGGCCAAAGCGACGACGAAAAAGATCGTCGAGGCGGCGGAAACAGTGGGCGGTCGGGTGCGGGCGGCGGCACAGAGTGCCGCGGAGAGGCCCGGTCTGAAGCTGGTACTGGCAGGTCACAGCACTGGAGCCGCTGGTAGACGCCAAGCTGCGCGGGCCGCCACCACGGCCACCGCCTCCGGAGGTGCCGGGCCAACCAGGCGGGAGACGAGCCCACGGCTGCGGCGGGTGCTGCTGGGACGGCGGCTGCGGCTGGGGCTGGTCCTGCTGCTGCTGGGACTGCTGCTCCTGCCCACCGGTGGTAGTCCCCTCAGGCGGACTACCGTCACCACCACCACGACCACTACCACCTGCGTCACCACCCCTACCTCCCTGGCGGCCACGGCCACCGCGACGCGAGCGCTGCTGCGGGTGGACAGCAGCAGCCGTCTCGGTAAGAGGGGTCGCCGTGGCGACCGCAGCCGAAACGTCAGTGAACGTGCACGGGGATGGGGCACAACCGTGAAAGATAGAGACTGCCGGCGCACCGCTCGACTGAGCGATAGTGCGCTGGCGAGTCTCGATCTCAGTGAGGGTGTCGACAAAGGCGGTCAGGGTGAGGTCACCCGGGTGCTGGCTAAGAAAGTGGTCGCGAGCACTAGCGAGGCGGTCTGGCAGGCGCATAGCAATAAAATAGAGCGTCATGCAGAAAGGAGGGGGGAGCGCAATGAGCTGGGCAGCAGTGCTGGCAGTGCGATAGCGAGTCTCTAGGGCACGCAAATGAGTGGCAAAATCTGCGACAGTAGGGAAGGCAGCCAGGTCTGGGAACAGCATCGGAAAGAGCAAGCGGCCAGCAGAAGCGGAGGCAGGGGTGGAATAGCGAGCAATAACGGCTTCTAAATAAGCTTTGGCCGTTTCAACAGTAGCAAAACGCGAGCGCTCAGACACAGGGAGGGCGTGACTAATAGCAACCTGAGCTACTGCATCGCGTGAGTCCCAGACCGCACAGGCTAGCGCAGCAGTAGAGAAAGCCTCACGGTCATCAGAGGAGGGGTCAGCAGGGAGGGGAGTAGGTGCAGGGGGACGGGGGAGCAAGCCATCAGCATGGACAACCAGAGAGTGGCCATCCTGGCGCTGACGTGTAAGCTGGCGGCGAAGATCGGAGAGCCAGGCGGCGAAGTCAACCGCGTGGCCCTCAGCGTCCAGGCGGAGCACAAAGTCAGCCATCGTGCAGGGTCAGCGGCACAGCTCCTCAGCGACACAGCGGCACAGCAGCACAGCTCCTCAGCGGCACAGGAGCACAGCGGCGCGGGGACACGGCGGCAGCACTCTCCAGTAGGGCAGCAGCTAGGCGTCCCAGCGCAGGCAAGCAGAAGACACAGGGCCCGAGAGGACACGGCAGGCCGAGCAGGGGAGGCGGGCAGGTGCTCTAGGGCCGGGCTGGTGCTGGGAGGGGCCAGGCTGGTGCTGCTGGGGCCGGTCGGGCACGAGGAGGGGCCGGGCAGCGCTGAGGAGAGGCCGGGCGGCGCTAGGAAGGGGCCGGGCGGCACTAGGAGGAGGCCGGGCGGCACTAGGAGGAGGCCGGGCGGCACTAGGAGGAGGCCGAGCGGCACTAGGAGGAGGCCAGGCGGGCGAGCGCTAACAGCAGGCGCGACAGGGGCCAGCGGGCGCGACGGGGCCTAAGGGGCGCGACGGGGCCCAGCGGGCACGACGGGGCCCAGGGGGGGCGCGACGGGGCCGAGGAGTCGCGACGGGGACCAGCGGGCACGACGGGGCCCAGGGGGGCCGCGACGGGGCCTAACGGGCGCGACGGGGCCCAGGGGGGCCGCGACGGGGCCTAGCAGGCGCGACGGGGCCTAGGAAGCGCGAAGGGGCCCAGCGGGCGCGACGGGGCCTAGGAGGGGCGCGACGGGGCCGAACGGGCGCGACGGGGCCCAGAGGGGGGGGACGCGACGGGGCTTAGGAGGCGCGACGGTGCCTAGGAGGCACGACGGGGCTCAGCGGGCTCGACGGGGCCCATGGGGGGGCGCGACGGGGCCTAGGAGGCGCAACGGGGCCCAGCGGGGGCGCGTTAGGGCCTAGGGGTCGCGACGGGACCCAGTGGGCACGACGGGGCCCAGGGGGGCGCGACGGGGCCTAACGAGCGCGACGGGGCCCAGGGGGGGCGCGACGGGGCCTAGGGGGCGCGACGGGGCCTAGGAGGCGCGACGGGCGGAAGCGGTAGGCGGGGGGATCCTAACCTAAGCGTGATACCATGTTAACGTAGAAACGAATGATTACTAGAGGTGGAAACCTAGAACAAATACTAGTTGGTTGTACTCACTAGAAGCATACCTCAGTCTAGCCTATAACTTCTACATAGATAATATGTATAAGTTGACACCTGCTTGCAAGGCCAGCCAGGTCCCAGGCGTGTCTCGTGTTTTATACTTCTGTGTATCAGAATTAGAGAAGTGAATGAATGGTAGAGTGAGAGTACACACAGATATACATAAGTGTTGTACCCTCTAAGAGGTGACCCTATATAGTCTATACAAACATGACAAATACACATGTTTGACACTGTGCACTTTCCTGCATGTCCAGCACACGCAATGGAGCTCACAGTACAGAAGCATTCTTGAGGACCCGCGGAGCTGGCTGTGTTTGGTCTGTGTAGTACTACTCGTAAAAGCCCAAAAAAAGGGCCCTGGGTGTCAGATTAGTGTGAGATTTTTTTGACTCTAAGAGTGGGGTTGTACCCCCTAAGAACTGACCTTATCTGGTATATGAATAATATATATGCTAACTAGGTTATATATATTTGTTGACACTAGGCCTTTTCTAATACCGCTCTCTGAAGGATCTTGTTTTCTCGCACGAGAAGATGGGGTTGTCTGGTATTTTCACCTCCAAAACGTCAGAAGAGACCAAATCTGACACTTGCCACCTGCCCCGATTCCATGAGATGTACCCTCCAATACGATGGCCGCGTGTGCCATTTCCACCCCCATTGGATCTTCCAGATCAAAGACCCAATATACATAAACCTGCACGAATCACTGTGCATCTTTCATTTAGATCGGCATCCTTCTTGTTTCGCTGCATCCAATATGTCAAGTGAACATAACAATGTCAGCAGCTCCTGGTATCACCGCCCTGGCAGCCTTGGCAATGTCAAGCCCGAGGCTGCTTCCTCCCCCGTTCAAACCCCCCATCTGTTTACAGTCACAACACTAGGGTTCCCCGAGGCATCGTCAACTCTAATCAATCTGCGTTCCTAGCGGCCCCCTTACTTCTTCTTGCCAGCAACAGTGACCTTCTTCCCGCGGCGTGTGCGCGCGTTGCACTTGGTGTGCTGGCCGCGGCATGGCAGGTTGGCGATGTGCCTCCTGCCGCGGTAGCACATGATGTCCTTCAGCCGCTTCACCGCCATCAGGTTGAACCGCCTCTGGGAGTGGCCATGCCATACCGCACAAATTGAAGGGGGGGAGGGGGGAGGGAGGGCCCGGGGGGTGGGGGGGGGGGGGAGGGGGAGGGGGGAAAAGGGGAAGAGAGAAGGGGGGGTTGAGACGGATGGATGGATAGATGGGTGGGTGGGTGGATGAGTGGATGCGAGGACATAATAGGGGAGGAGAGATTCGAGGAAAGGAGGGAGAGAAGGGGGAGGGGGGAAGGGGGGGAGGGGAATGGAGTGAGGGATTAAGGGAGTCTGGGAGAAAGGACGGAAGGGAGCGAGCAGAGAGTGATTTAGGGGAGGGAAGTAGGGATGGAGGGGCGAGGGCGGGGGAGGGGAGGGAAGGAGGGAGGGAGGAAGCACGTAGAGTGGTAGAAGAGAAGGAAGAGCTAGCACACCTACACGCTACTCTCGGGGATACCATTGATCAGCCATGCAATAAGAGAATCGGTGCACACCTACCATACCTGGGCCTCAGGCCACAGACAAGGCCACCTCACACAAGGGCACGGTCTCAGCAACCAGATGCAACAATCCAAGGCGTGCTCCAGCTTATGATGACAAAACCTAAATGCACGTTCACTCGTCCCCCCGAGCAATCTGACCTTCGACGCCACCTAAATTCGTAAATACCTTCTCTTCCGCACGGGCCGACCCTGATTTTACATTTTCAGTGCACATCGGGGCCTTAACAATTCGTCCTGGCACTCACCACGTGGCCCTGACACTACCCAGGCTACCCTGTCACTACCCAGGCCGCCCTGTCACTACCCAGGCCGCCGTGGCACTAAGCAGGTGGCGGTGGCACTAAGCAGGTGGCGGAGGCACTCACCAGGTCGCCCTCGGTCATGTACTTGGAGACTTCATCTCTGAGGCGCGTGAGCTCCTCCTCCGACAGGTCGCGCGTGAGCTTGTTCTCCAGCCCCACGTCCAGCAGCACCTGCCGCGCCGTCGTCTTGCCCACGCCGTGGATGTACGTCAGCGACGTCTCCACGCGCTTCGAGTTGGGGATTTCCACTCCCGCCACACGCGCGCATCTCACGGCCAGGCGCGCGGGAGCAGCCACTGCTGGCGACGTCTGCCGAGGGCAACGGGGGTAAACAAAGGAATGGGAGGAAAGAGCGAGAGAAGGCACGGAGAAACGGGAGTGGAAAGAGAGAAAAGGGCTTGGATTTGGAGGAGAACAGCGCAGTAACTTGGGCATGGCTCTGAAAGGATATAGAGACGCGCTAGATTAAATGGCAGCAATGAGGATTACTAGGGCGGGCTAAGCACTAGGCTGCTTGTTCAAACACGAAAGAAGGGCATGTGGTAAGGTCACTCATTCCACCATCCTATGCAACCTTGCTATTTGCTACCCAGTCCAAAACAAGGTGACTCGCGATATGGCGAGACCTACGGCAGTCTAAGCGTCTAAGAGTCAACGAACACTGAAGAACCTTGATTATTACCCTGGAGGCAGTGAGAGAGACTGAAGCAGCGGGCTTGTTCGCCCTCAACCCTGCGAAAGAGCAGGATGTGGCCGAGCCGAGTGACACGGAGGCCAGGGAGTGGGAGAGCTGCGCGATGGAGGCAGCCATGGTGGGAAGCCGGATCGCGCAAATCAGAGAGAGGTACGGAGCGATGTCAGACTGCAACCGAGTTCCTACGTCTAGGGCAAGGGAGTCCCAACAGCCAGTTGGGGCGTTGGCGGGTCAGCGAGTGGAGGGAAGGATGAGTTGCGAAGGCGGAGAGAGGGGGAGAGCTGGCGTGAGGGGGAAGGGGGGTCGGGGAAGCCCAAGGGCGTGGTGAAAAGTGTGCAGAGGTGTGCGTTCTGCCACCTGTTTCCCGTTGATTCGGCACTTGTGGGAGCTGGTGACGTCGACAGGCAAGGAGCTGAGGGCGTTGCTTACGTGGCTCTGGGTATTAAGATTGTGTTGAGGTTGGGGGGAATTTCGGCTTTGTAAAATTAGGGCTTCGCGAGTAGGCATCGGAGAGGAAGAAATGGTTGCCGTAAAATGATGGAATAATGTTCAAAACGGGTAGCCTGGAACTGTAGAGTACAAAACAGAGTTGTGTTTGGCTACCTGCTATCATTCTTCTTGGCTGGGGTCGAACCACCGCTATTATCACCAATGCGGGTACATGCTCATATAATTTCGAGGGATCCGACCGCTGGCTACGGGTAACCTATGTTCCTCTCCGGACGTTAGTCGCAACCCGAGGATGCCTTTATCGAACGTCACCTTCTTCTTTTCCCTTTCCTTGGCTCAGAAATTCTTTCCTTCCACTTCTCTCTCCACCCCACTCGAGCCTCTCTGCCTTCTGGGCTGCGTTGGGGTTTAGTCGCCTACCTTCTCCATCAGAACCCTCGGCCCATCTGCCACCATGGTGCGAAGCTTTACCTGTGTTAGGGCCGTAGACTGCGATATGATAGTGATCGGTTTTCTAGTTTCGTCGTAATTTGATATTGGAGTTGGTGTTGGATTTCGTGTCGCGAGGTCTGGCGTGCTGGATGGGCGTTAGGTTACCGGATGGCTTCGTTCTCAGGGTCATTTGATTTGATGTTATGGTTCCCTACATATTACTTGTTGATGCTGGAAGCTGCTGTGATGTAGTGAGCTATGGAGATAGGCACGCTCGACGTCCTTCGTCTACTATTGTGTGACTGTAGCTGTTTCTGGAGCAGCAGTCTTCTAATAGTGATGTTTACGCATCCCTGATTACTTATAGTTGTCGATCCGTCTGGCCCCGTTCAGGTTCTCTCTAACGACATTGATCTGCTGCATCCGCCAGCGGAGCTGGAGAAGCGTAAGCACAAGATGAAGCGCCTCGTACCGACACCGAACAGCTTCTTCATGGTGAGTTGATTGCGTATTGGCGGTTCAGCTATGTTACTGGTCTTTGTCGTAATCTCAGGTCTGATCCTGATAGAAGTTGTCAAATTCCTTCAAGGCTTAGTCGTTATTCTTTTGGGCTTTTCTCTGCGCGTTTCCAGCGGCATGCTGTGTCTACTAAAGCATGATTGCCTCGCGTGGGCCATCGTACTCTCTGTGTTGTCTTCTATGTTCCAACTGCTTTCTTCGATCCCGTATGGTGCCCACCTGTTGCAAACCTCCTTTTATCTCCTGCTTTCTCTATCTGCTCTCTTCTCCCCCATCTCTCCTCTTCCTCCCTCCCCCGCCTCCTTTTACTCCTCGAAGTCCTCTCTGCTTGACCCCGTCCGTTTCTCCTGTCCTTCGCATCCCATCTCACACGTGATTACGTATGATTTGACCTATGGATTTTCACCCCTTTTTTGCATGTGATGCAGGATGTCAAATGCCAGGGCTGTTTCAACATGTAAGTTCTTGCACCGTTATCTTGAACAACGTCTGCCTACCTGCTTTCCATTATGCCTCGTCCCTGACGTCATGTTCTTTGTAACTTCTTGCCTTTCATTGGCTGGTTGCAGCACCACGGTGTTCAGTCACTCTCAGACCGTTGTCCTATGTGGCTCCTGCTCCACGGTCCTTTGCCAGCCCACTGGTGGCAAGGCTCGTCTTACTGAGGGCTGCTCGTTCCGCCGGAAGGGTGATTAGAGGGGCAATGCGCTGCCTTGTGATGGCTTGTCCTGATTAGTTCCGGTAAATGTGTCCTCGTTTCATCAGCTGCCTATATGTGGCTGCCTTTCATTCCCATCTGATGTTGGATGTGTAAGGGAAAGAGTGGTAGCAAATTGAAAATGTAACGGCAGTAGGAAGTCAATCATTTGGCTCATTTTCTCTGGCTTGTTTGACAGCTCTGCAAAATGGACTTTTTAGTGTCACATTTCATTAGAGAAAGCAAGTTGCGGATATTATACTAGCGTTAGCCGGTAGAGAAGTATGTTGCCCGACGTGTAGCCCACTGAGCGAATTCTCCTCATTCTTGGCTGGTGGAGGGAGTTGATGGCAGCTTCAGCCGCGAGAAGGGAAATGATTCTGTTGCAGCTGTTTGCTGACGTGACGTCCCATTCAGCGCGCTGTGTCTCGCACTTTCAGCCCCCCACACCCCCTCCCAACCCCTTGGAGTTGTCGCACATGTACCTCCGTGACTTGTGCAGGCGAAGACCGCCAAGGAGCAAGGAGAATGTAGCCAAGCACAGGGAATCTAGTTTGCAGTATTGCGCTGATCGTCCCTACTTCCTTGCAAATTCCAGAAGTTCTGACGTAGGCAGCAGCAGGAAATATCTAGCTAGGGTGAGCTGGGCCGCTTGGGCCGCTTGGGCTGCTTGCTTGGGCTGCTTGGGCTGTTTTACCAGACATGTCTGCATGATCCCGTCAGCCAGCAGCGCGCTGCGTGCTAAACCCTCAACTCCTCGACAAAAGTCACGCAGCTCATTCCCGTCCTTCCTACCCACCCCACCCTGGTTAATTACCGTACACTCTAGTCACGTTCTTACTTAGCTGCGTCATGCCCTTAGCCATCCGAGCGGAATGGCGTGATTGTACCGCGGACGCTATCAGGTAGCGTCGCAATCAGCACGACGCACTTTCGTTTGACTACGGTGCATAGAAGAAGCGAACAATAGTAGACTTCCCCGTGAAGCAGCAACCTCCTCGACCGACACCCGTTGCTCCAGTCGCATGACCCGCAATCTCTTCCGGTTTCGCCGTTCGTCGCTGCAATCTGTCGCACACAACCCGACTTCCTTGCCCCCGTTGCGACTAAAGAAAAAAACCACTTCACAGCGCGCCATTATTGGTGAATGCCGCCCATGGCCGGGAGTGGCGCGGCCGTGTCCACCGCTGCACCAAGCACCTCGCAAGCGCTAATGGGCGACAGCAGCACAAGAGGGCAGGACAGAGGTAATTGCATGCCTAGCAAGACAACAGATTATCTCTTATGATCTCTTTTGCCATTGCTCGGTCCCTTTCTCGCCTGATGTATTTCTCCGGCGCGCTTCTTCCTCCTGGCTCTCTTCGCCATCTTTCTTCGCAAACCCTCTTCGCAAGCCCTCTTCGCGAACCCTCTCGCGAACCCTAACCCCGTGCGACTCCGCTCTCCATCTTTCCGTCTTTCCGTCTTTTCGTGTGGGTCCGTCAGAGCGCGAGATGGAGGTGGGGCTGGAGGCGCTGCTCCGCGAGCTTTACGAGCTCATGTGCCCGCGCGAGCCCGACTACACCGTGCGCCTGGAGCTCGTCGACCGCATCAACATGCTCGTCGCCTCCGTGCCCGCCTGCAAAGGTGAGGCGAGATGAGACGGACAATGCGAGAGGCAGAGGCAGAGGCAGAGCATGCCGGGATATTTACATGGGCCCGACGAGGTTAGATGGTCCTCGCGAGGTCAGACGGGCTTGGCAACGTGAACGAGCAAGTCTTTGATGGAAGTTTATGAGGGTGGTGAGGCGCAGTGGTTCTATCCCTGCTCTCGTAGCTCTCCCTCACGGACCGCGCCGAAGAAACACCGCCGCACATCTGCAGCTCCCATTTTGCCTTCCCAGCTCCCCCCCGCTCTCCCTGTTCCCCGTTCTTTCCCTGCGCTTCTCCCGCCCCTGTCCCCTCTACCCTCACCCCTCACCCCTCTCCCTTCTCCCCTCTCGCCCCACCCCTCTCACCCCTCTCCCTTCTTCCCTCTCGCCCCACCCCTCTCACCCCTCTCCCTTCTCCCCTCTCTCCCCTCTCCCCTCTCGCCCCTCTCCCCTCTCCCCTCTCGCCCCTCTCCCTCTCCCCTCCCCCCCCCACCCCTCGCCGCTCGCCCGTCGCCCCTCTCCCCTCCGCTCGTGCAGGCATGGATGTGGTCCCCTCCGCTTCGCCCCGGACCTCTTCTCCCTCTGGGGCGACCTGGACCTGTCTCTGGAGGGCGAGTACCGCAGGAGGTGATTTTGACTAAATTTAAAATCACCACTCCCCTCTCCCCACCCCCCTCTCCCCTCGCCCGCCCCCTGTGCAGGCATGGAGGTGGTGCCCTTCGGTTCGTTCGCGTCGGACCTCTTCTCGCCCTGGGGCGACCTGGACCTGTCTCTGGAGGGCGAGTACCGCAGCACGGGGGGCAATGGCTTGCGGCGCCAGGGAGTCAACATACTCCATGCCATACACCACCGCCTGCTGCTCACAGGTACGCCGTCTATGCCGTCTACGCCGTCTAAGCCGTCTATGCCGTCTATGCCGTCTCACCCTCCCCCGTTCACAGCCTTGCTTCCGATAGTGGCTCCCCATAAGCGGCCATGCTGTTTCGTTCCCGTTCGCCTGTCCCCGAGGTTCGTTGCTGTTTGCTCTCTCGCCCTCTCTCCCCCTCGCTCCCGCTCCCTCTCCACCATCGCTCCCCATCCCTCCCCTCCCCACCTCTCCCCCTCGCACCCCCTCGCACCCCCTCGCACCCCCTCGCACCCTCTCGCCCCCTCGTGCGCGCGCAGGCATGGCGCGCGGCGTGCAGATCGTGGCGCACGCGCGCGTGCCGCTGGTGATGTTCACGGACGCGGCGACGGGCATCGCGTGCGACCTGTCCGTGGGCAACGGCTCGGGCGTCTTTAAATCCACCGTGATGCGCGCGCTGCTGCGCTTCGACGCGCGCTGCCGCCCACTGCTCTTCCTCGTAAGCCGCTAAGCCCTTCCGCTGCTGACTTGTTCCCCCTCGCCTCCCCTCGCCTCCCCTCGCCTCCCCTCGCCTCCCCTCGCCTCACCTTGCCTCACCTGACCTTGCTGTTTAGCCTGCTTGCTCAGTCTTGATTTTTTCCTTCAGCCCTGACGTACTCATCAACCACCACTGCACTGTTACCCTTCCGCCGTTGCGGCTGCACCTTCTCCTCCCCCTCCTTGCTGTGCTGTGCATGCACTTTGCGCGCAACTCAATTCCACCCATACTACGCAACTTTTCCCTGGCCCGGATCTCGCTTCCTTTTCCGTGACCTCGTTCTCCAATGTCATACGGCCCCCCTCCCCCCTCCCCCCTTCCCCCCCTCCCTTCCCTCTCTCCACCCTCCATCGTCCCCCGCATGATCCCTCTCCACACTGTCGTGCTCGTTCTCCCCTCATACCCCCCCCCCCCCCCTTCCCCTCTCTCCACCGTCCATCATCCCCCGCATCGTCCGTCTCCACACTGTCGTGCTCGTTCGCCGGCGCGCAGGTGAAGGTGTGGGCGAAGGCTCAGGGCATCAACGACCCCAAGTCGGGGTCGCTCAACTCGTTTGCGCTGGCGCTGCTCGTCATCTTCCACCTGCAGACCGTGCACCCGCCCATCCTGCCGCCCATCCGACACATCCTGGGACGCCGTGAGTCATCCCCGCTGCTGTTGGTTCTCGCGTAAGCACACCGTCGACTAGTTATTTGCTGCTTGTGCTGTGATATCTGCCGCGTCACCGGCTCCGGCACGCCTGCTTCTTCCCGCCCTGCTGCAGAGGCCTGCGTTTCTCCATCATGCTCCTCATATCTCTCCACCGCTCTTCCGCATGTGTGCGTGTGCGTGCGTGCGTGGGTGTGTGCGTGTGAGCGTGCGTGCGTGCGTGCGTGCGTGTGCGTGTGCGTGCGTGTGTGCGTGCGTGCGTGCGTGTGCGTGAGTGTGCCTGCGCGCGTGTGTGCGTGTGTGTGCGTGCATGCGGCACCACCAGTGGAGAGCATAGACCAGAAGGCGGTGAGGCAGCAGCGCATAGCGGAGTGTGAGGGGCGCGTGGCGCGCATGATTGAAGCGAGGGACAGCGGTGACGGCGGCGAATGGCCGGGTGCGGCCGGAAAGAACAGCAGCTGCGTGGCTGTGCTGCTCGCATCCTTCTTTGCTAAGGTGTGTGCCTTCTCCTCTCTGCTCTACCCGGCTCTACCCGGCTCTGCCCGGCTCTGCCCGGCTCTGCCCGGCTCTGCCCGGCTCTGCTTGCCGTTAGCTCTTATTTTCTGGTTCATCAGCTGTTGTTTTCATAACATACCTCCCCCCCTCCATCATTAATCCCCTGTCCTTCCCTCTCCCTCCCCCCTCCCCCCCCTCCTCCCCCTCCTCCCCCTCCTCCCCCCCTCCGCCCCCTCTTCCTCCCCCCCTATCCGCGAGCGCAGTACGATGCAGTGCGGGAGCAGTGGGCGCAGGGGCTGGCAGTGCGGCCGCTGACGGCGCAGTGGGGCGACCTCTCAGACACGCACTCGTCCTTCGCCCAGCGCAGCTACTCCATGATCGTGAGTCGTGCAGGAAGAGAGACAGGGGGAAGTAGGAGATTGGAAAGAGGGGAAATCGGAATCTGGAAGGGAAATAGGGAATGGGAAGAGGGGAAATAGGGATTGAGAAGAGGGGAAGAAGAGGGCAACCTTTCTGGAAGAGGGCAGATTGGGAAGTGGGGAATAAGGATACGAAAGAGGATGGGCCGTCATTTTGTTCGTCCCTCCAACCCAACCCACCTCTTCCCTTACCTTCCCTTCCCCTCCCTTCCCTTACCTTTCCTTCCCTTCCCTCCCCTTCCCTCCCCTTCCCTTCCCTTACCTCCCCTTCCCTTCCCTTCCCTTCCCTTCCCTTCCCTACCCTCCCCATCCCTTCCCTACCCTCCCCCTCCCTCCCCCTCCCTCCCCCTCCCTCCCCTTCCCTCCCCTTACCTCCCCTTCCCTCCTCTCCCCTTCCCCTCCCCTCCCGTCCCTTCCCTTCCCTTCCCTTCCCTTCCCCAGGTGGAGGATCCCTTTGACCTGCGTGAGAACTGTGCTCGGTCCGTGCAGCTGCAGTCCTTCCCCGCCGTCTGCAACGCCTTTGCTGCCGCAGCCCGTGCCTTCTCCCCCCTCCCACCCGCCCACTCCCTGCGCGACCTCCGCCTCGCTCTCTTCAAATGGCACCCGGGCGAGCCCCGACCGTCCTTCACCACTTCCCACCCCCACGGACCCATGCCCGTGAGATTCAACCGCGGGTATCAGGGCAGGATGGGGCCGGGAGGGGCAGGAGGAGGGGTTGGGAGGAGTCCAGGTGAGGATTGGGTGAGAGGGGGCGGGTTTGGGCGAGGAATGGTGAGTGTGGGGAGGGGGAGGGGTTTGCACCAGGCTGCTGCGGCTGCGGGTGCGGCTGCTTCAGCGGCTGCTGTTGCCGCTGCTGCGTCTGCTCCAGGGATGATTGGGGGGCCTGTTGGTCGGAATAGCAGGGGAGGGAGGGGGCTGGCTGCAGTTGCAGCTGCCGAGCTCTCTCCTAGTGCTGCAGCTGGTGGGGACGCGGGAGTTAGGGAGGCGAGAAAGCAGGGCGGAGGAGAGAAGGCAGGAGAAGGAAATTCGCAGGAAAGACAGAAACAGCACCAGCAGCAGCAGTCGCGTCCAGGCGGAGAGCAAGCAGCAGCACAGGCGTCCTCTGCCTCGTCCACATCCGTCCCCTCCCTCCTCTCCACTCCTCACAGACCCCAGCCCCAGGACCCATTCCCCCCTCTCCAGTCCTCGGCTCCTGCTGCGCCAAACACTCTCAACTTCCCTCTCAATCTCCCCTATCCCCTCCTCTCAGCCACCGCCCCACGAGCAGTCAACCCATACCTAGCGCCTCACCAGCTCCACAACCCGGCTTTCCCAGGCATGCGGTTTGGCCAGGGGGGCTACCCCCCTCTAGGGCTTGCTGCATCACACCTGAACCCCCATGGGCTAGCTCCCCTGGGTCCTGGGCTGGCTGCAGTTCTTAGTCTCGCCCGTCCCTCCCTCGGGCCCCCGGCTCCCCTGGGATATCCTGGCTTGAGAAGTGATTACCCTGCGGCAGCTGGGGCTGCTGCTGCCACTGCTGCTGCTGCGGCTGGGCCGATGCCTTCCTTTGCTGCGGCTGCGGCTGCGGCTGCGGCTGCAGGCGTGGCACGTGGCGGAGGAAGCAATGGTGCTGGTAGTGCTGATGATGCTGCTGGTGGTGCTGCTGGTGCTGCTGTTGGCAGCAGCAGCACCGCCAGCTTTGGCAACGCGAATGCAGGGGAAGCAGTGGCAGTGGCCGAGGCAAGGAGCAGCGCAGGGGGGGGAGAGGCAGCGAAGGCGACGGGAGGGGTGTCGTGGAGTGTGTCTGGGGACAGGAGCCATGGCGTGCTGAGAGACAGAGGTGTTGTGAAGGCTGCAGAAGTGGGGGGGGGAAGGCGGATTGCAGCAGCAGCAGCGGCTAGGATCACCGGACAGTTTAGTGAGCTGTCCTTGAGCCAAGAAGAGGGGAGGAAAGAGGTGGTGAACATGGTGGGGAGGAGAGAGGAGCAGGACGGAAATGCGACAATGGAGAGTGAGAAAGGTGGAGGAGTAGGGGGGGGTGCGAGGATAGAGGCGGAGGGGAATCAGCAGCAGCGGGATGAGAAGCACGCAGAGGTGGTCGCACTGACCTTGCACTCGCAGAGCCAAGTGCAAGGAAAGGGGAAGATAGTCGGTGTGACAGATACAAGTGTGGCAGCAATAGGCACAGCACACTCGTCTGAGGTTGCAGGCACAGGAGAAACTAATGTGGTTCGCCCTGCTCCTGCTCCTGCTCCTGCCCCTGCTCCTGCTCCTGCTCCTGCTCCTGCTCCTGCTCCTGCTCCTGCTCCTGCTCCTGCTCCTGCTGCTGCTGCTGCTCCTCCGGCTCCTGCTGCTGCTGCTGCTGTCGCAGGTGCTGCTTCTCCTCCTCCCTCTGCAGCCGCTGCCTCTGCTGCTGCTTCTGCTGCTGCTTCTGCTGCTGCTGCTGCTGCTACAGCTCCTAGGCAGTCCCCAGTCACATCCACTCTGGTTGCGCCCGCCAATAATCTAGGTCCGGCAAGAGGAGGCGGTAGGGATGGAGCAGCAGGGGCAAGGGGCCGAGGGGAAAGGGGAGGCCGGAGGGGCGGGAGAGGAGGAAGGGGTGCCATGGTGTCGGCTGACTCTGTTGCAGCAGCTCATGCTGCTGTCTCCAGAGCTACCATTGACGCAGGACACAACACAGGTGGCAGGGAAGCAACTGCAGCAGCACCTGCAGCAGTAACAGCAGCAGTGCCAGCAGCAGTAGTGCCAGCAGCAGTAGTGCCAGCAGCAGCTGCAGCAGCAGTGAGTGGTGAGGCAGGGGTGGAAGAAGGCTTTGACGGTGGTCGGCGGGGGAGGAGTAGGCCAAGGAAGGGGAGAGGGCGAGGAGCGCAGAGAGGAGGGGCGAACGGGGCAGGTTACCATGGGGATGAGGCATGGGCGGACACAGAGTCAGAGCGGAGAGAGCAGCCCCCACCACCGCCCAGCCAGGCTATGTGGTCGTGGGGAGGACAAACGGGAGTGGGGGGGGCACAGGGCGGCAGACAGGCGGTGCCACAGGGGGTAACACAGGGCGGACAGGGACCAACACAGGGACAAGGAGGGATGCAGGGTGGACAGGCAGGGGGGCAGGGAGGGCAGGAGAGGCATGGGGCAGGGCGAGGAGAATGGAGGCAGCATGCTGGGTGGCAGGGTCGTGGTTGGGGGAGGCAGGGGCACGGGCACGGGCAAGGGTATGGCTATGGCGCAACACAGGGAACCATGCAGGGTGGGAGAGGTGGAGGGGTGCAGGGACAACAGCAGAATGGGTACCAGGGAGGGCAAGGAGTTGTGGTGAGTGGAGCAAGTGCTGGTGCTGGTGCTGCTGGTGCACCAAGGAGGAAAAGAGGGGGGAGAAAGGACCAAGTGTGGAAGGAGAAAGGAGGCGGGGAATAAATGCTTTTGCTGTAACGCTATACTGGACTTGAAGGTGGCTTGATCATTGCACCGCCCTCAGAGATGGTGCACGTTGCAAGTTCTGTACTTGCAATTGGAGATGTAGAGATTCAGCACAGCTGCAGCAGTGTGTGGTGATGAGATCTTGGTTTGATTCTGAACGTCAGATTTCCCCATGCTAGTTTCTGCTCAAATCTTCCCTCCTGTAAATTGTGAATGTTGTGTAGGTCAGTCAGATGTGCAGTTTATCCATGCATGTCATCCGTGCTCGTGGCCACTTGTATTATCAAATGTGTGATTTATAGAGACAGGACAGGCCCATCTTACGTATATGGGTGTGCGTGGACCTGATTTTTTTTTTCTGAAACACATTTGTGAAGAAATTCTGAAATTGAAAGTGCTTATTGTAAGCAGTTGAGAGGTCTTGCTTGTTACACGGTGACATTACACGGTCTTGCTCAGTTCTCAGCAGCCCACCGCCGTCACCAAAAAAAGGGGCACCACCCTCGTTTTGAGGGCTACGTTTGAGCTGGAAGCCTGGTTCTTTCCACTCCAGGTGAAGTCCTATCGGCAGCAGCCACGTCAGCTACAGGCTGCAAGGACATTGAGTCAGCTGTTTCACGGATAACTCCCCAAATCTGCTTCATTCCTGGTCAGTAAAGGTGGCAAATCGGGGACGTTTTACATCGTTAGTCCTAAATAATCGAAACAGAAATTGTTTTCCCACTGCTGCTCTGACGGGTTTGAGGAGAGTAACCTGGAGCGAAGGTAAACAGCCCATACCCGAGCGAAGGTGAACAGGCGCAGGCCGAAATGCTTATGTTAGCATCCGAGCTCCCGTAGCATCGAGCCCATCAAACAGCGGATTCTTTCTGGAAAGCACTCGTTAAGACTTTAAAACCCGGGTCATTGCCCGTGAAACATGCGCCAACATTGCGGCTGCTCGTGCTGGTCCCTCGTGCCCCTCCCACCCCTCCACGCACCCGCCCCCTTGGAGGGGCATTTACGGGGCTGGCAGCACATTGTCAGCCATTACGGCCCTCACACACTGCACTCGTCAAAGTCACAGACTGCCTGCCCTCATTTCTTGCTTTCTGAAATCTTGATTTATCTTTAGCTCACCAGCACCACCACCACCGCTGGTCACCACCACCACTCGTCGTCACCACCTCGCTGCTCCTCCTCTTCCAGTCGCTCCTTCACCGCTTCTCCGCGCCCTCCGCATTCTGCTCGACGCCGCACATGGCGCGGCGGGGGTACGCAGTGCGCGCAGCGGCACTTGCGCGCGTCTTAGTGCTGCTGCACTGCGCTTTCTTGGCCGTGGGAACGCCCATTGCTGCATCCCAAGGTCAGCCGCACATCATGATTTCCACCGCGACGTTATGCCCTGCGATTATGTGACATTGTAACGAGGTGACTTTTGAGTCGACTCAAAAGTCACCTCATCGTTCTTTCCACCGCGATGTTACGCCCTGCGATTACCATTCACCACGCGCAAACCGAGGCGCGTCCTCGAGACGTCTCAAACTCGGTATTGCCAAATCAAATGTTGCAATATTGCCGTTCCACATCGTCTCGAAACTATATTGCGCCTTCCGGCAATGCCGCTGCACTTTCAACTCTCCTCTTGCACTCCCCCTTCCATCCTTCGCTTTCCGACCCCTTCCCCGCGCGCTAGCCCCTTCCGGCTCGCGCCTCCGCACGCCATCTACGCGCGTACCCAGCCCCCCCCCCCCTCTCCCCCTTGTTACTCTCCGTCCCCGTCCCCTCGTTATGAATCTCTCACTTCTCTCTTTAACACCCTCCTTCTGTTGCCTCGGTATACATCCCACCTCGGACCGGCATTCTCCGCGTTTCACGGCGTCACCTTTGCGCGGCAGCGGCGGTGCTGGCGGACTGTCAGAAGGCCTGGGGGCAGACGTTCTCCGGATGGTCGGCGGGGTCGGACTGCGCGCAGGCGGCGGGGCTGACGTGCGACAAGCAGGGCATGGTCACCTCCATGTGAGCCCCTCTGCACTCCTGCGCGGCCCTCCGCCCTCCGCCCTCCGCTGCATTCCTTGTTGCAATGTAGTAGCGTTGTGCGGTTTGGTGTTGTCGGAATCACCCATCCCTTCCCTTCTCTTCTCTCTCTCCCTGGTTGCTGCACGAAGAGTCGAAGAACCCCGCATCTTCCCCGTCGTCGCCACTCATCATGCATCGCCATGGTCGCCATAATCGCCATGATCGCCATGATTGCCATGATCGCCATGATCGCCATGATCGCCATGATCGCCATGATCGCCATGATTGCCATGATTGCCATGATCGCCATGATCGCCATGATCGCCATGATCGCCATGATCGCCATGATCGCCATGATTGCCATGATCGCCATGATTGCCATGATTGCCATGATTGCCATGATTGCCATGATCGCCATGATCGCCATGATCGCCATGATCGCCATTCCCCCCGCCGTCCGGCATATCCTATTCGTCCTCGCCCTCCCCTGACAAAATGGGCCTTCTCATGGAGTCAAGCCATGCCATCCGTGTATGTGCCCGTGCATGTGCATGTGTGCATGTGCATGTGTGCATGTGTGCATGTGTGCATGTGTGCATGTGTGCATGTGTGCGTGTGTGATGTGTGTGTGTGTGCTGGTGTTGCCCCTTGGCGTGGCAGGAAGATGGCGTATGCGGGCCTGAGCGGGAGCATCCCAGAGAGCATCAGCGGGCTCAGTCAGCTCACCGACTTGTAAGCGCCGTGCCGTGCCTTGGTGCTGCACGCACTCTCACATGCCTCCATGCCTCCATCCATGCCTCCATCCATGCCTCCATCCATGGGCATCCATCCATGCATCCATCAGTGCATGCACTCACAGCGCGCGTTCCCATGTATGCACGCCGCCTGAGTTTGGGCTGGCAATCGCTAGTCACTATCACATTCTCAACGCATGCCTGGCTCACTACGCCACATAGCTTCCTCGCTTGACAATTTACAATTTACAACCTCCGCTCTACGCGTTCTCTCCCCCCCTTTCCTCCCAACCTTCCCCCCTTGCGTCGTGTTTGCCGTTGGCTGTCCGCAGCGACCTGCTGATGAACAACATGACGGGGCTCATTCCAACCACCATCACCGCCCTCTCCAACCTGCAAATCATGTCAGTCGCCATGCCATCCCATGCCATGCCATGCCATCCCATGCCATGCCATGCCATGCCACGCCATGCCATCCCATGCCACGCCACGCCATGCCATGCCATGCCATGCCACGCCATGCCATGCCATGCCATGCAGGGCCACACCCCCCAAAGCTGGTGTTCGCATCGCACCACCTTCTCAGGGTCCACGCTTCCTTGCGTCTGTGCACCACACATCACCTCACCGCACGGTCACTCCTCACGTCCGTTATTCACAAGTCTGGAATCGCATACGAATCACTCGTCTCGCATTTGATATTCGACTCGAACCTCGACGAGGGGGGAATAAGGTTAGCGACTGAAAGAGGATGAAAACCACAGCTGTTTTTTTTCTCAAGCTTGGTTACGGTAAGTACTAACGACGTAACAGTGAGAGCAAGGCATTTGTATTCGATCCATTCCGATCCGTTCCATCCCGACAGACAATCGCTCGAATACGAATTGACTTCCCGTCCCTGCCATTTACTTACACCCCTCTGTCTTTCCTGCTCTCCCCCCCCCTCTCCTCCCCTCTTCCCCCATGTGTCCCCCCCCGCGCCCGCGCAGGAACCTCGGCTCCAACATGCTGTTCGGCCCCGTGCCCACTGTCTCCACCCTCTCCACCCTCTCCTACCTGTGAGTGCGCTCACTGCCGCTCTGCCGCCCTGCCGCTCTGCCGCCCTGATGCTCTGCCGCCCTGCTGCCGCCCTGCTGCCCTGCTGTCCTCCCTGGTTCCCTTCCTCTCTCTTCGTCTCGCTTTCCTTCACTTCCTCGCACCACAGTCTCGCATATCCATGCTCATACTCAAGTGAGTCCAAACGGTCCACATTCTCCCATTTTCCCCCCCCAACCCCCATTTCCCTTCTCCTCCCCCTCCCCCCTTCCCCCCCTGCACCTGCGCAGCAATCTGGCATACAATTTGCTGTCTGGCGAGCTGCCGGCTGCCATCCATCCCAGCCTCAAAACCTTGTGAGAGCCCTCTCCGCCCTTCGTATAACCACAGAGAGGAATATATTGAGGGGTGTAGAGGGGATATGGAGGGGTGTAGAGGGGATATGGAGGGGATATGGAGGGGTGTAGAGGAGATATGGAGGGGATATGGAGGGGATATGGAGGGGATATGGAGGGGTGTAGAGGGGATATGGAGGGGATATGGAGGGGATATGGAGGGGATATGGAGGGGATATGGAGGGGATGTCCACCGTCCGTCATGCCCGGTTCCAACCAACATCGTTCCACCATCCTCCTCCTCTCACCCATACCATCCCTTATAATGGTCTCCGTTCCATTCTCTCTTCCAATATGTCCTTGTCTTTCTCTCTCAAGCGGTCCTTGTATAGCTGGAACTCTACGTACAATCTCTCTCTCTCTCTCTCTCTCTCTCTCTCTCTCTCTCTCTCTCTCTCTCTCTCTCTCTCTCTCTCTCTCTCTCTCTCTCTCTCTTTCTCATTCTCTTTACAACCGACCAGCGCCTGTCATCTCTCCCCCTGGCCCCACTACTTTCCCCCACGCGGCTCTCCTCAGGCGACTCCTCCACAACAACCTGTCGGGCTCGCTGCCGGCCACCATTGGGACCTTCTCACACCTCACTCAACTGTACTCCCCCAAGCTGCCTTTCCGCCCTTCCCATTCCGCCCTTCCCATTCCGCCCTTCCCATTCCGCCCTTCCCATTCCGCCCTTCCCATTCCGCCCTTCCCTAAACCTGTCATCCTGGCTGGTTCGGAATTCTAATCCGTCCCTTCCTGTTCCGCCCTCCCCAGTGCGCTCATCCCTATGCTTGTCGTCCCCACCACTTTTATAGAAGCTCCCTCATTGGCCTGTGCATCGCCCGTGCATTCATTCTCACCTCCCCCTCCCTCTCCTGCTCCCCTTGCCCGCCACTGCCCGCCATTGCCTGAGCCTCACAAGCTCTTGAATCTTGCCAACTTGTATTCACACCTCCTCACCTCAACCCACCCCTTAACCTCCCATCATATGCATTTCCACCCCATCCCATCCCATCCCATGCCATGCCATGCCATGCCATCCCATGCCATGCCATGCCATGCCATCCCATCCCATCCCACCCCATCCCATCTCCCACCATCCCATCTCCCCCCATCCCGTCTCCCCCCGTCCCATCTCCCCCATTCCATCTCCCCCCCCATCCCGTCCGTCTCCCCCCATCAGCGATGTGTCATTCAACAAGTTCGCCGGATCTCTGCCTGCTGACATCAGCAACCTCACCAGTGCTGCTGTCCTGTGAGCTTCCTCCTCGTCACGTGCACTATCCACACTTGCATTGTCGCTCTCCCCTCTCTCCCCTCTCTCCCATCTCTCCCCTCTCTTCCCTCTCTCCCATCTCTCCCCACTCCCCTCTCTCCCCTCTCTCCCCACTCTCCCCTCTCTCTCCTCTCTCGGTTTGCTTACTTCAGCAGCTGCAGCTTTCGGTGCTCTCAATCTCACTTCACATGGAACAAGCTCTCCTGCTGATTCTGGCTAATAGCAACTTCTGTGTGTGTGCATTATGCATGCGTACGTGCATATGTGCGTATGTGTACATGTGTGTGTGTGCATATGTGTGTGTGTGTGTTTGTGTGTGTGTGTGTGTGTGTGGGGGGGGGGGGGGGGGGGGGGGAGCTCTCATGCACCAGGGAGCTGTGTTGCAACACCTTGAGTGGCACGGTGCCCGACGCCATCTCCACCCTCACCAACCTAGAGTTCCTGTATGCTCGTCCCTCGCCCTCCCACACTGCTCCCTCCACACCTCGCTACTCTCCCCACACCCACCTACCCTCTTCCACGCCTCCCTGCTGCCCCCAAACCCCCACCTAACCCCCCACACCCTCCATGCACCCACCACTGCAGCCTGAGTCTGTTCAGGGAAGCGCCAGTCAACCATCCATCTTCTCGGCTATGTGCTCCATACATGCCCCCCATTCTGCGTTTGATCTGCTGAAAGCATTCACCTGCAACAACCCTCCCTCACCCTCACCCTCACCCTGCATTCTCCCTGCATGGTTTCCTCCCCTCTCCCCCCTCGTTCCCCTCTCCCCCCTTCCTCACCTCTCTCCCCTTCCTCTCCTCTCTGCAGTGACCTGGGTGACAACAACTTCACCGGCCCCTTCCCCCCGGCGATCTTTTCGCTTTCCAATCTCAGGGACCTGTATGTGGCATGAGAAAACCAAGCCACACACCACCATGCAGTGCCATGCCATGCCATGCCATGCCATGCCATGCCATGCCATGCCATCTTTGTGGTGTGGCGCCATCAGCTGCCATACCATCCAGCGCAGTGCAACCAACCTCTTTCAGCCGCTGAGAGCGACCTACAGCTTGCCTGTGCTTGCGTGTGAGTCCGGAATTCTTGTATTGAAAGCCATGTTCGCATTCCGCCCGTATGCACTGCACGCACATGCACATGCGCATGCACATGGCGCTCACGTGCACATCCCCCCCACATGCACATTCCCCTCACATGCACGTTGCACTCACTCACATGACTCACGGTGCTCCTCCCCACTGATCAGGTCGCTGTACGACAACAAGTTTGAGGGACCGGTCCCCAACGCCATCACCACGCTCACCAAACTGAAGGACCTGTAAGCACCACCGCTTCACTCCTCTGCCTCCCGCACAACACACACTTTGTTCCTCTGCCTCCTCTGCCTCCTCTGCCTCCTCTGCCTCCTCTGCCTCCTCTGCCTCCTCTGCCTCCTCTGCCTCCTCTGCCTCCTCTGCCTCCTCTGCCTCCTCTGCCTCCTCTGCCTCCTCTGCCTCCTCTGCCTCCTCCGTCTCCTCTGCATTCCACACCCACTTCCCATACCCTACTTCACCTCGCCTCTCACTTTCCCCTTCCCTCTCGCCCGATCCCTGACTTTCCTCTATGCACGATCACCCACCTGGCTTCCCTCATCCCTACCTCCCCACTGCATTTCTTCTTGCCCCTTCTCATTCTCCCCCCTCCCCTCTCCCCCCCCCTTTCTCTCTGTGCGTGTGTGTGCCACAGCAACATCTTCCGCAATAGGCTCACTGGCTCGCTTCCCTCTGGCATTGGAAGCCTCGTGATGATGGAGTACATGTGAGGCTCTCACCTCTCCCTCCCCCTCCCTCTCTCTCCCTCTCCCTCTCCCTCTCTCTCTCTCCCTATCCCTCTCCCTCTCCCTCTCCCTTCCCCCCTCCCTCTTCCTCTCCCTCTCCCTCTCCCGCTCTCAAGCGGTCCTGGCCATTGAATAATCCTGGGTACAAGCTACAGAGGCAAGTAGGAAAGGGTACAGCGCTGTACTACGGACATATGTAATCCACAGAGGCCACTGCACCTAGACTGCCCAAATGCCACGTTGAGCCCGAGGTCCTCTGACCGGCGCCAGCCGTGCCCCTCCCCTCACTCCTCCCCCCGCAGCAAAAACACCTCCTCCTCGTCTAGATTCGCATAGACATCCCCCAGGTGTGGAGCCCAAGGGTCGGCCAGAGGTTGGGGGTGAGCTTCCTCTACCGCCATCCAGTAGGTGCCTGCGTTAGTGCCTGCGTTAGTGCCTGCATGTGTGCTTGCATGTGTGGCTGAATGTGTGCCTGCATGTGTGCCTGCATGTGTGGCCGAATGTGTGGCTGCATGTGTGGCTGAATGTGTGCCTGCATGTGTGCCTGCATGTGTGCCTGCATGTGTGCCTGCATGTGTGCCTGCATGTGCGGACGCATGACTGAGAGCAGGAACGTACAGAACAACGCACTCGGTGGGTCAATTCCAGCGTCCATCGGCAGCCTCGTCAACCTCAAATACCTGTACGCACAGCACATGCAGCACGCACCACATACGCACCCCACGACACACACAACTGCTCCCCATTTCATCCTCCACCCATACAGGCCACTCATGTACTCACACAGACACAGTCAGCGTCTACACTCGTTCGTACGCCTGACCTCTCGACTCTCCTCCGTTCTTCCACTACCCCCCATCCTCACTTCCTTTCCCCCCCTTCGACCCCTTCCCCCCACCTTCCCCCTCCCCCCCCTTCCACCCTTTCCACCCCTTCCCCCCACTTTTCCCCCTTTTCCCCACACCCCTTCCACCCCTTCCACCCCGCCCTGCTGTCCTCCTCGTTCCCCAGCGACATGAGCAACAACGCGTTCACCGGGTCCATCCCGGAGTCCATGGGGAGCCTCAAACGCCTCGTCAACCTGTGAGCCGCCCTAGAGAGAGCCTCTCTTGCACTGCACCCTAGAGCCACGCTAGCAATCATCGTTGCACGCATTGCTTAGCGCCCTTGCCTGCTTGAGGCGGCGCCTCGTCGTTTGGGTTCACGCGGGCCTGCCCACCTTTGCTCTTGCTCCGCGGCAAACGCCTTGAGACACACACACGCTCACTCACGCACCAACGCCTTGAGACACTCACATGCTCACTCATGCACCAACGCCTTGAGACACTCACACGCTCACTCATGCACCAACGCCTTGAGACACTCACACGCTCACTCACGCACCAACGCCTTGAGACACTCACACGCTCACTCACGCACCAACGCCTTGAGATACTCACACACTCACTCACGCACCAACGCCTAGACACTCACACGCTCACTCACGCACCAACGCCTTGAGACACACACGCTCACTCACGCACCAACGCCTTGAGACACACACGCTCACTCACGCACCAACGCCTTGAGACACACACGCTCACTCACGCACCAACGCCTTGAGACACACACGCTCACTCACGCACCAACGCCTTGAGACAGACACGCTCACTCACGCACCTACGCCTTTAGATACTCACACGCTCACTCACGCACCAATGCCTTGAGACACTCACTCACACCTCCATTGCTGCCCTTCGCCCACTGACTGATGCCTGCAACTATGCACCCCCTCCACAGCCACCTTTCCTGTGACCTTGACACCACTCCACGGATCATGTTATCTGCCGTGCATGCATGTGTGCATGGATGTGTGCATGGATGTGTGCATGCATGTGTGCATGGGTGCATGTGTGCATGCGTGATGAACAGTGACCTGAGCGAGAATCAGCTCACGGGGTCGCTGCCTGCCGTGCTGGGCGGCCTTACAAACCTGCTCACCCTGTACGACTTGACCTACCTCAAACCCTGCTCACGGTTTAGGGTTTAGGAAACCTAAGCCTGGAGCATCTTCTTGGCACCTTCCTATTGCCGGACTCCTCTGCCCGCCTCCCTGGGTATTGCATTTGGCTGCATTCTCCAGGCAACCCAAAGCACTCTGAAACATGTACAAGCAAACCGAGGTCATGTGTCTGTATATGATGACAACGACAACATGCATGCATGCAGTGTGCATGGCATGCATACCTCCCTTGCTTCCTTAACAGCCTCTTGCATGTCTCTCCATACTTTGAACTCCTCACGTCCATGGATCCCATCCCACACACAATTTTCTCCCCACCCCCTCCCAGCTACCCCCTCACTTTGCTTGCCCCTGCCTCCCTCTCACTCTTCCCTCTCTCCCACGCTCTCTTCTCCCCTCCACACCCCCCATCTCTCAGCTTCTACAACTCCTCGAGTCCCAGCAGCCCCCTGTGTGCCGCCACTGGCAGCTGTGCCGGGGTGAGCCAGCAGGGCAACTCCTCCTTCTGCCAGGCCTGCCCTGCCTTCTGCCTCTCCTGCACGCCCCCCGGCAGTGAGTGCAGCCTCTCTCTCTCTCTCTCTCCCTTGCACAGAGTGAACCCTCCCCCTTGCACACGGCCAGAAGGACAGGGTGTGGGCTTTGGCGGAATAAGTGCGGGACGGGAGGGGGGGCATGCGGCTGGGAGTCACAGGGTTGGTGCTTGTGGTGCCTGTGGTACTTGTTTTTAAGTGTTGCTCAAGCTGGAGTTGATGCGCTGTGGAAACCCTGGGCCTTGTTTGTGTGGTTCTCACTCAGTTTGTGGACATGTGCACTGTGCGTACATGTTGGGTGGCGGGTGTGGGTGTGGGGTGGGGGTGTGGGTGTGGGTGAGTGTGGGTGTGGGTGTCACGTGTGTGTGTGTGTGTGTGTGTGTGTGTGTGTGTGTGTGTGTGTGGTGTGTGTGTGTGTGTGTGTGTGTGTGGTGTGTGTGTGTGTGTGTGTGTGTGTGTGGTGTGTGTGTGTGTGTGTGTGTGGTGTGTGTGTGTGTGGTGTGTGTGTGTGTGTGTGTGTGTGTGTGTGTGTGTGTGTGTTGTGTGTGTGTGTGTGTGTGTGTGTGTGTGTGTGTGGTGTGTGTGTGTGTGTGTGTGTGTGTGGTGTGTGTGTGTGTGTGTGTGTGTGTGTGTGTGTGTGTGTGTGTGTGTGTGTGTGTGTGCAGATCCAGCAACTTCCACCCCAGCCACCACTCCACCCGCACCACCATCCGCTTCTGCTCCTGCTTCCTCCCCCTCCCCGTCCACCCCCCCCGTCACCCCGCCTACCGCGTCCCCCAGCTCTCCTCCTCCTGCTCCTGCTTCCCCTGCTACCCCTGCTTCCCCTGCTTCCCCTGCTTCCCCTGCTTCCCCTGCTACCCCTGCTTCCCCCCCACCACCCTCCGCTGCACCGTCGCTGTCTGCTGCACGTGCTGCTGCTGCCTTCCTGCTGCCTGCTCTGCTGGCTGCAGCTCTGACACTCTAGTGCTCAAGACGAATGCTGCTGTGGCTCGGGCACTCTAGTGCTTGACAGGAACACTGCTGTGTTGTGTTGCCTGCTTGGTGATATGAGGTAGCTGTAACCTGCGGGCTGCACTGTCCGAGAAATTACCCTGTAGCCTGTAGGTAGTCTGTAGCCCACGGAGGAGAGAATGGTTGGGGGTTTGGGGACGGAATGTGTGTGGTGATGACTCGTGAGGGCACACCATTCTGTGTTGGGCTGTGTTGGGGTGGTGGGGTGTGTTGTGTTGGGATGATGCTGGTCATCGCTGGGGTTGGTTAGAAGTGAACTTCTGAGATGAAGCTTGGGGTGAAGGGTGGAACAGTTGAATTGATTGATAATGCGTGGACGTTGATTTGATATGCTCTCATCATTACTGCATTTACAATTCAACATTAGAGTACATTAAGACAACCTGATAGCTATATACATGTGTTAGCAGCAGAGAAACAAGCTATACTGCCCTTCATGCCAGATCAGACAGTACCACACATGTATATTCACAACTAACAATGTTAGCCCCTCCTCACACCTTTTGTGACACTAAATGTGCATCTCTCTCCATCCCTCCATCTGCCATGCCCCCAAGCTACCAGCAGCCCACTCGTGGCCCTCAGTCAGCCGTGCGCGTGTGTCGCACAATCCACGGGTGCTCTGCACCACCAGCCCACAGATACGGCAAGGAAAAGCCAACGCAGTTCAGAGAGGTTGGGAGGGAGGAGGGAGTGAGTGAGCGCGAGGCAGCGGAAGAAGGCTAAGAACAAGCACCATAAGGTAGTGCCAAGCCCTATCTCAAGTAAAATCAAGTCATCAAAAGCTCTCTCACTCCCACCCAGCATCTCCAATCCCAAAGACTCAACCCACCCACCAAGCCAGCCAGCCACCAACCCGGCCACCCACCGACCCACCAAGCCTGCCACCCACTCACCCAGCACCTCCTGCAGCATGATCCTGTCCTGCGGCCGCTTCCCCAGCATCTGTTTTTGAGGCACCTCAAAAACAACCCGCTCCACCAACCCCCTCACCAGTCCACCCACCACCAGCCCCCCAACCAGGCCCCCACCAGCCCCCCAACCAGCCCCCCCACCAGCCCCCCCACTAGCTTCCCCACCAGCCCCCCCACCAGCCCGTCCACTCACCCAGCACCTCCTGCAGTGTGATCCTGTCCTGCGGCCGCTTCTCCAGCATCCGCCCCACCAGCTCCCGCACCTCGCCCGACACCGACGGCCACGGCGGGCGCACAAGGTTCACGGGCGCGTCTTTAATCGCCGCAAAGATGCCCTCGTTGCAAGGGGCCCAGAAGGGCGGCAGCCCCGAGAGCAGGATGTAGAGCACCACGCCCGTGCTCCACACGTCCGCCTCGGGCCCGTACCTTTCGGCAAGGACCTCTGGGGCTAGGTAGTAGGGGCTCCCTGCCATGTCCGTGCAGGGAACGCCTGGTGGCCGTGGTGTGGGGGAGGGGGGGGTTGGGGGGGTAGGGAAGAGGGAAAAGTGGGGATCGAGGGTGAGATATGAGCGTTGTGCAGTCAGAAACGGCCGGTGGAGCTAAGGTAGTACTAACGGCTCCCTGTCTTGTCCGGGAGGCAGTGGAGGTGGTGGTGTACGGTGCAGTGCCCATTGGCCGCCCGCCGCAAACCACCACAGGAGTGCTGAAGCCTGCCACATTACATGCATCACTAAACACACCATGGCTCCTCCCCTCCCTTTTGTTGCCAAGCAGCTTCCCCCCACCTGACTGGTACAAGGTGGCGATGCCAAAGTCGATGAGCTTGACATCGGTATAGCTCTGCTTGGAGGCGAGCAGGATGTTCTCGGGCTTCACACCACATCAACTCAGAATTCCCTCCTCCGTTGCCTTGCTGCTTCCCCCTTCCCCACCTGGCTGGAAGAAAGTCGCCACGCCGAAGTCGATGAGCTTGACGTCGGTGTCGCTCTGCTTGGAGGCGAGCAGGATGTTCTCTGGCTTCACGTCACGGTGGATCACCCCCGCCGCGTGGCACCGCTGCAGCACGCGCACCACCGTGGCCACCACCGCCGCTGCCTGTGGCTCCGAGTAGCGCCCCTTGGCCTTGATGCGGTCGAAGAGCTCGCCGCCAGCACACAGCTCCATCACCAGATGCACGTGCTGGGGGCGGGGGGGGAGGGGGGGGATGGGGGGAGGTGAGGGAGGAGGGGAGAGAGAAAAGGTGATGTGTGTCAAAACACTAACCCACACAGCTCCATCACCAGATGCAGGTGCTTGGGGGGGGAAGGGGGGTGGGGGGGTGGTTGGGGGGGAGGTGAGGGGGGAGGAGAGAGAAAAGAGGAGGGTTTTTAGGTGCGTCAAAACAATAACCCATGCAGCTCCATCACCAGATGCACGTGCTGGGGGGGGGGGGGGGGGGGGGGGGGAGAGAGGGGGGGAATGATGTGAACACCGCGTTGGGCCCAACGTTGGCAATGACAAGAGATACGTGGCAAGCACGTGTGCATGGCAGTGGCAGTAGCCTGGGAGCGAGTGTCTGTGCATGCATGCATGCACGCACACTTGAACAGCAGCAAGAGCAAGAGCAAGAGCAAGAGCGAGAGCGAGAGCAAGAGCAAGAGCAAGAGCAAGAGAAAGAGCAAGAGCGAGAGCGAGAGCAAGAGCGAGAGCGAGAGCAAGAGCAAGAGCGAGAGCAAGAGGAAGAGCAAGAGCGAGAGCAAGAGCAAGAGCAAGAGCAAGAGCAAGAGAAAGAGCAAGAGCGAGAGCGAGAGCAAGAGCGAGAGCGAGAGCAAGAGCAAGAGCGAGAGCAAGAGGAAGAGCAAGAGCGAGAGCAAGAGCAAGAGCAAGAGCAAGAGCAAGAGCAACAGGACCACACCCACCTGTTCATCCTAGAACGCAACCAATGAGAGCGACAACGTGCCCGCGCCATGCATCAACTGCTGCAGAGGTGCACCTAGAAAAACATAAACAACCAACAATAGCTGAGGTTGGGGCATCTCAAAGGCACAAGAACATGCTCTCTAACCTGTTCATCCTCAAACGTGTCGATGAGGGCAGCCACGTGTGGGTGGCCGTGCATGAGCGCCATCACCGCCACCTCTCGCCGCACATCCTCCACATCCTGCTGGCACGTCAGCAGCTCCTTGCTAATCGTCTTGCACGCGAACCTCCCACCCGTCCTACGGCACAGGCACAGCCGGATGATGCCGAACCTGCCCCGACCCAGCTCGCCCCGATCCAACCAATAGCTGCCCTCGACAGGCACGAAGGGCCGATGGAGTATGTTCAGGGTGCCGTCCGGCTCTCGTTGCAACTCCCCTCCTTCGCACTCCTCCTCTCCTTCCTCCTCCTCCTCCTCCTCCTCCTCCTCCTCCTCCTCCTCTCCTCCTTGCGCCTCCTCCTTTTCCTCCTCCTTGCCGTCCCTACCGATCCGAATCCGCTGCCGATCCCCTGCACTCTCCCGATCCCCTGCCGCTGCTGCCTCTCTTTGCTCTTGCTCACACCACGCTGCCTCATATGCAACAGCTGACCCTGACACCACGTCCGCTGCTCTCCTCCCTGCGTTCCTCCCTCCCCCCTCCTCCAACTCCCTATCAGCGCCCTGCTCTCTCTCTGCCAAACCCCCATCCATCTCACTCTCCCTCTCCTTCTTCTTCTTCTTTTTTGTCTTGCCGGGGCGAATCACCTCTCTGTTCTTCCGGGTCAGCCGCGCTCGCATGGGCTCTGGTGTGCACGGCCGCATGCTCCCCTGTGCCCCACCTCTCACCTCCCCGGTTCCCTCTGCCCCCCCCTCGCCCTCGCCCTCCCCCACTCCCTCTCCCCTCCTCATATCCCCACCCCCTGGCCACTTTCCCCCAGCATCTACAGCATCGGCCCAGGCGGCAATGCCCCTTCTCTGCGGCGCTTCTGTGAAGGCAGCTTCGCCTCTCGCCTCTGCTCTCTGCTGCTCCATTCTGCTGCTCCTCGCCGTTTTGCGGAAGGGGGAGGAGGACAGGGGGGAGGCGGACAGGGGGAAGGCGGACAGGGGGGAGGCGGACAGGGGGAGGCGGACAGGGGGGAGGCGGACAGTGGGGAGGCGGACCGGCGGGATGGGGACCTAGCAGGGCACGACATAAGTGAGGAGGGGGAGGGGAACGAAGGGGAGGAGGTAGTAGAGAAGGAGGAGGAGGTGGAGGAGGGGAAGGCAGCCGTGGGTGTGCGCAGCCCAGCTACATCAACCCTCAGCCTCTCCTTGGCTGCTCTCCGCTTCTCCTTTATCACCCTCTTCCGCTCCTCCTGCTCCCGCTTCTCCTGCTCCAGTCGTCTTAACTCCTCCTCCGCCCTCTTCCTCTGCTCCCTCTCCCGCTCCAACTCCTCAAGTACCTTCTGCCTCTCCTCTGCTCGCACCTGCTCCCGGATCCTCTCCTCCTCTCGCCTCCTCGCTTCCTCACTCCTCTCCTCCTCCCCTCTTCGCCTCTCCTCCTCTGCTCGCCGTCTCCTCTCCCCCTCCCTCCTCTCCTCCCCAATCCTATACTCCTCCCGCCTCCTCTCCTCCTCAACCGCCTCCTCGCGCCTCCTGTCATCTCGCCGCCTCCCATCCCTCCACCACCCATCATCATCCGTCTCCTCCTCCTCCCCCTCACCCCCACGGCTCGGGCCATAAAGGTCCTCACAGCCCGCATTTACCCTCGCTCCCCTTCCGTTACCTTTTTGCCACCCATGCCCATGCCCATGCCCATGCCCATTCCCATGCCCATGCCCATTCCCATACCCATTCCCAGTGCCATTCCTGCCTCTCCAAGTATCCCTGTTAATCACAACTTGCTCCTCTTGCTCCTCTTGCTCCTCCTCCTCCTCTCCCTCCTCTCCCTCCTCTCCCTCCTCTCTCACTTCTTCATCTTCTTCCTCCTCTTCCTCCTCCGCATCCCCTCTGCTCCACCTCTCCTCCTCTCTCCACCCTCCCCTCTCCCCCTCCCTCCACCTTCCCTTCACCTCATCTCCAGCAAATTGCCTCATTTTACTTCCCCCCACCTGCCCAACACTCCTCTCCCCCCTCCCCTCTCTCACCTCCTCCTCCTTCTCCCTCTCCTCAACCCCCACCTCATCCTCCCATTCCTCCTGTCGACTCCTCTGACTCTCTGCGTCCTGCCACAGGGTATCATCAATACCCTCATATCCCCGTGCATTTACGGCCTGAGAATTCCTGCTTGCTTGGTGCGGGGCCAACCGCCCCTGATCCCTACCCTTACCATGCGGCCCTAAACTGTCTGGCTCACTCTCTGCCCTGCTCTCCCCCATCCCATTACCGCCGTTTACCCTATCGTTGTGCACTTCCCCTGGCTCCTTATCACTCTCCCCGTTCTTTCCTTGCCTGGTGCACGCCTGCACTCCCCTCCCTGCCCGCTCACTACTTGCCACAGACTCGTTGTCCTCCTCTCGTACCTCCCCTCTTCTATCCCTCACACTCCCTTTCTCACTCTCTTTTTCACTCCCCTCCTTACTCCCCTTCGCACTCCCCGCCTCACTCCCCTCATCGTCCTCACTAGGTGCGAGGCACACAAACCTTGGCTGCTTCCCACTGCCTTCCGCAGCTCTCACTAACCCTCCCTGGATCCCATCGCCTTCCCCCTGCTCCCTCCCCAAACCCCCACCACCACTGCTGCTCCCAGTGGGTGATCTCAACACGCGGGCTGCTGCTGTGGCGGGCCGTGCTTGGACCGCTGCCTTCTCCGTCAACAAGCCACCAGCGCCAAGGGAGCTGCTGAGAGTGCCACCAGTGCGGGAGGAAGATTGCCATTCCCCCCACAACCCACTCCCCCCTGACGACCGCAACCTCCCCCTCCCCAACCCCAGCCCCAGCCCCTTATCCGCCCTGCTCCCGCCCAGCAGCTCCCCCAAGCCTCCCCCCCCCGGGGCATCCCCCCCTCTGGAGGGGCCAGCGACAGAGGCGGAGCGGAAGCCAGCAGTGCGCGGGCGGGCAGAGGCGTCTGCGGGGGCAGGGCGGAACACATGCTCTTTTGCCCCTGCCTCTCCCCGTGCTGCTGCTTGTGCTGCAGTGGATGCTGATGAGGACAGGGGTGATGATAGGGAGGATGCTACCCGAGCAGGGCCAACAGTGCCAGCAGTACCAGCTGCAGCACCAGCAGCAGCACCAGCAGCAGAACCAGCAGACCCAATGGCACCTTCACCTTCATGCTCCCCTGCGCCATCCCCCCCGCCCACCTTCCCCACCTTCCCCCCCTTCCCCCCCCTGCCCTCCCCCAGCAGCACCCCACTCCCCAGCCGCGCCAGCCCCAGCAATCCCCCCGACAGAGTGGACGCCAGGCGCCCTGCCATGCGTTCCGCCACTCCCCCCGCGCCCCCTCCCCTGCTGCCCCCCGAAGGGAGCACCACCCCCCCTGCGCCTATCCCCGCAGCCTGGCATGCGTCTAGGGTTCGGGAGATGGTGCGGGCAGGGGGGCGGAGAGAATGGGAGGCGGAGGAGGAGGGGGAGGAGGAGGCGGAGAGGGAGGGGTCGGGTTCAAGGAGGGCGACACAGGACTGCTGGCGAAGGGGAGGTGATATGTGGGGGAGGCGGGGATTGGGTGAGAAAGGTGACCGCTGCTGCTGTTCCTGCTGCTGCTGCTGCTGCTGCTGGTGGCGCTGGTTTCCTGCGAGCAGACCAAGGTTGCTGCGGGCGCCGCCAGTGTTGCTGCTGCTGCCGTTGCTCGTGGCAGCGTCAGCACTGCTATTCCGGATCACACGAGGGGAATGCGAGCCGTCGCCATCACTTCTTCTCCTCTCCCCACCCTGCACCTCATCCCTCTCCCAGTCTAGCACTCGGTTCCCCTGTCCCCTCCCCTGTCCCCTCCCCTGTCCCCCGGCCCCTTCCTCCCTTCCCCCGTCAAGCGCCTCCACATGCGCCAACGCCTGCAGAGGCATCGAATCCCTACGTGCCAATCTCTCCCCCCCAGAAGTCAGCCTGTCTCCCACACCTACCGCTGCCTGTATGGCCGCTTCTGCCGCCCAGGACATGCTGCTGTGCCGCCCGTGGTGCGACATTGACCGCAACCCACGCACACTTACGCTCCCCCTCCCCAGCCCACTCCCCTTCCCCATAACCACCCCCATAGCCCCTCTCATCTCCCCACCCCTGAAGATCCCCTCCTTCCTGCGCTCCGCACTCCCCTCACCAGTGTGTTTCACGCCCCCTGTAGTACCACCTCCACTATAGCTCCCCCCGTTACTATCACTCTCACTATCGCTGTTACCGTTACTGTTACAATCACTCCCCTCCTCATGCAGCCGTCTTAGGGCACATGCTGACATGGACACCCCCCGAGACAACCGCCCCCTTCCCATCCCCCCACCGTGCAGCATCACACTCACACCCAACCACTCCTCCTCCATCTGCTCCCCTCTTCGCCCCTCCTCTAACCTTCCCCCCCGCCCTACCCCCTCCGCTAACCCCCCCCCTCGGCGTTCCTCCTCCCCCTGTTCTCGCCCCCTCGGCTCCTGAGAATGGCTCCCAGATTCAAAGGGAGCACCGCCAGTGACTGCCTGATGTTGCACCCCTGCTGTCCCTGTGCACCCCTGCCCTGCTGTTGCAGGAAGCGCAAGGGACGCGGGCCGCAGCACCATGCCCGCAACCACCTGCCCCTGGGGGGACCTCAGCCCTGCCTCAAAACACATCACTCCCCCTCGCGCCACGCCCTCCCCTCTCCCTCCTCGCCGTTCCTCCTCCCCTACCGCCCCTGCCTCTGCTCCTTCCTCCTCCTCCCCATCTCCCCCCCCCAGTTCCCGTCCCTCGTTGTCGTCACCCCTCATTCTCCCCTTTCTAGATCCACCGGTCAGTCGACTCCCGCTCTCCTGCGGCGATCTCTTGGCACCAGCCGCATTACCTGCACTGCCACTCTCCCGTCTCGCGCTACTGCTACTGCTGCTGCCAGCAGTGGCCCGGAGGTGGCGCGGTGTGGCGGGTCCGCTCGGCGACTCAGCACTGCTACCCGTGGGCGACCGCAGGTAGCTGCTGCTGCAGGAGTGCGGGGAGCGCGAAGCACGCTCCTCCTCCTCCTCCTCCTCGTCCGCTTCTTCCCCTCGATCCGCTGCTTGCCCATCCTCTTCTCTTCCCCTCCCCCTCCTCCCCTCTCCCTGCCTCCCCCTTCCCCACTCCCTCTCCCTCTCCCTCTCCCTTTCCTCCTCCTCGTTATCCTGGATTGCAGTATCCCATCGCACCCCGCTTTTCCTCCTACCGATTCTGGCTCTCTGCCCTGCCGCCTCACCATGATCGTCTGCTAGTACTGCTTCTGCTGCCGCTGCCGCGCCTCCTACTCCTCGTGTTCCTCGCCCCGGTGCTCCTCCTACTCCTCCCGCTCCTCCCCCTCTTCCCGCTCCTCCCGCTCTTCCCGCTCCTCCCGCTCCTGCTGCTGCCGTACCCGCTGTGTGGCGGGGAGTCGAAGCATGGAATGCGCCCGCCTCTATCCCCATCCCCCTACTGCCGTACGACGACCCCCCCACGCTGCTCACCGCCCGCCGCATCCTCCGCGCGCGCCCCCCTGCGCCCGCCGTCCCCGCGAACCGCGGTTTTTCCCGCTCGCTGCCCGCGCCTTCCCCCCCCCACGGCGCGCCCCACCCCGCCGCGGCGCTGTCCGCCTCGTCCGACTCCTGGCTGGAGCGCGACTGTCGGCTGCTCCTGTAGCTGCTCGTGTCGCCTGTAGAGTAGAGCGATAGGTCGCAGAACGTGTCGCCCGTCGCATAGGGCGACATGTCGCAGCTCGTGTCGCCTGCCTCCTCGTCTTCCCCCTCCTGCTCCTCCCCCTCCTCCTCGTCTCGGTAGTTATCTACAGTCGTCGTCGTATTCCCGCCGCCCCACCGCCCCGTTGCGCCCTCGCGCGTCTCCTCCGCGCCCTGTCGCGAAACTCTTGCCATCGCCGCACCGTCCGCGTGCTCGCTCCGCCTCCCATGCCGCGCCTCTCTCTCCTTCCGGCTGCCCGCCTCCTTGCTCCGCGTATTTACGTGTTCCCCGCGTTCCGCGCGCCCCTTCCCTGCGCGGCTGCTGCAGCCCGCGGAGAGGCCGCGGGAGTTCGGGGAGTCGAAATCATTGGCGCGCAACATGAGTGCGGAAACCTCCATGGATCCCGTGCGCCGCATCGAGCGCCGCACTGAGCTTCGCGGGGGCCACTCCTCCGCCATCTCCGCCATCTCGGCCATTTCCGCCCTCCCCTTCCCCGAATACCGAATTCTAGGCGCCTCAATACCAGCTTCCGCCCCCCCTTCCCCCAAATACCCGTCCAAGCAGCCGGACGCGCCGCTGCGGGCGACGTGCCCCCCCCCGCGGCGGGAGTCGAAGGCGGAACGGTGGCGCCTGGCGGCGGAAGCAGTATCAGCGGGGTGGCAGCGGGGCGAGGGGAAGCATTCCCCGCCATCCTCGTCGCCCAGCGGGGCGTGGCTGTTCCGCGCGGGGTTGTGCCACGGAGCTCCCGCTGACTTACCCCGCGCGCTGCCCTCCCTGCCCCCGCTAGTGGCGGGGCGGACAGCACCGGCGGAAGTGTGACGGCCGCCACCGCCTCCGCCGCCGCCACCGCCGCCGCCGCCGGTAGTGGGGCGCTGCATGTATGCGGATGAAGATGCCATTGGTGGGATTGCCGGTTTAACGTAGGTAAGTATTAGGCGATCGAGACGGAAATAAGGAACGCATCGTGACTTGCTTGGGCTAGTAGAGTGTGGTTAGCGTTAAACTTAGAGGCCTAATAACGATGCGCTGGCGTCAGCGGGCTAAGAGCTATGGGGAAGGTTACTCCTGATAGTTCAGGCGAGCAGAGGGAACGCGACTGGTTGGGGTGACAATAACGGTGTCTTACACGTGTACACTCGCTCATGAACCTGCACTTCAGAAAGAAGTCGAAAACACTAATTCGGAGGAGTGTGGTTGGTGGGTGGTGGTGTAACGCTGTTGCATTGTGGGCATTCGTGCGTGACTGGCGGTGGTGCGACAGGGCCATTGGTCTCGGCCAAGGCAAACCAAACCATACCAAATACTGTACAGTACAACTGCCCTGCAGGCAGCACACCAGTGATGCAGGGAGTTGCTGCTGGTGAAGGGAAGGGGAGGGGAGGGGAGGGTGAAGTGAAGTGAGGTGTACCCTTGTTGCCCGAGTCAGTCACTCGAGTTTCTTGGGCGGCAGGGACTGAAAATGCCACTTTCCTTTCGCAGACCTCGCCACGGGCAGATGGGACTGTGAGTGTTGCTCTTGGGTTACCCTCTTTGTCATACGCGGGATGGTGGGATGGCGAAAGGGGGGGCTACATTTGTTCGATCATCAACAGCTGGTACCCCCTTGATTTTTTTGCGATGTCTTGCACCTAATTACGAAATTTCTGAAAAGCAAAGTAACACAGCCCACAAAGCAGCTCGTGGGTTCGCTGCGACTCCGCCAGTGTTGATGCCCAATTTCGCACAAGCTCCAGGCGAAGTGGTTTGAGGCGAGGTTGGACGGGCAACTGGGGTTTGTCACGGCAGGCAAGCTCCATAACTGCCGTTGTACAGTAGTGAGTGGAAACAGTGCACACCATGTGCTTCAAAACGGGGTGCGGTTGCCCGTGCTAGAAACAGAAGTGATGCAGGAAGCTTTTGTGAGTGAACCGAGACAGGACTGACTGGGGCAACAAGGGTACAAACGATGTCCGCAAAGTGCCCTGCGCAAAGCAAATCCCAATTGCACCCTCTAGCCCAATAGAAGAAGTTTACGGGCAGTATCCGTTTCGAGAGAGTCCCCCGCGCCGGCAACTGTGCTGAGTCATCATGACAGCGGGGATGAACATGCGGACAGCGACGAAGCAGTTGCAGCCTTCTGGTTTTCGCCACATATTTTCGGACGGCGTCGCGAGGGCGGTTCGTCCAGGCCCAAATGACCTTTCGCGTTTTTCGCGAAGCCGCGAAGGACACGAGCGCAATGGAAATCTACGGAACACCGCAACGGGAAACGCCTCGATGACTCAGCATGGCATGACCCCTTGGCAGCTGACTGAACTAGAGCCCTATTCGGTCGAAACTACTCCACACTTATCAAAGCCGCACAAATTGTGAGCAAATGTCATGTTCGTGACCTATTGGTTGAGCTAATTAAACAGCACTTGGGGTTGTTTCTGATCGTCGCAGTGCAAAACAGCGTAACCGTGGTTACATACGCAATCTGAACTCTGCCACCCAACCTTCCCCTATTGCGACAAAATAAGTTACCAACGAGCTCACCCTGAATCCCTCGCTTCTAGCAGCGAAAGCTGGCGAAATAACAAATCGACAGAAGCCCCCGCGGCTCGAAAAGGTGGCTTTCCTCTCTCGGGCTCAAGCTGTACTCTACTGCAGTGCAGTGGACAGGGAGAAGGGGAGGGAGAGAAAGGACAACAAGGGGGAGGTGCCACTGCTGTCCAGGTGCAGGCAGGACAGGAGTCCGTCCGTCCAGTTTCCTGAACGCCCACCGCCCCCACCACCGGCTCTCGTGCTGTACGCAAGAAAAATGGGCCTGGAGCGGATGCCGTGGTGGCTGGGCCTATTTTTTAAGGGTAATTAGCCGTATTCAAGTATTTTCAGAGTTTCTCCGCAGTCCATTCCGGATGTTTTACGAGTGACGCACACCGGGATTCCGGAAAATATACAAGTGTTCTTGGGCCGGGTTCCGGAAGAATCAGAATGCCCCTGTGGCCCAACCTGGAAAATATTTCCCCCACCCCACCACCTACCCCCTTACCTCCCCACCTCCTGCTATCCCACCAACCCCCCCCAACCCCCCCCCCCCCCTCTCCCGCCTCCCCCCTCCCTCCCCTTCCACTGTCTCCTCACTTCTCCCCTTACAACAGTGGCAGTCTCTCAAAGGCTAACGAAATGAGCTGTCTTAGCATGTCAGTGGTGCGAAATCACTCAGCACAGGGGAGAAACGCTGTCAGAATAGCTCGAGCCTTGATTCCGGAGTAAACAGAATTCGCCAAGCCCCCAACTCGGACGAAAAAGAGTGGGGGTGGGGGGGGAACTTGGGAGAAACAGACCCTCCCAAAACCTAGCGTAGGCCCTGGTGGTGGCTCGCTGCCTGGCTGGACTGATTTGCCGCACCAGCCAGCAATGTCATAGTTTTCTCTCGGTTCTGTAGCTGAACGGAATGGTGCTCTAGAACCATGCATTTCCTTCTATTGTATAGAAAGCTCAGCATGAAGCCAACTAACTACCAGAATTATTCTACACATCATATTCTTGTAATTAATCTGGATAAGCTATAAATGCATGGCATAATATCATGTAAATTAATGTTTTATACGTATAATGTTGCACGTGTTCCAATCAGCGCCGTGGGAGCTCCCAAGTCTCCACCGTAGCACACATATTCATCACCCTCTTTTGTGATGAGCTTGAGGGTAATCATTCTTGATCCTTGTATGCAGGCACTGGCTGTTTCGCAATATGGTGATGTATAGCGCAGGTATCGAGGCAGCCTGCGACGCGTTTTCGATTGGCAGACTGGTGGTGACCAGCGTGACGCGCCACTTCCAGGAAGGCTGCCCGCTTTTGTCGGTGATTCCCGCGCTGCACTCCCAGATTTTTCGGGGAGGAACTGATGGATGGATGGATCAGTGGTTCCGGGCGCTCCCTGAACCCTGGTCGAAGGCCAATCTGTCACGACGAGGACTGAGAAGGTCAGCCGTAATATCAGGGTACAAAAATCACAAATCTTCAATTCGACGGGGTAGTGCATGGTTCTTCGTTTCGGAGTTCAAAGTCCCAGTTTGGAAGGCCCTGTAAAAAACTTATCCGTGCGGGAGAGGATTTAGTAGACCTCTATCCCTCGGTGGAATCACATCTAAGGAGATGGGGGCATGCCACTGTTCTTTTAATGCTTTTCCTAGAGCGTGGTGCAAGTACCTTCGGGTGGGGGCGACCGGCGACTTTAGGGGCAGCCCAAGCCAACCCTTCTTAAAGCGAGGGTCTCAAGAGGCGCGAAACCAAATCCAGAAGGTTTGGTTTTGGGTTGACGAAATGAGCGAAACAGTAACAGCGCCCAACCAGCACCCCTCACCACACCTCGCAATTTTCGAGACCCCCCCGAAACCAAAACCTTTGGATTTGGTTTTCTGTTTCTTGAGACCCTTGCTTTAACCATAAAGCTAATCTACACTTGGCAACTTAGTCCCAATAAAAACCCTTTTTGTTAAATATTCCCGTCTAAATAAATAAAGCGCGACTCGCAAACATCGTGTTTCAGTGTCGGGCTTCAGCTGTATGTACCCAAACTCAACCGCCACCCATTCCGCCCGTCGGGCGCCGCTGGGTGCCCAGGTCATCGGTCGCCCGAAGCTGACCACCCTCACACTGGCACCCCCGGGGAAAATAGGGGGATATAGAAAATATCGCAGGTTTGGTGTACTGCCTGACTGCCAGCTGGGGTCTCTCTCACCACAAGAACTCGCGATGGGCGACGGGTACCTGTAGCCTTCCCTGAACCCAAATGATGCCACAAATTTCCGGGGGTAATCACCATAAACGCAAATGGAGTTTCTTCTTCACACGCCTGTGCTTCCCAGTCAAGCGATTCTCCCTCCCACCGCCGTCAAATGAGCAACAGCCATTTGGTCCGTTTGGTTTGGTTGGTGCACGAACACAGATGCTGCTGCCCTGCCGAACACGAAATCTCTTACGTCACCTCCCCGCTTGAGCTCCAACCAGAAACTCCCTCCAGCCAGCCAGCTGCACCGGGTTGGTACAGCCGAGGCTGATTTCATTGCCCTCCTTTCAGCCCACATTCAATCAAACCGATTGTTCTGAGAGCGTCACACGTCCGTCGCCCTCGCCTCTGCCTTCGCCGTCGCCGCCGTTCCTCCTCGACCGCGCTTCACCGTCCCGCATTGCGCAGATGGGTTCCGCAGCGCGTGTATCGGCGGCGGTGCTGAGCTGCGTGATGTTGCTGCTGTGCTGCAGCAACATGGCCATGGCTGCCGTCATCCAGCCCAAACAAGGTAAACCGGCCATTTACCACCAGTGCGACTTGACGAAGACGAGAACTCGCTAACAGTCCCACCTTTTTTATCTGGAACCACCTGGATCGCTTTGAGTCGACTCAAAACACGCCTTTTTTTATCCGGAACCACCTGGATCTGAATATTAAAGAAAATCCCGGGTCTTACAACAATTCCCATCCGCGCCACGCCCTGAGACATGTAATTCACGCGCCCACAGCGATCACCGCGGCCTGCGTCTCATTCGCTCGCAGCGATCTTTCATGGTCCGCGCTACTAGCCCATCTTCTGCCGTTCCTGTCCTAGTCTTCGTGGTTGCCAGCCGAAGTCCCATCCCCTCATTCGAAGCCTCCCTCCCCTCCTTGCATCCTCCCGGCCCGCCGCCTCCTGGTTCCTCGACTGACGTTGCCCTGTCTCAATCATTTCGTTTCTGCTCTGTCTCCTCGTTTCTCTCCCCTGCTCGGCGCGCAGTGACTATTCTGCAGGAGTGCCAGAAGGCATGGGGGCAGACATTCGCGGGATGGGCGCCGGGGGCCAACTGTGCGACGGCGGCGAAGATCACGTGCGACGCCGCGGGATACGTGACGTCCATGTGAGTGTCGCATCGCACGGCCTAGACGAATTCATCGCAGCGCGGTCCGTGCATGGTGGCATTTGCGTTCTGAGGCCAGAGATTCCCGTCTCCAGCAAGCATTCGCATCGTATTCGGGCATTGTCAACCGCAATTGCCTACCGCGAATGCTGGCCATAACATCGTTGCTGTCGCAACTAACGGCCATGGCGTCTTTTGCCGGCATCCCTTTCCATCATCGCTCGCCCTGATGCCACTCCCCCTCCCTCTCTCCTTTCCGTGTGTTCTTATCCGTGCCTTTCTGCGCGTGCGCCTTTTCCGTGTGTGCGGTGTGCGCCTTTCCGCGTTTGTGCTTTTCCTCGTGCGCGCCTCTCCGCGTGCGCCCCTTTCCGCGTGTGCGCCTCTCCGCGTGCGCCCCTCCGCGTGCGCCCCTTTCCGCGTGCTCCCCTTTCCGCGTGCGCGCGTGTCCCGCTCTGCCGCAGGAACATGTCGGGATTGGTGCTGACGGGCAGCCTTCCCAACAGCCTCTTCATGCTTGACAAGCTCACCATGCTGTGAGTGGACTGCCGCGCGCGCCAGGGAGGGCCCAGGGAGAGCCCGGGGGAAGTCCGGGGGAAGTCGGGGGAAGTCCGGGGAAAGGCAACTCCAGGGGTAACCCAAGGGCAATTCGAGGAGGAAGTACGTGTGGGGAACTCCAAGGGAGCTTCAGAGGAAGACTAGGAGACTTGATTTTGCAGGGTGTTTTTGAGAATTCTCAAAAACACCCTGCAAAATCAAGGGGTAACCCAAGGGCAATTCTAGGAGGAAGTACTCGTGGGGAACTCCAAGGGAGCTTCAGAGGAAGACTAGGAGACTTGATTTTGCAGGGTGTTTTTGAGAATTCTCAAAAACACCCTGCAAAATCAAGGGATAACCCAAGGGCAATTCTAGGAGGAAGTACTCGTGGGGAACTCCAAGGGAGCTTCAGAGGAAGACTAGGAGACTCACAGGCCATTGCTCGCGCTACTCGCGCAGGATCTGCTCTGTTTTGTTTCGACCGATGCCCCAGCCGCATGCTGTTTGGCGCCGCACAAAGTCGCAATTTTACGTGGTGGTCCGTTCCCCGTGTATTTCGTGTATTCGTGTATGCATCTGTGTCTGTGTGTGTCTTCGTGTGCGTGCGCGTGTGTGCGTGCGCGTGTGTGCGTGCGCGTGTGTGCGTGCGCGTGTGCGGGTGCGCGTTGCGGCGAGCAGCGACTTCACGTACAACCGTCTGACGGGCGGCATCCCCATCACCGTGGGCATCGCCAACAAGCTGCAGTGGATGTCAGTACACCACACCACACCACACCACACCCGGGCCCTCCAGGCTCCGCCCCATGCCACGCACGCACGCACGCATGCCACCACGCACGCACGCACGCACGCACGCACGCACGCATGCTCCTCATTGCTTTCACCGCATCCCACTCCTCCTTGACCCGCCTACTCCTTGTCTCGTTTTCCTTCGCGTCCCACCTTTTCCACATTCTTGGATCTCAAGCTTCCAAACACGCCGGCCCTTTATGCGCCGTGTATCTCCGCGCGCCGTGTATCTCCGCGCGCCGTGTATCTCGCGCGCCGTGTATCTCCGCGGCTCCCATTGTTTGGCTCTCAAACTCTTCTCTCGCCCCTTATGTCACTCTTGACTCTTCCCTCCTCCCTCGCTCCCTTTCTTGTGCATGCATGCTTGCGTGTCCGTGTGCGTGTGCGTGCGACCGTGCATGCGCGCGTGTGTGCGTGTCTGTCTGTATGCGTGTGTGTGTGCGTGTGTGTGTGCGTGTGTGTGCGCGCGCACGACCCCAGGAGTCTCTCGCGCAACAACTTCGACGGCATGGTGCCGCTGCTCAACACCCTTGCGCAGCTCTCCTACCTGTAAGCTGCCTCCCCCTCCTCAGCTCTTCTTATCTCCCCAATTCCACTCCCAAACCCCCACATGCACTCCCGTGCTACTTCCTTACAAAAGGTATTCTCTCCCCTCTCTCGCCCCATCCTCTCCCTCCTTACCCCAAATCCTCCCTCGTTTCCCAACCCCTGCCTTGCCCCCCCAATCCCCCCACCCCCCTGTCCCCCCCCTTTCCCCCCTCCTTCCTGTCCCCCCCATGTCTCCCCGCCATGTCTTCCCCCCATGTCTCCTCCCGCGTGCGTGGCGCGTGCAGGGATCTGAGCACCAACGGGTTCATTGGCGAGCTCTCCAGCCTGCCTCCTGCGCTCGCTTACTTGTACGAACCGATCTGCTCCTTGCTCCCTCCTCCCCACTCGCTCCCTCCCCACTCGCCTCCTCTGCTGATTTAAATCCAAGGTACTGGCAAGTGTATTCTGCCCTCTTCCTCTCCCCCTCCTCCCTCACCCATTCGTGCCCCCCCTGGTGCGTGCCTCCCTCCTCCCTCCCATCCCCCTGTTTCTTCCCCTCCCTCCCTCCCTCCCTCTCTCCCACCCGCCTGTCCCCCCCCAGCAACGTGCAGTACAACCAGTTCACGGGCTCCATCCCTGCCGCCCTCGCCACCCTCACCAAGCTCACCTACCTGTGCGTGCCTCACATGCTGCTCATGCCATGCCTCCAACGGCCACCCGTCTTCCCCTGCTCAACTACCCTTCTTCTGCACCTCCTCCTCTCCTTGGACAACCATTTTTCGCGCCTTTTTCCACAATTGCACAGCACCGCATGGCACCACAACGTACAGTTGTACGGCCCCCCCCATCCCCCCCTCTTCACAGTTGTATCATCCCCGCTCCTCGTTTCCCCGCTCCTCGTTTCGAGCTTGTGCCCCTTTCCCCACCTTTGTACCACCCTGCCCCCTCCCTGCTCCCTCCCTACCCTCTCCCTACCTCCTCCCTGCGCCCTCCCTGCCCCCCTCGCAGCAACTTGAAGTCCAACCAGTTCTCCGGTGCCCTCCCACTGGCTCTAGGGAAGCTCGCCAACCTGCAGACTCTGTGAGCGCTGCTCTCCTTCCTCTCCTGTCGCTGATCCCCCTCCGCCTCCATCCCTCTGCCTAATACCCTCAGCTGCTGTCGTTGGTGCAAACCCACTGTCGTTGCCTTCACGCTGTATCCATTCCCTCCCTCCTCTCCCTTCCCTCCTGTCCCACACTTCCCCTCTCACACGGCCGCCTTCCCCTGAATCGCATGCAGTCTATCCCCTATTCCTTCCCACCCCATGCCCCTCCCCACAGCAACATTGGCACCAACGCCCTCACTGGCCCCATTCCTGTGGGCATCTCTGGCCTCGCCAAGCTCACCTCCCTGTCAGTGCCTCTTGCCCTGTGCTCCTCGCCCATGCTCCTCCTATCACTCTCTCTCCATAACTGCATCCGCCCTGCGTTGCTGCTGCTGCTGCCGCTGCTACTACTACTGCAGTTGGTCACCATTATGGAAAAACAAAGCGAAGTGAATCGCAGCTCACTCATTCGATCGGTTTCTGTCTGTGGCGTGCTGGCGTCCTCGGACATGGCAACACAATGGCATGGCACCTGAATGGTGAACTGTGTGGCATGGCATGGCATGGCATGGGGCAGGGACCTGAGTTACAACAAGCTCAGCGGACCTCTTCCATCTAGCCTTGGCGCTCTTCCTGTGATCCAGGCCATGTGAGTTTTTGATTTTGCAGGGTTAACCATGATGGCAAAATGCGTTGCGAGGCAGCGGTTCTAAAGGCCATGCGAGTCTTGAGGCGCCTCAAAAGGCCATGTGAGTCTTGAGGCGCCTCAAAAGGCCATGTGAGTCTTTTTCATATGAATCGGCAACGCCCTTCATATCGCCTTTTCATGCCGTGTCTGGCTACCCTTCCGCTTCGCCTTTCTCTGCTTTTCTCCGCCCTCGCTCCCTGGCCCTCCATCTCCCACTCTCCCTCTCCGGCTCTCTTTCCTCCCTCCCCCTTTTTCTGTCGGTCTCGTTCTCATTCCTCACATGCATTCATTTTACAAATACTGGTTCTCGTCTTGCCTCCTAATCCACCACCACCACCACCACCCCGCCGCCGCCTCCCGCCCTCCCCGTGTCCGCCCTCCCCTTGGCAGCACACTCAACGAGAACGACTTAACGGGTGCCATCCCGCCCGCGCTTTTCACGCTCACCCAAGTCACCAACTTGTACGTTGCCTCCACCCTGCGTCCTCCCTGCCTCCACCCTGCGTCCTCCCTGCCTCCACCCTGCGTCCTCCCTGCCTCCACCCTGCCTGCACCCTGCCTGCACCCTGCCTCCACCCTGCCTCCACCCTGCCTCCACCCTGCCTCCTCCCTGCCTCCACCCTGCCTCCACCCTGCCTCCACCCTGCCTCCACCCTGCCTGCACCCTGCCTCCAAAGCCCCACCCTGTTTTCCCGCTCTGCCTGTCCTCTGTCATCTCTCTCTCTCATATCTCTGTTTTGTCTCTCTGCCTGGCGGCTGTGAGCAGGGGCCTCAAGGCCAATGCGCTCACCGGCAGCATTCCCGCCAGCGTTGGCTCCCTCGCATCGCTTGTCTACATGTGAGTCCCTTGGCGGCATCCCCCCTCCACCCCCCCGCCACCCCCCTGATGTTCTCCCGGTGACTTGCTTTGAGACGCCTCAAATCTAGATCCGTGTGTAATGAGTCGATTGCTGAGTCGACTCATAAATCGACTCATTACACACTAGATTGTTATCACATCCCAGGTCCCTCGCATTGCTTGTCTGCATGCGAGTCCCTTGGCGGCATCCCTATGTTCATCCCCGTGTCCCAGTCACACATTGCATACAGCTTTCTCCATCAGACCGCACATGGCAGCTTGACTTCCATCGCTGCTGCTGGCGCTTGCATACTGTACTGTCTCTCTCCAAGCGTTTCCTTTCCCCCCCCCATCCAGCCCGATCCCCCCATTCCATCTCCCTCCCCTCCCTCCTCGTGCATCCCTTCCTCCGCCTCTGTCCGTCTGTTGGGCTGCCTGCCCATGTGCCGGCATCCCCAGGGACCTGAGTGAGAACTCCCTCACGGGAACACTGCCAGCGGCCATGGGCAAGCTCGCCAAGCTCGTGGAATTGTAAGCACCTCCCGCCTCCCAAGCATCTCGCCTCCCAAGCATCTCGCCTCCCAATCCTCTCGCCTCCCAAGCCTCTCGCCTCTCCAACCGCTTGACAACACCCCCCCCCCCCCCACTCTTCATCCCCTCCCCTCCCCCACCATCCCGACCAACCCTAGCTGTTCCGTCCAGGCCACAGCTATCCATGTACAAGTTCATCTCAACCCACCCCCTGCTGTGCTTGCTGTGCCTGCTGTGCCCGCTGTGCCCGCTGTGCTTGCTGTGCCCGCTGTGCCCGCTGTGCCCGCTGTGCCCGCTGTGCCCGCTGTGCCCGCTGTGCCTGCTGTGCCCGCTGTGCCCGCTGTGCCCGCTGTGTGCATGTGGTGCAGCAACGTGAACTCCACGGGTCCGACCAAGGTGCTGTGTGCGGCGACCGGCGTGTGCGCCGTGAACCAGGTGGCCTCCTCCGCCTTCTGCCAGAAGTGCACCACCTTCTGCCAAGTCTGCACGCCCCCTGGAAGTGAGCCCCTTCAGCCCTGGTTGATTCTTAAAGCTGCCAGGGATTTTTCTCTTCCCTGTGTATGTTTGTTCCTGGCTGATAGATAGGTAGTTCTTTGAGACTTGCCCCACTGACATTCTGTGCTCCTTTCCTAGCCTTTTTTATTCGTTTTGTTTCTTTTTTATGCTTATTTTTTCTATTTCCAGTGGATCACTAAGCTTTCCTCTGTTTTCCCCACAATGGTTTTTGCCTGCAGAGAACACCAACTCCCCTCCAACGCCCACTCCTGCGCCAGTCGGTTCTCCTGCTGTTTCTCCTGCGCCTCCTCCTGCCACTGGAACCCCTCCTGCCGCTGCACCGCCTTCTGCCAACTCTCCTGTCGTTTCTCCTGCCCCCACTCCTGCCCCCACTCCTGCCCCCACTCCTGCCCCCACTCCTGCCCCCACTCCTGCCCCCACTCCTGCCCCCACTCCTGCCCCCACTCCTGCCCCCATTCCTGCCCCCTCTCCTGCCCCCGCTCCTGCCCCCTCCACTCCTGCCCCCACTTCTGAACCCACTCCTTCCCCCACTTCTGCTGCGTCGCCTGCTCCTGCTGCGCCCACCATCCCCCCAGTTGCCTCTCCCTCCACTCCTGCTCCTTCCTCCACTCCTGCTCCTTCCTCCACTCCTGCTCCTCCCTCCACCCCTGCTCCTTCCCCCACTCCAGTGGCACCAGCTCCCGCTCCTGTCACGGCCTCCCCTCCTGCTCCTGTAGCGCCCTCCCCCCCTGCTCCTGTCACGCCCTCCCCCCCTGCTCCTGTCACGCCCTCCCCCCCTCCTGTCACAGCTTCCCCTCCCCCTCCTCCCAAAGCTGGAGCTAGCTACCGTGCTAGTATTGGGACTGTGCTGGCCTCCCTCGTGTCGGTGATGGCACTTCCCCTGCTGCTGTAGAGAGGCTTGTTTCAGGCGTGTGTGTTTTGAAGGATGCGATGTCTGGGGGCTTGCCTTGTGCAACCTGGTGGTGGGAAACATTACTTTGCTTTTCAATAGTTGCTCGATGTGGATAACATGTGTCGCATAGATGATAATAGCAATCCAAGTCAAAGCATATGCCTTGTGAAGATGTGGTGTATATGAAATTGCCACTTCATTTCGTTTCGTAGCCTGGTTCATGGACTCAAAGCACCCTCTTTCTTGTCAATTATTACATTTATTGGCCGATCTGTGGAGCCGCGCGCATCGTGCAGCAAGAAACAACCTGCGCGTCGCGGCTCGCGAGCAGCATTCGTTGACCCTGTGGCCGCCTCACTCCCTCGCTCCCCCCACCCACGCTTCATTGCTTCATGTGCGCTTCGTTGACCAGTATCTCAATTCCGGCTTTCGAATTTCCCTTTCCCCTGCCAATGCATCCTCACCCCATAGCTCACTTTGTCTCCACCCACTTGCTGTGCTGGTCCTGCCCCCCCAACGTCATTTTCCCACCACCCCCGCCACCATTCTCAGCGCTTACACCTCACTCACGCCTCCACCCTCGGTTGGAATGGAGCACAACGCAACCAAGGATCTCCACTGAATCACTCACTTGGGCACAAGTAGTAACAGCGGTAGCGAACAAGGCCGTAGGGCCATGTCGCCGTCGTCGTCGTTGTCGTCGTCAGTGTTGTCATCGCCTCGAGTCGTCGTCACCGTGACGCCGTGGGCCGTCGCGTGCACTCTGCTGGGGCTGCTCGCGCTGGCCGCGGGGAGGAAATGGGAGCCGTCGCAAGGTATACCACTGGCATAGAGAACAGTATTACAGTACGGACAGCGTCACAGCAGCGGTAGTACCTGTGCCGCTAGTGTTCCTTCAAACTATCAAACGCCGCCGCATGACACGCGCGACTGCCCTTCAAACTGCCCGTCCAATGAGTCAATTCGGAATCTGCCTCGATGCAGTCCAGTCCAGTCCACTCCCCGCATCACTTAATTAATGTCGCCTGCCTGCCATTGTCCCCGCTGTCTGATCCCGCTCCTAGTGCCCCTTCTCCTCCTCCTCTTCCCCCTTCACCACCTGCAGCCCCTTCCCATCCCCCACCAACACCTATCGTCTTCACCATTCATTCCTGTCGTGTGTTGCGCACTTGTTAACCTCTCCCTCTTCCCCACCCGCCGCAAACCCTACCCTCCACGCTTCTTCCTGTTCCCTTCCTTCGCCACTCCCGGCAACCTCTTGCACTCGGCCCAACCCTCCATTTCCCCCCCCAATCCCTCCCTCTACCCCTTCCCCCACTCCCCCTCCCCCGTGCGCGTCTTCCGCATCATGCGCGGCGGGTGCGCGCGCGCAGCGGCGGTGCTGCTGGAGTGCATGCGCGAGTGGTGCGCGGACTTCTTCGGGTGGTCGTACAGCTCGCAGTGCTTCCAGGCGGAGCTCGTCACGTGCGACGAGGACGGCATGGTTACCAGCATGTGAGACCAGAGACAGTGGCGCCCACTTCTGCCAGTATTTGTGCTTCCCCGCTTCTACAATCACTGCTGGTTGTACGCACGTCATGACTTTCGAGTCGACTCAAAAGTCACCTCGCACGTCATGCGCGGATCGCACACCCAGTGGGTGCCCCAGCGAATCACCATGCGGGTGCGGCACATGCGTCGCTCGGCTCCTCCCCATGCCTCGTCCTCCGCCCCTCTATCAACGCCCCTCTCCCCATGCGTCTCCTCAAGGGTCTTGATCCGCAGTCGCCCCATCCGCAGTCGTGTCTCTTATCTCACAACGGCTCTAATTCCGCTGTCCTTGTGTGCGTGTTGTGCTTGTGCGTGTGTGTGGAGTGGGCGAGCAGGAGCCTGGTGGGCATGGGGCTCAACGGCAGCATCCCTTCCTCCATTGGCCTGCTCACCCGCATGACGTACCTGTGAGTGCGGCGCCTTGCCGCATGCACATGATGCATGCATACATAGAGCGTGGGCGGGTGGTGACGAAAATGCAGGGAGACAGGAACTTAAAGCATGAAGCACTTTGATAGCTGCTGTATCAAACCACATGGTGCATGCGTGGTGCATGCGTGGTGCATGCATGGTGCATGCATTGCGCTGCTGTATCTCACTTGTACGATATTGCATGCCGCCTTACTTTCTCTGCTGCTGCAGGGACCTGAGCGACAACCATCTGGGCAGCACCGTCCCACGCTCCCTGCAGCACCTCTCGTACATGGACACACTGTGAGCCGCCGTTGCGAACCGGCGTTTGAAATTCCTTCAAAACTAGCTTCCGTTGCCAACCCGCCACGAGTGCCTCTCTGTGCCCCACTCGGGTAATCAACAGATTGCATCCTTCGAGCATCTCATGATTGGCATGTTCTCTGTTCCCATTTGCGTCACCACTTTATGTGGTACCAATACACCCCCTCTCTCCCTCCCTGCTGCATTCCTGGCCCCCCAAACCTCCGTCGCCGCCCTTGTGCGTCTATCGTCTGGCTGTTTGTTCTGTGCCCTTTGTGCGCTGCAGCAACCTGGCGAAGAACGAGCTCAACGGCTCCATACCTGAGTTCATTGGCACGCTCACCCGCACCACCTTCCTGTGCGTTAACAACATGCATGGAGGGGCATGGAGGGGCATGGAGGGACATGGAGGGACATGGATGGGCATGGATGGGCATGGATGGGCATGGAGGGGCATGGAGGGGCATGGAGGGGCATGGAGGGGCATGATTGGAACGTTGCATCCCCTCCCCCCACCCGCTTTCCATTTCATATGCCCCTTGTGGGCTCACCAGCCTCACCTCTCACCCGTTGATCCTGGCAATATCCCACTATCAATACTGTGGCTCCGTTCTCTCTTCTCCACCTCGTTCAACCCTTTCAACCCTCTTATCCATTTTCGACCCTCTTCCCCCCGCCCAGCAATTTGGCGGGCAACCAGTTTTCCGAGTCTGTTCCTTCCAGCGTGGGAGACCTCGTTTCGCTGCACTACCTGTATGTCGGTTTGTATGCACAGAGGCATGGGATGGGGTGGTTCAAGCATTGTACTTGGCTGTTGAGTTGTGGTGGTGCATAAGTCTCAAGGGGATGCACCTTATACCCGTGGCATCACATGTACATCCTCCATCATTGCATGTGCTATCCGTCATTCCAAGTTCCAGCAGCAGCCTCATCATCATGTCATACATCCGCTCCTTTTCTTCCTCACCTTTTCTTCCCCGATATCTCCACTCATGGCAGCGACATCAGCAACAACTCTCTCTCAGGCGCCCTCCCGCCATCGCTCGGCAACCTCACCGACCTCCGGAGCCTGTGAGTCAGTTTTTGAGGCGCCTCAAGCATAGACTTATAGGCCTACCCCTCCCTCTATCACTAGGCAATCTCTCAGGCTTACCGAGCCTGTGAGTCGCTCCTCGTGCGCTCACCCATCCACCCACACCCTCAATTCCTACCTGGAGTTGCCTTGAGTTCCGTCCACGCTCCACACACACCAATCCACTACCTCCCGCTCACCGATCCCCTCTCATGTTCCCTCCCTTTGGATAGATACCCATTTGAAGACTTCTTAACTCTTCCCCATTGCCCTCACATCGCCCTCGCTCTCCCCTTCTGCGTGTTCCGCAGCAAGTTCAACTCGAGTATGGCGGCGCCCGTGTGCCCGTCCTCGGGCGAGTGCACGGTGCGGCAGAACATGTCCTCCGCCTTCTGCTCCGTCTGCGCTGTGTTCTGCCGAACCTGCGGCGGTGAGGCCCACATAGTGCCTCATCCCATTCCTGCCTTGCAACTTTCCTGTCTTGGCACATCCCTTGTCTTGGCACATCCCTTGTCTTGGCGCATTCCTGTCTTGGCACATCCCTTGTCTTGGCACATCCCTTGTCTTGGCACATCCCTTGTCTTGGCACATCCCTTGTCTTGGCACATCCCTTGTCTTGGCACATCCCTTGTCTTGGCACATCCCTTGTCTTGGCACATCCCTTGTCTTGGCACATCCCTTATCTTGGCACATCCCTTGTCTTGGCACATCCCTTGTCTTGGCACATCCCTTGTCTTGGCGCATTCCTGTCTTGGTGCTTTACTGTCTTGCCGCATTCCCTCCTGGCCCACTCCTGGATCCCCCCTCAAATTCTGCTCCATGCCACATTTTCCACCTGCCAGCTCCCCTATCACGCTATGCTCATGCCCTTCCCAACCACCCCCAGAACACCCCCCTCATTCTGAACAAACCCCCCCCAACCTTCTTTTACCTCCCCCATGTCCCCTTGCAGAACTGCTTGGCACCTCGGCCCCGGAGTCTCAGCCGTCCTCGGTTCCTTCGCCTCCGTCCCTTCCGTCAATCGCTCCCGCCTCTGCCTCGCTCCCACCCCCAGCACTCGCATCCCTACCAGCCCCTGCATCTCTCGCTCCACCCTCCCTCTCCTCCATCCCTCCCCCGCCCACCTCCTCCCCACCTATTCCTGCGCCTGTTTCAAATTCTGGCAATGCCACTGCTGCTGAAGGAAGCACTAGTGGTACCAGAAAGGAGGTGCCTGAGTCCGCAGTGGCACTGGCGGTGGTAGCAGCTGCGCTGGCAGCAGTGGCGGTGGCGTGTTTGCTCATGGGCGTGCGGTGGGCCATGGATAGAAGAGACAGGTCAGGGAACAAGGCTGCGTGGGAGCCGCCTGCTTGAGTTTTGAACAAAGCAGGCCTTTCCAATCTTCCGGAATGTTGACTGCTTGTGCTTGTGCTTACAGAGGCAGGCAGACCTCGACCTAGAATGCACCCCAACTCAGGGTTGAGGTCGCTCGCTACAATTGCCCCTTCGTTAGCGCTTCAATAAGAGTTATTCGCTTGTGAGTCAAAGTCTGACGGCACATGCCAAGATAACCATGTTGCTATGAAGTTTTAGGTGTAGAAAGTTACCGGTACCTCAAATCTTCTAACTGGGGCGAGAAATATCGGAGCAAATTTATCGGCAACTCGAGTGCAAATTTATAATTCGTGAGATTAGCTGGACCAACAGAACAAGCAGACCATTCAGGTCTCTGCCAGCGATTTTCAGACGTCCCAGTCAGCGTCCCAGCGGCCATTGACGGCTAGTCGCTTGTTCTACCTCTCGACCGGCCAGCGCGTGTGGGTTTTTTAAGTCGTCTACACGCGCAGGACGCGGGAACGATGGTGGCGCTTATTACGGGCGGCAGGGGCTTTCTGGGATCCCTGCTGGCCAAGGCGATTGCGGGGGGTGCACTGGCGGAAAGCGCGGACGCTTCGGCGGAGGAGAGGGGGGAAGCGGGTGGCGGAGCGGAGGGTAGTGCAGCGCGGGATAGCAACGATGGCGCAGGGGCGGAGGCAGACGTGAGGGTGATTACCGTTGATGTGACCCCTCCCAGTGAGCGCGACATTAACGCGCCCGGAGTCAAACACGTACGCGGCTCCTCTCCTCTCCTCTCCTCTCCTCTCCTCTCCTCTCCTCTCCTCTCCTCTCCTCTCCTCTCCTTCCTCGCGCCCTGCTCTCTCCACCCCTCCTTCTTCCGTCGCTCACCATCCTCCTTCGCCTGCACCCCTTAAAGCCAGGGACCCAGGGCTCTCTGTTCCCCCGGGTCCAGTTCTCCTCAGCATCAAGATGCTTCGCTCGTGAGGAGTCTGATTTAAGTTGTCCTCAGCATTCAAGTTCCCCCAAGAAGATAGAAAATCGTTTCCACTTTTCCTCTGCATCAAGACGTTTCGCTTCGTTGCTTCTCGTTCGTGCGTCCCCTCACTGCTGCTCTTGTCTCTCGCTAACCCACCTGTAAAGCGTCCTTCCATTCAGGTCACCGCCTCTGTGTGCCTCTTTCTCCCCGTGCCTCCCTCTCTCTCTCCCCCCAACCCTCGCTGCCCCCCCCACCGCCCCATCTGCTCGCATGCATTCCAACCAATCAGGTGGTAGGAGACATCACCGATGCCACGTTTCTAGCCGCTCTGATTCGTCCATCTGTCACCCAGTAAACGCCTCTTTCCTTCTCTTCCCCAACCTCTCCCCCCCTTCTCGGCCTCTCGTTCTCTCTCCCTAGCCCACCGTTTACTCCCTCCCTACTCCGTCCATTCTCACTCTCGCTCCCTTCCTCACTCGTCCCCTCACTCTCATCTGTCCTCTTCTCCCATCGCTATCTTTCTCCTCTCCCATTCCCCTTCACCTTCTCACTGCCCCCTATCCCTCCCGATCCTTCTTCTGACCACCCACTCTCTTTCCTCCTCTCACTCTCTCTGTGCGCGCAGCATATTCCACCTGGCGGCGGTGGTGAGTGGAGCAGCAGAGAAGGACTACGACCTGGGGATGATGGTAACGCGCTGCAGTGCTTGCCGTGTGCCATGTCTTGCCACCTGCCATGTCTCGCCACCTGCCATGTCTTTCCACCTGCCATGTCTTGTGGCGCACCATGCCCTTACATGCTCCATGCCTTTTCCATGCCTGTCCGCTCCGCGTCTCATGTCACATGTAGCTCCGCATAATCCATCCCCATGGCGCCACTTGCCATGCCATCCGTCCACCAATCCATAGCCAGAGGGAAATGGCCCAATACGTCATCATCACTGCACTGCATCACACTCCGCACGGCTCAGAGGAAAAGGTCATGTGCCACTGCCACACACACAAGCCACCCCCACTCTAAAACCATATTCTCACCCTCCCCAAGCCATATCCTTCCGTGAACCCTCAGTCTTCTGTCCCGCACTCCCATGCCCGCAGGTCAACTTCGACGCCACGCGCTGTCTGCTGCAGGCGTGCAGGGCGGCGGCCCACTGCCCTCGCCTCATCATGGCCTCCTCTGTCGCCGTCTTTGGTGCGCCGTCCAACAGCCCCTCCAACTCCCAGGTGCCGGTCCTCAACATGCTTGCTGGCTGGTCCTTGACAATTCTCTAACCCCAACTGCTCCACGGTCTACTGTTTACGGCCCATGGTCCACCGCACCGCAGCCCTCACGCAGGTGAGTTGGGTTTGAGAATTCTCGAAAACCAGGTTGACAATATTCTCCTCTCGCTTTCCCTTCTACCCAGCTCGTCTCTCTCGTAGCCTGCTTCTCCTTGTTTGCTCACCCAGCTGACCCTGCTCTTCCTATCCGCCTGCTCTTCCTATCCGCCTGCTCTTCCTATCCGCCTGCTCGTTCCGCTGTCGTCCCGGCAGGCTGCTTACACTGAAGACACCCCTGCTCTACCCCGATCCTCCTATGGCACTCAGGTACTTGTGCCACTGCCCCTGCCACTGCCACTACCACTACCAAATGGCACTGCTCTCTTGTATCAGCTCTCTTGCCAGTTACACTCCTTCCAGATAAGCCCGACCCCTGATCCTGCCCACTTTCTGCGTCTCATCATCCCACGGCGAGCAGAAGGCCATGGCACAGCTACTGCTGCCGGGCTTCAAGGTTACTTTGAGTCGACTCGAAAGTCACCCCCTCACTCTCTCTCTCTCCCTCCCTCCCTCCCCCCCACGGTGAGCAGAAGGCCATGGCAGAGCTACTCCTCTCAGACGCCAGCAGGCGGGGCTTCGTGGATTCAATAGTGCTGCGACTGCCCACGGTCGTCGTGCGCCCTGGCAGGTAAACACACAGCCGGAACTCAGCAGCCAGCAGCCAGCAGCCAGCAGCCAGCAGCCAGCAGCCAGCAGCCAGCAGCCAGCATACGTTCAAGTTTCAATCCACCCATTCTGAATTTCCTTCCGCCCCTACTTTCCAAATGTCAACCCCATCTCGCGCAATCCCCTCAGCTGTCTGCCACCCCCTGATTTGCACATTGCGGCACCCTCCATCGCAGCAGCTAGAATCGCAACCGCCACAAGCAATCACAGGCACAGCCTTCTTTCAATGGTTCATACGGCCTGCTCTGTGTCTGCTTTGTCTGCTGCCTTGTCCTAACCTCCCCTCTCCTGCCCTGCCCTGTCCTGCCCTGCCCTGCCCTGCCCTGCCCTGCCCTGCCCTGCCCTGCCATGTGCATGCGGCTGTCAGTCCCAATGCAGCGACGTCGTCCTTCTGCTCGTCCATCATCAGAGAGCCCCTGCATGGCAAGCCCGCCACCTGCCCCGTCGACCCGGCTCTGCCTCTCTGGCTGCAGGTGATGTGATGCTGGGAGGGAGACGTATGGGTTGGTATTGATCGAAGGTGGAATACTTTACAAGCGGGTTGCTCAGGCCTTATCACGCCCACCACCTCGCTTCAGGTGGTGCTGTCGGCGCCACACTGCTTCTGTTGGGAGCCACGTAGGTGGGCGATGTTACAGGCACGGTAACCACCTGCGCCCATGTGCACTCGTTTTTGGCCATGCCACAGATCCACAGACCACACATGCGTTTCGTCTTTTTCCCCACTTGGGCCAGCTAACTCCTCCTCCCTTCCTCCCCTCCCCTCCCCTCCCCTGCCCTCCCCTGCTCTGCTTGTGTTTCGTGCATGTGTGCAGTCCCCCCGAACTGTCATCCGCAACATTCTCCATGCGGCCCGCCTGCCGGCCCTGCCGCCCAACCACCCGCGCACCATCACTCTCCCAGGTCTCACTGTGAGTCATCCCACGCTCCAGTGCTCCACCTCCCCACTGCTCCTTTCTCCCTGCTCCTTCTCCCTCATTCTTTTTTTAAGGAAGATTCATGTCTGCAGAAGCTGAGTGGATGGCAGAAGAAAGAGACGGAAGGTTGATCCATCTTCAACTGAATCGCTGTGCAAGAAACAATGTTGAAACAATGTTCAAAAGGGCCCTGGCCAGGGCTAAGCTGTGAAGAATAACAGGAAGGATGAAACGATTGAACCACAACAACAAAGCATCTTCTCTCCCCATCTCATATTTGCGCAGAGACTGTAGGAGCAATCCGTTTCTGTCACATATTGATCCCCCTTGGCCTCATCTCCTTTCATGCCTCCCTGGCTCAGACGACAGCAGCAGAGCTGGTAGGTCAACTGCCGCGCTTTGGAGCCGACCCCAGCCTGGTGAGCAACTGCCTTGCCCTGTAGTAACACCTCTGCCTTTGCAGGTAAGCCTGTTCAAGGATTCTAATTTTGAGGCGCCTCAAAACAAGCCTGTTAAAGGAGATTAACTACTCATATGAACCTTTCCTCTCCCTCAAACGTCTCTTGATTTCGAGATTGCTGTCCTGGCTGCTGCCACTCCCAGCCATGCCGCATCCCTGCAGCATGTGTGCTGAACCTGTTTCATGTCTCCCGCTATTGTGTGTGTGCATGTGGCAAGTCGATGCAACTTTATTGCACTTTCGAGTGCTGCGTGTGGTGTGTGGCATGGGGCGTGTGGCTTGTGGCGTTTGGCGTGTGGCGTTTGGCGTGTGGCGTGTGGCGTGTGGCTTGGGGCGTGTGGCTTGGGGCGTGTGGCTTGGGGCGTGTGGCGGCGTGGCATGTGCAGGTGCAGTGGGTGCCTGACCCTTTCATCAACGACATAGTGGCATCATGGCCAGGCCACATACACACACCCACAGCCATCCAACTGGGCTTCCAACCGGACACGTGAGTGTTGTTGAGGCGCCTCAAAACCCGCGCGATACAGATCTAGTTCTGGGGCGTCTCAAAAGACATACGGTACACCGGCCCAGGGCCATCCATCCAACTAGGCTTCCAACCAGACACGTAACTCGCCATGCTCCTCATTTCACCATGTACATTTCAATTCACTATGCTCCTATTCAACCTCACCAAGTGTGCCACTGCCAAACTACTGCCCCCACCCCCCCACCCCCTCCCTCTCACTCCGTCAACTCTCCATTTTGGCCACCAGGGAAGTGGCATCCATAGTTGAGGAGTACGTGCAGGAGTACGTCAAACCCATGCACTGACCAGCATGCCATGCCTCCCCAAGCCTACCCATGCCTGCACCCATACATGTTGGTGTGCATCGGCATGCACATGTGTTTGCTACCTAGGTGTATCCTCGTAATATATTGCTATGCGTCTTTCCCAGTTCGCCTGAAATGCAGTATACTTGCTCATGTGAGGTTTACAGTAAGAGCTAGTGTACGTGTGTAGATCACTCCTCTTTGACAGCCTGAACCTTGGGTTGGGTTCAACGCGACAAGCTGGTTGCTTTTGGTAGACAGAGGAGGCTATCGAGACCTTATGTAGTACCTACCACTGCTTCAGACGAATTTGAGAGGTTTCCGTTTTTGGAGAATTGCATCTCAACTTCACAGTAGCATACACGGTACCGGTAGTTGTGCTTGAGCTGGCCGACTCATCAATCACATTTGAGCAAGCCCCGAGGTCTCTCAATCAATACATGTTGCTCACAGTAATACCGTATAAATAGCACCACAACATTTACAAGACCAACCACTTTCTCTAGCATTCGTCTAGTATACATGGAACCACACCTACACAACAGCACAAAAACCTGTCTGTGGACAATACCCTAGCAGCAGGCTACGAAGGATAGGCACAGTATGGCCCAACAAATGACAGCGATGCACACAGATGGGTTGAGCATATGTTGTAGTACCGGTACGACGTAACACAACACACGAGCGTAGGTTGTAGCACACACCCGACACGCGCAATCCACGGCGCAAAACAAGGCCTGCCTTTCACTCCAGCGGACATGAGGGAAAGTACATTTTCTTTTGCTTGCAGCAGCAGATTCAACCCTTGTCAGAAATTCCGTGGAGACGCCCCTGCTTGAGGAAGAGCGCAAAAAAGCACGGATCAGTGGGGCGGGGAGGTAGAGTATGTGAGAAGCAGGAGAGGCAGGAGCAGGGTGTTTTTGTTGTGCAAGTGAATGCATGGGATTGGTTGGAATTAGTGTCGGATGAGAGACTGACTAACTGGTGGAGAATTGGTTGTGCGCATTGGCTGATGGAGGAAAGGCAGGAAAACAGGAAATGCAGGTGAACAAGAAAGCGAGGGAAGAATATGAGTGATGGAACAGAAAACCAACAGGGCATGAGGAGGTATTAGCGCGCACGTGCGTGTGTGTGTGTGTGTGTGTGTGTGTGTGTGTGTGTGTGTGTGTGTGTGTGTGTGTGTGCGTGTGTGTTTTTTTGTGTGTGTGTGTGTGTGTGTGTGCGTGTGTGTGTGTGGATGGGTTGTGGGGTTGGCGGGAGGGGGTTGTGACCTGAAGCAGCAACGGAGCGCCAGATGGAGGCTGCACTGCGCTCCATCACCTCCCTCACCTCCTCCGCATTCTGCCACGCACGCATGCACCACACGCGCACATCGAACGCAAGTGCACATGCCTCATGACACGATACAACATGACATGACAAGCCGTAAAAATGAATGGCAACGGACGTACGGCACGGCGGAGTGCTCTGAGCAGAGAGCAGAAACTCAGAAACTAAAAGAAAAAGAAAGGCGCGGCTAAAACTCCAACCCCTTCACCCCTTCCCGCACCCCCCCTCTCCCCGCCACCCCCCCACTCCCTTGACCCTTGACCCCATACTGACATCACACTGCGCCACCAGCTGTGTTCGCTTGGGCATGGCCCACCCCCACAGCCGGCACGCCACGTTCACTGCCCGCGACATCTGCGTGGGGCTCAGATGCCCTGGGAGGGATTGGGGATTGGGGGGTGGGGGGGTGGGGGGACGGGTGGGGTGCGGTGAATGGTCGATGATGGACTACTCAGCTGGGAAAGTGGTCAGCAGCACAACAAGGACAATGCGAGAGAGCTTGAGGCATTTTGACGGCTCAGTATGAGAATCTGAGCCACGAGCCTGCACTCACAGTCATCAGTCATGGTGAGTATCTGCGCCACCAGCACCGACACGTCTCCCAGGGGCCATTTGCGCCTCTTGCCAACGGTAGCAGAGAGCTGCGCTCGTGGACAGTGTGCCATCCCTTTCCCCCGGCACCCAGTACACATTCCCCCCCCGAGCCTGCACTCACAGTCATCCGTCATGGTGAGTATCTGCGCCACCAGCACCGACACGTCCCCAAGCGGCCACTTGCGGCTCTCCCCGACAGTCGCAGCGAGCCGGGACGCCACGGCGAGCGAGAGGTCGGGCTTCTCCTCGTCCAGCGGGTACACGATCTCCAGCAGCGCGGCCGGGCGGAGTGAGGGGGACGTGGAATCCGGGAGGGCTAGGAGGAGCCCGCGCAGGCCCCAGTCAAAGACTTCTAGATCTAGGGGGTCCGCACAAGAGCCCTCCTCGTCTATGGCCTGGGGAATGGAGAGGGGAGAGAAAGGGAGCTGATGAGAACTGGGGGGGCGTAGACGGCCAGAGCAGGGCCCTGTAAGGCCCCAGTCAAAGAGCTCAGGTGCAGGGGTTCGGAGAAGCAGCCTAATTGTCCACACCCTGGATAGCAGGAGGGGCGAACAGGGGGTTGTTGAGATACAGGAGAGGAGATACATGGTAAATCTGTAGGACAAGGAGAAGGCCGGGACGAGGTGGAGAGATGGACAAGGCTCCAGATGGAGTAAATCAAGGGGGACGAGACGAGGGCAAATACCCTTGACTTGATGTGAGTGCACAGGATGAGGTGCCAAAACACATGCAAGAACCACCCACCTCGTATGTGTGCATGAGCGATTTGACATGCATGGACTCGAGCAGCAGCGGCAGGTGCAGGTCCGTCTCCAGGTTCCTCCCTATCCGCAGCCACACCGCCCACCCCACCTCCGTCGCCGGCTCCACCATCCTCTCTATCACCTCGATTGCCCGCTCCTCCCTCTCAGCCCCCGCAGCCCCCTCCCGCATCCCCTTCCCTGCGCCCTGCTCGCCCCCCCCCCCCTGGCCTGCGCCACTCCCCAGCCACCGGTTCAGTATCACGAGAGCACTAAGCTCCTTCTCTCTCCAGTCCACCACCACGTTACCCATTCGAGACACCCCCAGAGCGCCGCCTGCTGCCCCGGGCCCGCCTAGCAGCCCCCTGGAGTGCATGCGGAGGAAGTTGAGGGTGACTTCGTATGCCCAGGGGTGGCGTAGCTTCATCTCAGAGCAGCGTAGCATGGCGTCTGCTAGCTCTGCTACGTATGATGCCGGCCTGCAAGCCCTGCTGCTCACACCACTGGTACAGCGTTCCATCCCCATGCCGCTGCTGACGCTGATACCGCTGCTGCTGCGCTCGATGCCGCTGCCACTGCCGCCGAATGCAGCGCCACCGCCAACGCCACCAGGACCGTTGCCAGCCCCACCACCCCCACCACCCCCACCACCCCCACCCCCTCCTCCTCCGCCCTCCACTGTTGCAATATGCGCAGTCTTGACCGTGGTGGCAAGGCGGGCGAACCTGGCATTGACAGACTCGGCCCCACTCCCCTGAAACACCATGCGGATCACATGGTCAAACCCATCAGCAGGCAGCCGCCCCGACGCCACGGCACACAGCACCACATGGAACGCCGCTTCTTCCAACCCCAGCGACTCCATGTGCAACGCCAGAGAGACAAGGTCATCCGGGTGCAGATGCTTCATCTCCCTCATCTCTGCTGCCAGGTTCATTGCTAGAACCCCCGGGCCGAGGCCCAAGCTGTAGTAGAGGCGATCGATCTCCTCGCATCGTTCGGACAAGTTGCTGTGCTTAGCACGAGCTATGCCCTCGGCTAGTGCCACTTCGGCGAGACTCGCCAGGCGCATCGGCTGCCAGGGCTTCTGGGTCTGGTTACCGGGTAACAGCAGGCTGGGCCGGGGCGGGGAGGAGGAGGAGAGTGGGTGGTGTTGAGAGGACGTCGGGTGGCTTGGGGAAGTTGGGGAGGTGGGAGGGTTTGGGGGAGTGAGGGTGCGGTCGTGGCATGCTGTGAGGACGGCTTTGAGGCAGGAGAGGACGAAGGAGCGGCAGGAAGGGAGGTTGGAGGGAACCCGCACGTTAAGCACACGGCTGAAGCTGGGGAGGTCCGGGGCAGAGGAGAGGAGCGAGGTGCTGGTGGTGCTGGGAGGCTGGTGAAAGGTAGATGTGTGGGGGGAGGAAGAGAGGGAGGAGGCAGTGAGAGTAGAGAGCGATGGGGGGGAGGCAGAGGCGGAGGCGGAGGGGGGCAGGGGGGGCATAGAGGAGGATGGGGGGTTTGAGGAGGAGGATCTGGAGGTGAAGAAGGGTGATGAGGGACGGGGGAAGCCCACAGGGAAGGACAGAAGACTGCTGTGCTTCGTATGTGACTGCTGCTGCTGCTGCTGCTGCTGCTGCTGCTGCTGCTGGCTCAGGTGCTGTTGCTGCTGCCCTGTCCCTGCACCACCGCCTCCTCCCCCTCCCAACCCTGCCGCAGATTCCAGGCCGAGCCCAGCATTTGACACTGACACTGCTCTGCGCCTAGTCCACCCAGGGGACCCAGGCTGACTGCCACCACTCGTACCTCCTCCCCCTCCTCCTCCTGCTCCTGCTCCTGCTGCCGCTGCCCCCCCTGCGCCTCCCCCCCCCCCAGCAGCAGCAGCAGCCATCAGAGCACCCATGTTCCCTGACCCAGCCAGTCCAGTGGTGCGAGACGGCGGTGTGAGGGAGCGGGACGAAGCCGTTCTGGGGTGCAGGGCAAAGCTGCCACTGCCGTCCCGAACAAGACCCGACCCCAGCGAGCCCTCTCGCATGGACATGGTCAGCGAGCCTTCTCTTGGCCATGCGAAGTTGTTCGCGAGGAGCTCAAAGCGTGCAATGCGGTGCAGGAGGCGCAGGAGGCACACGCACGCCGTCGCCGGCTGCCACGAGCTGATGGCGGCGCCTAGCCCGGCCACAAGGAGAATATCATCCTGGGAGCAAGTGGCAGGCTGCGGCTGCCCAGTGCCTAGAGCTTCCGAGAGTAGCCTGGCTTGCAGGCTCCCTTCTGGTCCCCATCCCTTCCCCGTCCCAACCCTTCCGTACCCTGCTGCTGCTGAGTCTGCTGCTGAGCCGGCATCAGCACCACCTGCTGCTATTGATCCTGCTGTGCTGCCTGCAGTGCTGCGCCTTCTGGAATGGTGTTCTTGCCTACTCAGGGACTCACGCTCCTGCCTTCCCATGCCGCCAGCACCACCATCGTATGAATAGCGGCATGACGACCCTGAACCCTCCCTCTCTCGCTCCCTTTCCCTTTCCCTGCTCCTGTCCTTCTCCCACTCCCTCTCCCTCACCCTCTCTCTCTCCCTCTCCCGCTCCCTATCTCGCTCCCTATCCCTCGGTCTCTCCCGATCCCTCTCCCTCTCCCGTTCCCGCTCCCTTTCCCTCCAGGGTGAGCTCGAGCCACTACCTAAGGGATCCCTCAAAGGGGACGCACCAGCAGAGTCCAGAAACCGCGGCGAGAGAAACCCGCCCACACTGCTCCCCCCGCCACTCACACTGTCCCTCTCCCTATCCCTGCTCGCCTGTTCCTCCTCCTCCTCTTCCTCCACCACCCACTGGGGCTTCACCTCCCCCCACTGCTCCCAGTACTTGAGCCACACCGCCAGCCCCGCAACAAACACCTCCCCCACATGCGCCTCACTGAGCTTCTCTGCGCTGTCCGCCACTCCTCTGAACTTCCGCCGCACCCATTCGTACTCCCGCACAGCATCAGTGGCCGACCAGTGCCGGCTGCGGCGCCGGTGCGTGATGCGCGTGACGCACACAGGCGCCGCTTCCGACCACGACCGGTCCGATAGAGAAGACACAGGCCCACCTCGACCACGAGAGGAAGACGCAGACGAGCCCCCCCCTCCCCCTCCCCCACCTCCTCCCCCCCCTGCGCTACGGTTGGATGCATACGGCACACCTGCACCATCGTCATCATCGTCATCGTCATCAGCGCCAAAGGCATGATGTGGGGCTCCCCCGGGCATGAGCGGCAGCATGGCGGCGTCATCATCATCATCCTGCCCCGCGAGGCGCTGCAGCATCATCTCCAGGTACTGCATGAAGAGCCACGACCAGTGGTCGCGGCACTGCTGCGCGCGCCGCCGCGCCGCCGCGACGGGGCCAAACTCCCGGTGGAGCACGCGGGCGGGCACGGCGGGCGGGGCATGCGCAGCATGGGGGTGCGCGTGCGCATGGGCAATTTCTGGGCGGCGCATGATGGAGAGCGTGCGCACGTAGAGCAGCTCTGGAGGGACTTCCTCGTCGATCGGAGCATGGGTGGTGTGCTCATAATCGAGTTCACGATCGTGATCGCGATCATGGTCCTGGTCGTGGCTGAGGTCGTGGGAGCTAGCATCGTCCGAGTCAACGAGCTCCTCCTCCTCGTATTCATCATCGCCATACCTGCGCCTGTGCCCACCTGCCCGCCCACCCACTGCAGCATAACTCCTTGAGGCACCCCTTCGTCTTCTGTCCGTATGTCCTCCCCTGCCCCCCCTGCCGGCCTGCTCACGCCCATGCCCCCGCGCGTGCGTGCTTGCACCAGGAGACATTTGAGTCGACTCAAAAGTCATCGCGTGTGTGCTTGCACCTGGAGACATCCCATCCTCCTCCCCCTCCTCCTCACTCCAGTCCTCGTCCCCATCCATAACCTCATTCCCTCGCCCTCTGTACCGAACTCCCCCCCCCTTCCCATGCGCCACCAACTCCCCTCCTTCCCTCTTCCTCCTCACCCGCCCACCTCCGACCAATGCACTACCCACATTGGCCCCATCATCTCCCTCACTCTCCTCCTCCTCCTCCTCTGTGCCATACTCCCCCTCTTCATCAGAGTGCATCCCATCATCACTATACTCCGAATCAAACCCATCGTGGTCACTCAGCGAACCACCACCGTCATCACTCATCGAATCAGCATCAACCACCATGTCATCATCCACGTCAGCATACTCACCCTCTACCTCATCCTCATAAATATCCTCCTCCTCCTCCTCCTCCTCCTCCTCCTCCTCCTCTTCCTCCTCCTCTTCGCTCACTAGTTCCCTTGCAGGTCCTCTGATCCCCTCCTGTCTCAACAGCAGCACCTGTGGGCTAGTAGCCTCGCCTTCCCCCTCACCATTTTCTCCTCCTCCCTCCCCACCACCTTCCCCCCTATCTTCCACGTCAAGTCTCAGCTGCTGCCCCTCCACCAATCCTTTCTCCCCTCCCTCCCCTCCCGCCCCTCCATCCCCTCCATTCCCCCCCTCCCCTCCGACTCCTCCCTTTGCTCCCAGCTGCTCCTCCTCCCCAGCTCGTGCCCTTGCATCCTCCGCCACCTTTGCCCCATCATCCACCATACTGCCTTCCACCACCACCACCACACCTGCCTCTACCTCAAGCGCCCCTACCGCCGCCTCTCCCCCGTTCACCATCGCCGCACTCCGCTCGTTATCACCCACACATGCATCCACTCCGCTGCTTCCACTTCCACCCTCTCCTCCCGCCTTGCTGCTCCCAGCCTGGTTCTCTCCCTCCACCCTGCACACCCCTTGCTCTCCCTCCTCCACCGTCTCACTCAAAGCCTCCGATTCACAGCGTTTCACTACCGCCCCTCCCTCCTCGCAGTTCCTCCCATCCCCCCCCACACCAGTGCCACTCCCTGCCTCAGCCCCACCAGCCCCACTGCGGTCAATGCTCTCTATCCCTACAGCGCCCTTGTCACCTTCCCTCTCGCCTGCAGCAGCAGCTGCATCCTCCACCAATCTCCCAGCTGCTGCCTCTTCCTCTGCCTTTGCTCCTGCCTCTGCACCTGCCCCTGCCCCTGCTCCTGCCTCTACCTTTGCCTCTACCTCCGTTGCGTGTGTCTGAGAAACAGGAGAGACGACCGCAGGAGCAGGCACATTCGCACCGGCAGCAGCTGCCGCTGTTTGGGAAGGGGCGGGGGGGGGCATGACAGGAGAACACGAGGGATGAGAGGAGCGCCAACTGCATGGAACAAAGGCAAGAGACATGTTTTCACCCAGAAAGGCAACGGTCGGTCATGAAGCGTGAGGAGGAGCAAGGCTGCAAGGGGGGCTAATCGTGTACCGGCCTCGGACTGAGTGACCTAAACGCCGACAATGGGCCACGCGAAGCAAACTGACCTTGTGAAGAGCCGGTGGGCAAAAGATACCCGAGAGGTTGCACAAGTACACCTGTCAACCCCATGTCTCCCACTGCACGCCTTCCTTCCACCCCTGTCTCCTCCTTCCCACCTCCTTCACTGCCCGCATTCACCCCCATACCAGCCTCCTGTTCTATCCCCCCACTGACACCATCTGCGCCCCCTTCTCCCACCTCCACTCCTCCTACCCCGTCAGCACTACCCTCTTCCTTCACCCTCTTCCCTGTGCCTGCTGCTGCAGCAACCACAGGCAGTGGGGGGGGAGCGATGGCAGCGGCGGCAGGAGGAGTGGTGGGAAACGAGAAGGCATCAGCAGATGGAATCAAGGGAGCTGCTGCTTCTGCCGCTTCTGCTGCTTCTGCTGCTTTTTGTGGCGCCCTGCTTTCTGTCGTCTCCTTGGTGTCTGCAGCTGTTGCCATGGGTGGAGCAGGAGCAGGAGTAAAGGCGGTGGGTAAAGGGGGAGCATCACGGGCGGAGGACGAAGCGGGGGTGTGTGGGATGATACGAGGGGACAAGGGCGGCAAGCCATGCCCAGCACCATCCACTCCCGAGCCCCCACTGCCAAACCCACTACCAACGCTACCAGCAGTGCCACCGGCCCCTAGCTGCCCCTCCTCCATCACTCTCGACCGGCTTCTCTCCCTCCTCCTCTGCCTCTGCTCCCGCCGCTCATTGGCATCAGCATCACCAGGTGTAGCAGCCGCAGCGGCTGCAGCATTGGGAGCGCTCTTGGGGCCCCCCTGCGCCCACGCCTCACTGTGGTGCTTGGGCGGTATATGCAGCATGTCTGGCCGGGCGCGAGACTTGGAACGCCGGTGTGACCGCTCTCCGCCCTTCCCCTCCCCTCCTGCCTTCCCATCCACTCCTCCTTTCTCTGTCGTCTCCCCTTTCTTCCCCCCGCCATCTCCCCCACCTGCCCCTGCGCCCTTCTTGTTCCCCTTGGGTGACGACCCTGCAGCTCCACCTTCCGCCTTCTCCCCCTTCTCCCTCCCCCCTTTGTCCTTCTCCCCACCCCCAACCCCACCCTTTCCTCCCCGCGGACTCTTCGCGCCCAGCACCAAAACTCCACTCCCCCCCGTCCCCCCTGTCCCCACTCCGCCTGCCCCCGCGCCCCCTCCCTCCCCCCACGCCAGCACGCCAGCCAGATCCGCCCCTGACCGCGACGTACTGCGGCGCCGCTGGTGCCTGCGCCCCGCAGCACTCCCCCCTGCTGCTGCCGCCGCCGCCGCTGCTGATGCTGCTGCTGCTGCGCCTTCTGCTCCGGAGCCCCTGGGGCTACGAGCTGGGCGGGGGGAGGGCGTTACCCAAGCAGAACCCCCGGTACGGGGGGAGAAGAGAAGGGCAGCGGATGGCGTGCTGGGGATGCTGCCAGTGGGCGTGTTGGGGACGGTGAGGGGGGTGAGCACCTGATCCAGGGTGAATTCCCCTGAGCCAAAGAATGCAGCAGAGGAGGAGGCGTCAACGGACGCGAGAGCAGCGTCGACGGCGAGGAGCGGGTCGGAGTCCAGGAGAGAGGGGGACATCACTGCTCGAGCGAGCAGCTCCCCGCTCGCTGCTGCGCGCGATCGGCTGCGACCCAAGCGACGCTCCCTGCGGATCACAGCCCCTCCGGAGGGCGCGCCTGCAGCAGATGCAGAGCCAGAGGCAGACGCTGACGCTGTGCCTGCAGCCCCTGCTGCCCCTGCACTAGCTCCAGCCGCTGCACCGGAGACGCCTGACCCCTCCCCTTCGAATTCCAGCCCCCTCTCCCAGCTGACAGTCCTGCCGGAATCAACCCTGCCAGATAACGCCGGCCCCTTGTCTTCCCCGTCATTCTGCTGCTGCTGCTGCTGCTGCTGCTGCTTGCCGCGTGGCACTGGCCCTGCGGTGTCGCCATGCCCCGCCGCTGCTACTTGCTCCTCCTGGCCTGCTGCAGAATTTGCGCCGCCAGCTTTCCCCCCGGCTGCTGCGCTGCGTGAAGCATCCGCAGAGTTTGCAGAATCTGCAGCACTTGACGCGGCGGCGGCATGTGGTTTGAGCCAGCTAGGCGTGCCCACTGCGCGCCCCAGCAGCACATGCGTTGAGCTGTCTGACACAGACGCAGGCACACCTCCCGCCCCTCTCCCTCCTTCCCCTCCCCCGTCCCCCCCCCCTCCTCCTCCTCCTCTCCCAACACTCCCTCCCCCGCCACTGGAGCTGTCCCCAGGAGACCGATTCAGCTCTTTCTTGCCGCTCGTGCTGCTCCGACGCGCCACCCTGCTGCTGCCACTGCTCATCGGCCTTACGCACCCAGCGCTGCTACCCCCTCCTCCGTCGCCCCACCCCTGCTGCTGCTGCTTGCGCGAGTCCCCCCCAAACATGCGCGAGGCCCCCCCCAGCAGCCCTGCAGCGGTGGGGGAGACTAGATCCCAGTCCAGCAGCCCCCGCCGCCTGCCCCTGCCCTCCGCGCCCCCCGGGGTGAGCAACGGCGAGGGGGTAGACAGGGGGGAACAGGCCAAGCCCCCGCCTGGACCGTCTAGGCTGGACACGCTGGGGACTCTCCCCCCCCCTGGCGCCCCTGCGCTGGCATTAATAGGGCTGGAGAGGGGGCTGGGGGTGAGAGGGAGCAGGGCTGCTGCTTGCTGGAGCTTCTTGGCGGCTTCCTTTCGTCGGTCAAGGGAGAAGGGGAAGGCGGCGCCCATGAAGCTCCTGGGACTCGCCGCAGCGGCGTCTGCTGTCTGTGGCCGGACCGTTGCCACGGGGGACTTCTGCGTGGCGGCCGCGGGAGTCAACGGCCTAGCCTCGCTGCTCTCGGCGCCTGACGAGCCCAGGCCCATGTCTTCGCCACTGTTACACGCGTCGCCGCTGCTGCTGGTAACCCCCGCTCCATGGGAAGGGGACGAGGCGGAATTGACCGAGCGCCTAAGCGCGCCGAGCTTCCACATGCCCTTCTTGATCGCCGCCGCTACTCCTCCCCGCGCGTGCGCGTCCACCGGGGAGAGCCCTATGGGGGATAGCATCTGCTCCGGCGTCACATCGCCCGTGCCTGCGCCGGGGGGGGTTCTTCCCCCCTCCGCGGGGGCGCCGGGGGAGTCGAGCGCGCCAGCGGCGGGGGAGTCGGTGGTGGCGGACTTGCGGAAGAGCCCGTGGAAGCGGGAGGCAGTGCGCGGGGTGTGGGAGCCGTGCTGCTCAGGAGTCGTAGTAGTAGCAGTAGCAGTGGTATTGGTATTGGTATTAGTAGTCGTATTGGCAGGCTCGGCGCGCTTGTGAGGGTCGCTGCTGCTGTCGTGCGAGACGAGCAGCGCGAGCTTGCGGCTCTTACTGTTGTACCACTTGCGGAATGTCGCGTCCGTGCCCTCCCCACCGTCACGATCGTGATGATGCAACAACCCATGCTGCTGCCGTTGCTGCTGCTGCTGCTGCTCCTGCTGCTGCGGCTCTACTGACCCCTTGCCCTTGCCGTGGTGCTTCCTCGACCCGTCCATACTTGCCCGCCTCTCCTTCCCATGCTTCTCCTTGCCGCTGCTCCGCTCTTTGCCGCTGCTCCGCTCCTTCCGCTGCGCGTCGGGAGAGGACCGGCCGACCACCGCACTCTCACTGCGGATCTCGGCGAGCATTGCGGCGGGCTCGAGCAGGGAGCAGGGAGCATTCGTGATTCGTTTCGCGATTCGTGAGCTATCAGCTCTGAGCACTCAGCGATCGTTCGCGAGGCCGGCTGAAAGCGGGCAGCCGGAGCGTGGAGCACGGCCAGTCAATTCGAGCAGAGAGCATTCTTTGAAGCAAGCCGTATTTACGGCAAGCGGTATTTGCGAGCAGAATCGCCGACGCTTGCTACCAAATGCTATGCAGAGACGCGGAGGGAATCCGCGGCACGCAGCGTCTACCTTTGTCATAGAACGCCATTTATATGAATCTCAAGCGGAGTGTTGTTGCAGCAGAGGCAGAGCAGAGGCGGCTGCTGGCGTCTTCTCACCTGGGTATACTACCATGGGAAGCGCCTGAGTGGTCTTGTGCTGCAGGTATTGTTCCCTGTCACGCGATGCGACCAAATAAATGACGTGACGAGACAAGACGACGACAGCAGCACCCAAGTAGCAAACCCTAACCAATGACTGGTTGTGATGGGGAGGAAATCGACGCAGTGCAGGCACGCCCACGAACGCACGACCATCCATCACTGCTTGCTCGCAGAACTCCCACTCTCTCGAGGTCTCTCCATCCACTCACACACATCATGCACTGGGCATCCTCATTTGAAGAAGAGGAAGCACCAACACGCAAATGAAAAATTGCAGAGTGCCCATATACTAGCGTCCATATCATATTTGGGGTAAGGATGAGTAAACAAATGGCAGCGGGAAACGAGACGGTGATTATTAAGAGAATCGTGATTTCAGAAAACAAATAAACGCATGTTCTTACCATTGTGTTAATATCATTCATAAACCATACCGAAGCACAAAAACTCTTAATGATACTCTTTGCTCATATTCCGTGATTCAATTATATTATTTCTAACGCCTATGTGGTGTTTAATTTAACAGTTAACACATTTTAGCCCCCATGTGTGCATCAAGTGGAATTAATTTGCCATAGATTATAAATGAAGTGTATATGCAGTGTATAAAACAATGGTGTGACTCAGATATACTTACGTCCACCTGTCAAACAGTGTGTGGATAAACGGTACTGTAGCGTTGCGGTCCTCTCGAGTACTTGTAGAGCGGATTTTTATGGGGCGCAAAAACCAAATTCCCTTTTCAGGGTGGAGCGCCCTTTTCCTCTTCAATGCCGGACGGAGGGGAGCAATGACGGAGGAACAAGAGGGAGGATGCAAGAAAATTCAGCACGTCACACGGTCACCCGTGACAGCATTATGCCATGTTGATAAGGTAAATGTGACAGCATTATGCCATGTTGATACGGTGAATGTGACACGAGCTACTACTGGTCGATATCCGAGTATGGATGCCGCGGCGGAATCCGCCGAGTCAGAAATTCGTGACATTGCACCGGGAATTTCGCGGAATGATACCGTACCGCGACACAACGGCTGGTTGAGCATGGAAGGAGCAGAAATAGTCTCAGCAAAGAATGGGTCCGAAGATGCGTGTCTGCAAAGAGCCGGCGTAAATCCGAATGGCGGAGACAACGATCATGATGCACGGAGTGAGGCCGCAGCACCCGCGCCTAGCATTCCCATGAATACCACTGCTTCTCTTTTCCGGCCTGAGCACCTAGGGAACTCCCAATCCGACGTGGCACTTTGGGAGTCGTCGGCCAACCCCTCCGCGGGCCGCCAGTCGCAGCGGTTGCGGGAGGTGGGCCGTGTGCACTGGCGCGCGGGGCGAGGCGGGCTGGCGGGGATTCGGGTGGGGTTTGGCGGAGTGGCGCTGCTGATGGGCGCAACGCGCTTGGGGGAGGACAAGGCGGGGAGGGTTCGGGGAGGGGAGGGAGGGGGAGAGGAAGAGGTGGAGCATGGCGCGGACGGGGGAAACGAGCGGCAGTAGCGCAGGGGGGGAGGAGTGTGAAGGGACGGAGGAGTGAAATGAGAGGAAGAAGTGTCCTTCAAAGGGTGGGCGAGGTGGGTGCGGTGGGTGCGGTGGGTGAGAATGCAGTGAGGAGTGATGGAGGAAATGTGCGTGGTGCGGCAGTAGTGACGGAGTGCCAATCAGTCGGTGATTGGTTGCTGAGATGGGGAGGGACCAGGATGCGGAAGAAGAGGAGGACGGCATGTCAGGATGCAGTAATGGCTCCTGCTGCTGCTGCTGCTGCTGCTGCTGCTGCTGCTGCTGCTGCTGCTGCTGCTGCTGCTGCTGCTGCTGCTGCTGTGGGTGCTGCGGGTGCTGCTGCTGGTGATGACTCAACGCCAATGATGGCGCATAGCGTGACTCCCACTCTTGCATGCGCTTTCGACGGTATGGGCCGTGATCCTGCCCCTGCTGCTGCTACTGCTGCTGGTGCTGCTGCTGCTGCTGGTGCTGCTGCTGCTGCTGCTGCTAACACTGATACCGCTGCAGCAGCCAAGGTTGCAGCTTCTCCTGCTGCCATGGGTTCTGCATCAGCTGCTTCCAACCCCCTCTCATCTTGTGATCCTGCACATCATGGCGCTGCTGGCACCTCCACTGCTGGCGCTAACATTTCCAATACAGCGGCTGCTTCTACTTCTACTAGGCCCGCTTTTCTCCTTACTCCTGTCCCGCTTGCTGCCTCCATTCCTCCTATTCCGCCTGTGCCTCCTGATGTTCTGGCTCCATCCCTTCTCCCCGATCCACCACCTTCTGCTCCCCTCCCGCAACCATCAGCACCGCACAAAAACCCAGCTGCACCACTCCCGCACCCAGCTACACCGCACTCCATCTTACCTAACAGCAGCAGCGGCAGAGGCTCGTTGGACCTGAACCTGCCAGCATGTGCTGGCGCCAGCGTTGAGGAGTGTCACCGCACTCTGGAGGGCGGCCTCCGTGACTGCAGCAAGGGGCTGGAGGGCCGAGTGGGCGTGTTTTCTTCCCCTTCAGCCATGCATCCTCCCGCTCATCCTCCTTCTCCTGCTCGTCATGCTCCTGCTCCTGCTGCTGCTCCTGCTCCTGCTCCTGCTCCTGCTCCTGCTCCTGCTCCTGCTCCTCTTACACCAACTTTTGCCCTGCATCCTACTCCTGCTGCTGTGCTGTCCCCTCCTGCCCCTCCCCCCCGCTGCACCGCCGAGCTTGATACCAATTCTCCTCTTCTTAGAAACACTCTCACCACTACCCTTCAGTCCCCTCCCACCCAGCAGAGCTCGCCTTTCTCCCCACCCAGTATCCCTGCTACTCCCCCATCACTCCTTCGTCGTCCCTCTGCCCTTTCCTCCTCCCCCACCACCCGTGCACATCACTTCTCTCTCCCACCCCCAATCATCACCACCCCTCTGCGTCCTGTAAGGCTGGGTCGTCTTCTCTCCTTCTTCCCCTGCACCGCCACCACCACCACTAACCCGTGGGCCTCAGCTGCTGCTCACGCCACCAAAACAACTCTTAAAACGTGGAATACAAATGATGTGCATCGAGAGAGATGTTCTGTATATACCACTCCTGCTGCTGGTGCTCATGCTGCCGGTGCTGTCAGTGCTGCCCGTGCCGCTGCTGCTGCTGTTGCTCATGCTGCAAATGCTGCTGGTGATGGTGCTGTTGCTGTGGAAGTGAGTGTAAATATGGGGCTATGTGACATGGACGATGAGGATGGGCTAGAGGATGTGCCTATAGCGATACGGTGGCTGTCACAGCGGGGGAGAAAAGGTGGGGGAGATGATGAGGAGGAGGAGGACGAGGGGGAGGAGGAGAAGGAGGTCGATGAGGGGAGGAGGGTGAGTGAAGAGGAAGAGGGGAGCAGTACAGAAGGAGAGGGTTTAAGATCTGATGCTGGCAAGGGGGGAGATGTCGGGCGGGGATCTGGAGGGCGGGGATCTGGAGGGCGTGGATCAGCAGGGCGTGGATCAGCAGGAGCCGGATTTACTGGCGGTCAGGCTGCTGGTGTTGGTGGTAGTGGAATCAGGCAGGAGGGCATTGGCGCGGAGGCATGTCAGAACGACGACCCAAGGGGGCGAGGGAGGGCGGGAGAAGGAAAGGGGAAAGGAGTGGGCATGGAAGGAGTGATGGGACAGGGGGGAAGAGCAGCGACGCAAGGGAGTGGGGGTGGGGGAGAAGTGGGTGGAGATGGGATGGGGGGAAAAGGGAAGCTGCTGAAGAGGAAGCGGCACCCGCGGCCCAAGGTTGTGAAGGATGGTGGAAGGGGAGGAGGGAGTGCAGGGAAGAGGAAGAGTGACGCTGTGAAGAGTGACGCTGGGAAGAGTGACGCTGTGAAGAGTGACGCTGGGAAGAGTAACGCTGGGAAGATGCGAGGTGGGGGGGGAAAGAGGGGGCAGCCAGGTGGAAGGAAAAGAGTGGGTGGAGGGAGGGGGGTCGGAGGAGGGAATGGAGAGACAGCCAGTGGTGTGGGCGGGAAGGGGGATGGTGCGTGTGGTGGCGGAGGAGAGGGAGATGCAGGTGCGGCAGGGCGAGGAGCAGGAGCGGGTTGTGGGGCTGCTGCTGCTGCTGCTGCTGCTGCTTCTGCTTCTGCTTCTGCTTCTGCTTCTGCTGCTGCTGCTGCTGCTTGTGGTGCTTGTGGTGCTGCTGGTGCTGCTGGTACTGCTGCTGGCGGGGAGGCTGCATTGGACGGCCGTGCGGCACATCCTCTGACCCAGCAGTCCACGCCACTCCCCACCCTACTACTTACCTCCACGCAGAAGCAGCAGGAGATTCAAATGCTGCAGCAGCAGGGGTGCAGCGGGGAGGCGCAGCAGCAGGAGCAGCAGCAGTGGCAGCAGGTCACAATGGTAGCAGAGCAGCTGGCTCCTCACGGCATGGAGGTGTGGAAGCAGCTCATGGTAAACGCAACCACCCTGCATGGTCCAGCTGTTCCTGCACCACGCGGCGGTGGCCCAATCCGCGTACCCGCAAGCTCGCTGCTGAGCCCGTCCCACATGCCCTCCACCCCTCCCTGTGCCAGGGCCAGGCAAACCACAGCTCGCACAACTCACACATTTTCTACAACAGCCCATGCTTCCCCTCTCTCACCCACTGCCGCACCTACTCTTGCCAACCGTCCTCCCCTTCCACCTCCCATGCTGTGTCCCTTGTCTCCCGTCTCCCCCCATACTTCGGTCCCCCCAACTCAGCATTCTGTGACTGCCTCTCATGCCTCGCACCCCCTCCTCTCTCCCCGCCGCCCCACTCTTCCTCTCTCTGCTGGCCCTCGTCCATCTGCCACCGCACCTCCTACCACACCTAGTAGCATTTTAAGGACAGCACCATTGTGCGCTAATCCCTGTGGCACGCCCACACAAGTAATTCCCACCAGACCGCTCCAGCTCCCTGTGCATTGCCTGCCATCCGCCCCCCCTCCAGCCTCACCGCTGCAGCAAGGACGGTCTTGCTCCTCCTCCGCTGTTCCTCTTGCTCCTCTGCATGCCCATGCTGCTGGTGCTGGGAAGCCATGTTGCACACTTGGCGAGTCGCCACATCAGCACCCCCTCACCCAACTCCCATCGCCCCAGCTTTCTTCTCCCCAATTCAAGTCCGCACAGGGCGTGTCGGGACATGCAGGATTGCTGGCAGGTGGGAGGTGGCAGCGACCTGGCGCAGTGGCAGCAGCTGCAGCACTGGCAACAGCGGCAGCAGCAGCAGCAGCAGCAGCATCAACAGGTCTATCAGCAGCAGCATCGAACACACCCGTCACTGCACTTCCTAACCCTGATTCCCCTTCCCTCTGCTGCGACCCCGCACTATGCTATGAGCCCCTCGCTCCTCCCCGCCTTCCCCCATTCCCTTCTGGTTCCGATGCCTTGGAGTATCCGACATTCCCTTCCGCAGCCCCCTCAGCCCCCTCAGCCCCCTCAGCCCCCTCTCTACACCCGCCACCAAGGCGAGAGCTCTTCTCCTCCTCCCAACCAGCCCCCCGCTTCCATCATCTTTCATACGAGCCCCTTTTATTACTGCCTCTCCAACACCCCCTGTCATTCTCACATACCCCTCCCACTGCCCACACCCCTCACACTGCCCACACCCCTCCCACTGCCCACACCCCTCCCACTGCCCACACCCCTCCGTTCAGCCAAGCCCTGCATGCTACCTCGACCAGCAACCTCGCTCCTGCCAGCACCATGACTGCCAGCCGCAACAGGACTGCCTGCCACACCAACCCATCCCTTGAAGTCCCCTCCACCCCTCTACCCTTGCGCTCACGCCGTGACCCTCCTGCGCTCTCTACCACCCCCAACTCTCCTCACTTCGCAGCCCTTCACTCTACCCTGGAATCATCTCGTCTTCGCCCCACACAACCTTTCTTGACACCCCCTCACCCTGCACCAGCTTATCCCACACTGCCTCACCGCACACCACCCCACCCCACACCACCTCGCCCTGCCCTCTACCCCCCCCACCGCTGCGCACGTTGCCTCCTCTTCCCCACCCTCGCGCCCCACCCCCCTTATCTCCCCCTCCCACTCTCCCTCCACCGTCGCCACACCTCGCCTCTCCTCCCCAACCCCTTCCGCTGATCTCCCCGGCTCATTCCTCCCCCTCACACCTCCCCTCCCATCTCTCCTCACACATCCCCTCCCATCTCTCCTCACACCTCCACTCCGTTCTCTCCTCACACCTGCCCTCCGTTCTCTCCTCACAACTGCCCTCCCATCTCCTCGCGCGCCTCCTCTCAAACTTCCCCGCACACCTCACCTTGGATTCCTTCACCGCTTCATTCGCTGCCTATGCATTAGCGGCGCGCTTTGACGTGGCTCAGAGGAGCCCACCTCCACCAGCAGCGGTGTTTGACCTGTCTAAAAGCTCCCCTGCGCCACCAGCACGAGGCAGCACAGCAGCAGCGCCTGCCCATGGGCCATGGGTGGGGGAGGGGATGGGAGTGGGGGAAAGGATGGGGTTGGGAGAGAGGATGGGAATTGGCACAAGGATCTGGTCGGGGGTAGATGTGGCTGGTGGCATAGGTGCAGGGGCACATGGTGCTAGGCTGGGTGGGGCGGTGCAAGTGGGTAGTCAGACGACGGCAGCGACAGGTCGGGTGGGAGTGGCACAAGGACAGTGTGTGCAAGTGGGTCCTTTGGCTCATGCAAGTGTGTTAGATGCTCCTGCTGCTGCGGCTGCTGCTGCTGCTGCAGCTGCAGAGACTGCTGCTACCGTGTCTGCACACACTCGAGCACTCCCAAATAACATATCAGCACCTCATCTACCAGCACCCCACGTGTCAGCACCCCATGTTCCACCACCTCCGCCTGCGTCCATGCAGCTAGCAGTGCGCGCAAGCCTTCCCATGCAGCCCAAGGGCAAGCTCAGAGGCAACAAGGGCGCCGACAAGCACACTCAAGCGCGCGCAAAGGTGCAGTTTGATGCAGAGGCGGAAGGGCAGGGGGGAGGGAGGGCGGTGCCGGTGGGGATGCTGGAGTGGGCGGAGGCGCTGGAGGGGGAGGAGAAGGACAAGTGGAGCAAGGCGCAGCGGCAGCTGCGGGAGAAGGTGGATGGGTTCATCAAGCGCATGCGCTTCGTGCAAGGTGCGTGCGTCGTGCCTCCCATGCTACTTTCTGGTAGATTGTGATTCCACAGGGATGTGGTTTGGTTCTTGAGGCGCCTCGAGAAAGGCAGCTGCGGGAGAACTGTGGATGGGTTCATCTAGCGCATGCGCTTCATGCAAGGTGCGGTGCGGTGCGGTGCGGCTCCTCCGGGTGAGTATCTCTCCACACCGAAGTGGTCTGGTCGTTGAGGCGCCTCAAGAAGGGTAACTGTGGGAGAACTGTGGATGGGTTCATCTAGTGCATATGCTTCTTGCAAGGTGCGTGCAGTCTGGTCGGCCTCCACCCATGCGACTCTCCAGCTGATTATGGTTCCACATGGATGATTGATTCTCGAGGCGCAGAGGCAGCTGGGGGAGAACGTGGATGCGGGCGTTTATAACAGGCGGGCGCGCCTTGTGCAAGGAAGGTAGGTGTGCGTGTCTCCCATCCCATGCGCTTCATTCACAAGCACACGGCGACAATGTTTTATTGTGCTTGTGATTGCGCACACGCTTGGCTCTTCAGTCTTGTATTGGTTCTTTTGGACCCAGTGGCTACAGCGAATTAATGATTGCAGAGAACTGGTTACTTGCACCCGATTCTGGTTGTACACTCTCCTGACTGGATGGCGCTGACAGATACTTCTACCATGTCCCTTTTTGAGAATTCTAAAAAATTGACTCTACTTCTATCATGTCCCTACTGCTTTGGCATCCGCCCCTCCCTCGATCCGCAGCAGTAACCCGTGCGCCTCTTGTTCTCCGCACCCCAGCTCATGCCCGTCACCGGCTTCTTAGAATTCCCAAAAGTCTGTCACCACTCTTTGCACCTGCATCTTTGCCGCGCAGGAGACCGTCGGTTCCGCCCATGGGGAGGGTCTGTGCTGGACTCGGTGATAGGGGCGTTCCTCACACAGAACGTCAGCGACCATGCCAGCAGGTGCGCTCTCATCCCATCCCATCCCATCTCATCTCATCTCATCCCATCTCCTCCCATCTCCTCTCGTCTCGTCTCGTCTCGTCCCGTCCCCTCCCCTCCCCTCCCCTCCGCTCGTCTCCTCTCCTCTCTTCTCCTCTCCTCTCCTCTCGTCTCCTCTCCTCTCCTCTCGTCTCCTCTCCTCTCGTCTCCTCGTCTCCTCTCCTATCGTCTCCTCTCCTATCGTCTCGTCTCCTCTCGTTTCCTCTCCTCTCGTCTCCTCTCGTCTCGTCTCGTCTCGTCTCGTCTCGTCTCGTCTCGTCTCCTCTCCTCTCCTATCGTCTTCTCTCTCTCCTATCGTCTCCTCTCCTCTCGTCTCCTCTCGTCTCCTCTCGTCTCCTCTCCTCTCGTCTCCTCTCGTCTCGTCTCGTCTCCTCTCCTCTCCTCTCCTATCCTCTCGTCTCGTTTCCTCTCCTCTCGTCTCCTCTCCTCGCATCGCATCTCATCTCATCTCATCTCATCTCATCTCATCTCATCGCATCTCATCGCATCGCATTGCATGTATGTCTATCCAACCCCGTCTCACACCCCGCAGCTCACACCGCCCTGCGTAGTCCGAACGTGCCTTGATAGATGTACTCTGCAACAACCGCGTCGCTGTGCCAGCAAGCAACCTCGGTTGCTCTGACTCTTACTCTGAATCACTGGGAAAATGCATTGTGTCGCTCACGGTCTAGCAGCTCCTTTGCCCCACCTCGCGCTCAATTCTGGCCCATCTTCTCCTTCCCTTTCTGTGTCATTCCTGCCTGTCGCCCACCCTCCCCAGCTCTGCTTTCATGCTCTTGGCTTCTCGTTTTCCCCCAAAGAGGGCGAATGAGGGCAAAGACACCACCACTCCATCTCCGCCTAAGGATACGACGACTCGCAACAAGGGCGAGGTTGCAGCCGTAGGTGACCAGCGTGCTGCGAGTGACTTCAACACAGCTGCTGCCTCTGTAGTTGGTGCTACAGTCCATGCTACAGCCGCATTTACACCCCATGCTACAGCCGCATCTACTCCCCATGCTACAGCCGCATCTACTCCCCATGCTACAGCCGCATCTACTCCCCATGCTACAGCCGCATCTACACCCCATGCTACAGCCGCATCTACTCCCCATGCTACAGCCGCATCTACTCCCCATGCTACAGCCGCATCTACTCCCCATGCTACAGCCGCATCTACACCCCATGGTAGAGCTGCCAACCCAGCAGCTGCATCCGCCGTCGCAGACACCGTGTCTCCTTGCCGTCAAGTGCTTCGTCCCACTCACCCTGCCATGCGTGGTAGCAGCATCCAGACACAAGGGAATGCGGGAGGAAGTGCAGGTGGGGATGCAGTAACCGATTCATTGTTGCTGGATACTCTGTGTCCTGCTCTCCTGCAGCTGTCTCTGGTTGACGGTGACCTCCCTCCACCTCCTGTTGCTGCTGCTGCAGCTGAGGCGCCTCAAAAGGTGTTGTTCCAGACTGCTGCTGTTGATGCTGCTGAAACAGCACGACTGTGTGTGGCAGGAGCAGAGGAGAGAGGGCGGAAAGAAAATGATCCGGAGGGTGCGGTAGCAGTTGCGAGGGTGCGAGGAGTGGAGGGATGTGGAGGGAGAGACGAGGGAGAGGAAGGACGAGGAGGGACGCAGGTGGGAGGCGCATGGGTGGGACGCACAAGGCAGGATGCAAGGAGATGCATTGTGCGGGGTGAGAGGGATGAAAGGGGCGGTGGAGCGAGGAGTGGGAATGGTGAGAGTGAAAGGCTGAGGCCGTTGCTGGAAGTGCTGAGTCAGGGGCAAGACACACCGCAGAGCAGTAGAAGGGAGCAAGAAACACCGGATAGGAGCAAGAGCACGTGGAGTGCCCTGGAATATTCGGCACGGGCGTTGAGAGAGGAGAAGGCCGGTGGGTTCAAGGTGCCGGCTGGAAAAAAGGGACTCCAGAAACAGAATCAGCAGCAGCAACAGCAGCAGCAGCAGCAGGGGGTGCATGAGTGGGAGGAGATGCGGCAGCAGGCGCTGGTGAGGATGATGAGGGAGGAGCGGAGGAGGGCGAGGGAGAGGAGGGAAGCGGAAGAGTTTGGGTTGAGATTCGAGGAGGTGCCGTGCGTGCAAGTGGTGGAAGTGGTTGAAATTGAGGAAATTGAGGAAGTTGAGGAAGTTGAGGGGGGGGTAGAAGGAATGGAAGTTGAGGGAGCGGTGGAATTGGTGAGAGGGATGGATGGGATGAGAGGGGTGGGTGGAATGGATGGGGTGGTGGCAGGGAAGGACGTGATGGGAGGTGAGGAGGGCGGCTTGGTGGAGGGCGAGATGGGAGCAGGGATGAATGTGACATGTGCAGTCATGGAGGGTAGGGGGGATGTGGAGGAATGCAGGGACGCGAGAGTGGAAGGGGCTTCCGATTCCCACTCCACTGCCGTCGCCGCCGCCGCCGCCGCCACAGCCACTGCTGTGGCTTCTGCTGCCGCTGCTGCCGTTGTTGCTCCTCCTCCTCATCCGGCTGGTGCTGCTACCGCTGCTGCGGCGGCTGCTGGTGATGGAGATACGTGCGTGGATGACTGCGAGAGCGCAGATCACCCACAAGCAGGGCAGATCACAAGTGATGGCAGCCTGCCGGCTAGCGTGATGGGGCTGAGTGCGGCTTGGGGGGGAGGCAGGGCGGTGCAGGAGTGTGTGGACTGGCATGCGGTGTCACGGACCGATGTGGTGACACTGGCTGGGATCATCGCCGACAGAGGCATGTCCGCCATGCTGGCTGGGCGAATCAAGGTACCACCACCACTGCTTATGACTTTTGAGTCGACTCAAAAGTCACCCCGAATCAAGGTACCACCACCACTGCTTATGTGCCCTGGGTCGCGCCTGCTGAAATTTACTTGACCCATGACAGGTTCACACCACACCACACCATCCTCTGTCCTTCTTATCCCCTGGTTTCCTCCGCCAGGCGCTCCTGAATCGCCTGGAGACTCAGCACGGGTCGCTCAGTCTCGAGTGGCTGCATGCGCTGCCTGTCAGACTCGCACAGTCAGTTCGCCCTTCACATCCGTTGCCTTGCACTCTCCGCTGCCCTTCACTCTCTGCCCTTCACTCTCTGCCTGCCTTGCTCCAAATTCCGGTTTCTTGAGAGTCCATAGCACCCTTTCATCTCCTCGTTCATCTCTGCCCCTTAGGGCCTGCCTATCTGTTCCTTTCTCTCCTCCCCTTTCCTTTACCCGCTTGTCCCTTCCTCTTCATCTCTCTCCCCCAACCCAACCAAGCAGGGACTTTTTAGTGAGCATCAGGGGCATGGGGCTCAAGAGCACCGAGTGCATCCGCCTACTCTGCTTGCGCCACCTTGCTTTTCCAGTAAGCTAACTAACAAGCTAACTAACTATTCAACTAACTAACAAGCTAACTAACTATTCAACTAACTAACAAGCTAACTAACTATATTACTAACTAACCAGCCACCCCACCTTTGACCAAGTCCTTTGCAGCCCTCATACGGACTGCCCCAGTTAACCCAACCCTTCAACTGACCCCTCCATGCGCATGCATCACGTTACTGAAATCACCACTGCCCTGGGCTGATGCGTTTTGTGGTTACAGTGTGCGTGTGCTCACCGCGGCCATGTGCTCACCGCGGCTATGTGCTCACCGCGGCCATGTGCTCACCGCGGCTATGTGCTCACCGCGGCCATGTGCTCACCGCGGCCATGTGCTCACCAGATTTCCCTGAATTGCCTTCCCCTCCACCTCCTGCCTGTGTTCGTTCATTTGCCCCCCGTCTCCACCGCCCCCAGGTGGACACGAACGTGGGGCGCATCTGCGTGCGCCTGGGGTGGGTGCCTCTGGAGCCTCTGCCGCACGACCTGCAGCTGCACCTTCTGGAGCAGTAAGAGCTCGCAGCTGGATGGAAAAAGACTGTTTTTTCTCCCTGCAGCGTGATAGAAATCCGGCTGCAACTTTCTAGGATCCTCAAAGGTCACTGCCGCCCGACTTGCACCAGCACCCGCACCTGCTGGAGAAGAAAGAGTGCATGAGATGAGAGCACCGCTACGTTCGCTGTAGTCATTTTCCACAGCTTTCTGTTCCTGTCCTGTTGCTCTCCCCTCTCCTTCTCTGCCATTGTGTCATGCTGTATGTTTCTCTCCCCTTCTCTCTCCTCCTCTCCCCTCCTCTCCCCTTCACTCCCCTTCTCTCCCCTTTTCTCCCCTTCTCTCCCCTCCTCTCCCCTTCACTCCCCTTCTCTCCCCTTCTCTCCCCCAGGTACCCAGTCCAGGAGAGTCTGCAGCGATACCTGTGGCCACGGCTATGCGGCATGACGCAAGAGATGCTGTCAGTACACATCGCATGGCGTGGCATGGCATGGCATGGCATGGCTTGGCATGGCATGGCATGGCGTGGCATGGCATGGCATGGCGTGGCATGGCATGGCATGGCGTGGCATGGCATGGCATGGCGTGGCATGGCATGGCATGGCGTGGCATGGCGTGGCATGGCATGGCGTGGCATGGCGTGGCATGGCATGGCATGGCATGGCATGGCATGGCATGGCGTGGCATGGCGTGGCATGGCATGGCGTGGCATGGCGTGGCATGGCATGGCATGGCGTGGCATGGCATGGCATGGCATGGCATGGCATGGCATGGCGTGGACTCCCTTCTGCAAGCCATTCCTTGCCCTTAGTCCTGCGCTGCACTGCTCCGCATTGCTCTCTCCAGTTGGCTGCTTTCTCTGTCCATTTGCTTCCACCTTCACACTTTCCGGTGCCAGCCTGTCTGCATTTCATTGCCCTTCGTGCGTACATCCTTCCTCCCCTCCCCCCCACAACAGCTACGAGCTGCACTACCATATGATCACGTTTGGCAAGGTGACTCTCGGAAGCAAACCTTCATCTTCAACTTCGCATCGCCTGCCAGCTCCTTTTTATCCTCACTGGGCGCTCTTTTTTCCCAAGTGTCTCAAGACGTGTCGTGTCAACCTCTTGTCACTCCCATCCCATCCACTGAGTCTCGCTGCGTCTTGACTCCCCCGCTTTCAGCTGCACCTGTTGTGATCGGACGATCCACTGTATTCTGCGTCTTCTCCTCCGTGTACCAATCAGCCCCCCGCCTTGCCCTCCATCATCCTGCCCACCACGCCCCCTCCCTCCCTCCCTGCGTGCCCCCTCCCTGCGTGACCCCTCCCTGCGTGCCCCCTCCCTGCGTGCCCCCTCCCTGCGTGCCCCCTCCCTGCGTGCCCCCTCCCTGCGTGCCCCCTCCCTGCGTGCCCCCTCCCTGCGTGCCCCCTCCCTGCGTGCCCCCTCCCTGCGTGCCCCCTCCCTGCGTGCCCCCTCCCTGCGTGCCCCCTCCCTGCGTGCCCCCTCCCTGCGTGCCCCCTCCCTGCGTGCCCCCTCCCTGCGTGCCCCCCCTGCGTGCCCCCTCCCTGCGTGCCCCCTCCCTGCGTGCCCCTCCCTGCGTGCCCCTCCCTGCGTGCCCCCTCCCTGCGTGCCCCCTCCCTGCGTGCCCCCTCCCTGCGTGCCCCCTCCCTGCGTGCCCCCTCCCTGCGTGCCCCCTCCCTGCGTGCCCCCTCCCTGCGTGCCCCCTCCCTGCGTGCCCCCTCCCTGCGTGCCCCCTCCCTGCGTGCCCCCTCCCTGCGTGCCCCTCCCTGCGTGCCCCCTCCCTGCGTGCCCCCTCCCTGCGTGCCCCCTCCCTGCGTGCCCCCTCCCTGCGTGCCCCCCCCTCCCTGCGTGCCCCTCCCTGCGTGCCCCCTCCCTGCGTGCCCCCTCCCTGCGTGCCCCCTCCCTGCGTGCCCCCTCCCTGCGTGCCCCTCCCTGCGTGCCCCCTCCCTGCGTGCCCCCTCCCTGCGTGCCCCCTCCCTGCGTGCCCCCCTCCCTGCGTGCCCCCTCCCTGCGTGCCCCTCCCTGCGTGCCCCCTCCCTGCGTGCCCCCTCCCTGCGTGCCCCTCCCTGCGTGCCCCCTCCCTGCGTGCCCCCTCCCTGCGTGCCCCCTCCCTGCGTGCCCCCTCCCTGCGTGCCCCCTCCCTGCGTGCCCCCTCCCTGCGTGCCCCCTCCCTGCGTGCCCCCTCCCTGCGTGCCCCCTCCCTGCGTGCCCCCTCCCTGCGTGCCCCCTCCCTGCGTGCCCCCTCCCTGCGTGCCCCCTCCCTGCGTGCCCCCTCCCTGCGTGCCCCTCCCTGCGTGCCCCCTCCCTGCGTGCCCCCTCCCTGCGTGCCCCCTCCCTGCGTGCCCCCTCCCTGCGTGCCCCCTCCCTGCGTGCCCCTCCCTGCGTGCCCCCTCCCTGCGTGCCCCCTCCCTGCGTGCCCCCTCCCTGCGTGCCCCCTCCCTGCGTGCCCCCTCCCTGCGTGCCCCTCCCTGCGTGCCCCCTCCCTGCGTGCCCCCTCCCTGCGTGCCCCCTCCCTGCGTGCCCCCTCCCTGCGTGCCCCTCCCTGCGTGCCCCCTCCCTGCGTGCCCCCTCCCTGCGTGCCCCCTCCCTGCGTGCCCCCTCCCTGCGTGCCCCCTCCCTGCGTGCCCCCTCCCTGCGTGCCCCTCCCTGCGTGCCCCCTCCCTGCGTGCCCCCTCCCTGCGTGCCCCCTCCCTGCGTGCCCCCTCCCTGCGTGCCCCTCCCTGCCCCCTCCCTGCGTGCCCCCCTCCCTGCGTGCCCCCTCCCTGCGTGCCCCCTCCCTGCGTGCCCCCTCCCTGCGTGCCCCCTCCCTCCCTGCGTGCCCCCTCCCTGCGTGCCCCCTCCCTGCGTGCCCCTCCCTGCGTGCCCCCTCCCTGCGTGCCCCCTCCCTGCGTGCCCCCTCCCTGCGTGCCCCCTCCCTGCGTGCCCCCTCCCTGCGTGCCCCCTCCCTGCGTGCGCCCTCCCTGCGTGCCCCCTCCCTGCGTGCCCCCTCCCTGCGTGCCCCCTCCCTGCGTGCCCCCTCCCTGCGTGCCCCCTCCCTGCGTGCCCCCTCCCTGCGTGCCCCCTCCCTGCGTGCCCCCTCCCTGCGTGCCCCCTCCCTGCGTGCCCCCTCCCTGCGTGCCCCCTCCCTGCGTGCCCCCTCCCTGCGTGCCCCCTCCCTGCGTGCCCCCTCCCTGCGTGCCCCTCCCTGCGGCGTGCCCCCTCCCTGCGTGCCCCCTCCCTGCGTGCCCCCTCCCTGCGTGCCCCTCCCTGCGTGCCCCCTCCCTGCGTGCCCCCTCCCTGCGTGCCCCCTCCCTGCGTGCCCCCTCCCTGCGTGCCCCTCCCTGCGTGCCCCCTCCCTGCGTGCCCCCTCCCTGCGTGCCCCCTCCCTGCGTGCCCCCTCCCTGCGTGCCCCCTCCCTGCGTGCCCCCTCCCTGCGTGCCCCCTCCCTGCGTGCCCCCTCCCTGCGTGCCCCCTCCCTGCGTGCCCCCTCCCTGCGTGCCCCCTCCCTGCGTGCCCCCTCCCTGCGTGCGCCCTCCCTGCGTGCCCCCTCCCTGCGTGCCCCCTCCCTGCGTGCCCCCTCCCTGCGTGCCCCCTCCCTGCGTGCCCCCTCCCTGCGTGCCCCCTCCCTGCGTGCCCCCTCCCTGCGTGCCCCCTCCTGCGTGCCCCCTCCCTGCGTGCCCCCTCCCTGCGTGCCCCCTCCCTGCGTGCCCCCTCCCTGCGTGCGCCCTCCCTGCGTGCCCCCTCCCTGCGTGCCCCCTCCCTGCGTGCCCCCTCCCTGCGTGCCCCCTCCCTGCGTGCCCCCTCCCTGCGTGCCCCCTCCCTGCGTGCCCCCTCCCTGCGTGCCCCTCCCTGCGTGCCCCCTCCCTGCGTGCCCCCTCCCTGCGTGCGCCCTCCCTGCGTGCCCCCTCCCTGCGTGCCCCCTCCCTGCGTGCCCCCTCCCTGCGTGCCCCCTCCCTGCGTGCCCCCTCCCTGCGTGCCCCCTCCCTGCGTGCCCCCTCCCTGCGTGCCCCCTCCCTGCGTGCCCCCTCCCTGCGTGCCCCCTCCCTGCGTGCCCCCTCCCTGCGTGCCCCCTCCCTGCGTGCCCCCTCCCTGCGTGCCCTGCCGTCCCCAGGTGTACTGCACGAAGCGCAGCCCCAACTGCATTGCGTGCCCCATGAAGGACCGATGCCAGCACTTCAACAGCGCTCTCAACGCGTATACCCCTCTCCCACCTCCTCCCATCGCCCATGTCATCTTTCCTCTCCTCCCTCCTCCTCCCTTCTTTCATCTCCTTCCTTCTCTCATCGTGTTAAGCTCGGCTCACTCCTCCACGCATCCAGCATTTTCCGGCTACCAGCATTCCATCCGACGCCATCTCTCTTTCCCCCCGCTCTCTCCTCCCCTCCCTCCCAGGAATCGCCCTCTTCTGGCATCTACCCTTCAAGGCAGCGCCACCAGTGCTGGGGGCACAGCGGGCCCGAGGAGGGAAGCGCAAGGTAGCGCCAACCAAGGGGTGCGGGGCCGAGGGGGCTTGAAGACAGACGGTGTAGAGGGGAGAAGAGCCACAGCGGGGCCACCTGCTGCTGCTACTACGTCTGCTGCTTTCACCGCTGGCGCTGCAGGCAGAGCAGCTGCAGTGGCAGCTGCAGCAGCAGCAGAAGCAGCAGCAGCATCACACCCTAAGATCGTTGGGATTCTAGAAGGTGCAGCAGCAGGAGGGGGGGGATCAGCCGCTGCAGAAGCAGCTATTGGACTTGGTTGGGGTGCATCAGCAGGCAGGAGTGGCGCAAAAACTGTGAGGAAGTTTAGAAGCATGACACAGCTGCTGAATGCACAGCGCTCACAGCAGCAACCACAGCAGCAACTCCAGCAGCAACCGCAGCAGCAACCACTGCACAGGCAGCTTTCATATGGCATCTCCCAACCCGGAGCAGCAGTTGCTGCAGGAACAGCAGGAGGGTGCTCTGCAGCATTTCTATCGGGGGCACAGGCAGCAGCACCAGCAGCAGCAGCGAATCACTGCACCCTAGCGGCACTCACAGCAATGCATGACATTCCGGCTCCACAGATAGTGCCCAGGACGGTTGGTACCGCTCAGGTATCACCTGCCCAGTTGGCGCCTAGCACGGCCCTAGCTGGTGGTGTACGGGGTTGTGGGCAGGCAGGGGGGCAGGGAGGGGGTCAGGGAAGGGGGAAGGGAGGGGAGCAGGGAGGGGGGCAGGGAGTAACCACAATGGTGAACCATCCGTGGGAGACATTGGTGTTAGCACCACGGATACAGATGCCAATGCAGATACAGGTACAGACACGGGCACAGACACAGAGACAAACACACGCATTAACACCACAGGCACACGCATTAATGCAACAGGCACACGTATTAACAACACAAGCACACGCATTAACACCACAGGCACACGCCTCAACACCCCAGGCACACGCCTTAACACCCCAGGCACACGCACTGACACCCCAGGCACACGCCTCAACACTCCAGGCACACGCACTGACACCCCATGCACACGCCTTAACACCCCACGAACACGCACTAACACCCCAGGCACACACAAAAGCACAGGCAGGGGCAGAGCCAGGGGGAGAGGCAGAGGCAGGTTTGGTGGCCGAGATTGGGAGGAGCACCCGGGCGCTCCAAAATCCTGGGCACCCAGATAGAAGGAGATTCGGTGGGGTGACATTTGAGTCGACTCAAAATTCCCCTCCATATGGGCACCCAGACAGGAAGAGATTTGGTGGGGAGACGGAGAGAGCGGCAAGAGAGCAGGAAGAGAGAAGGGGCGCTGCTGGGGAAGGGGAAGGGGCGGATGGGCGGAGGTGGGCTGTTTTGGGGCGCTGTGAAGGGTTGAGGTCTACTGGGGAGATGGATTCTAGTGCGTGGTTGAGGTCTGGTGCTGTGCCTGTGGTGGAGGAGCCAGCCAGCCCAGGGGGGAATGAAAGGCACTGTGTGACGGAAGGAATGAAGAGCGCCGGTGGTGATGATATGAGGGCCGCAGGGGGGAATGGAGGGGACAGAGGGGAGGGGGGGTACGGGGGAGGCGGAAGGAGGAGCAGGGTGATTGTGGGAGAAGGGTTGAAGGGAGGCGACGAGGGGGGACGCAAGGGGAGGGAGGTTGATGGTGGTTACGGTGGTGCTGTAGGTGCCGATGGTAGCAATGGCCATGTTAGACATGCCCACGGTGCCCATGATGTTGCTGATGGCGATGGTGATTATAACGGCGGTGACGATGCACATGATGGGCATGATACTCATGACGGTGACAGCAACACTGGTCAAGGCACATCCTGCAGTGGGGATCCAAGCAGGGCCCTGGTGCTGCTTCCAGACGACGTGGCAGCATGCATGCAGCCGCCACCTCTCAAGGCGGCTCAGCGCCTCCGCACCATCCACTACGTGTGAGATCTTATAGTCCTTCTTATAGTTCTTATAGTCCTTATAGTCCTTCTTATAGTCCTTGTAGTACTTATAGTCCTTCTAGTCCTCATAGTCCGCATAGTCTTGATATTCCTTATAGTCTTTATAGTCCTTATAGTCCTTCTTATAGTACTTATAGTCCTTATATTCCTTGTAGTACTTATAGTCCTTTTAGTCCTTTAAGTCCTTATAGTCCGTATAGTCCTGATAGTACTTTTAGTCATTATAGTCCTTATAGTCCTTCAAGTCCTAATAATCCTTATAGTCCTTATATTCCTTACAGTCTGTATACTCCTTATAGTCCTTATCGTCCTATTAGTCCTTATAGTCCTTATACTCCTTATAGTCCTTATAGTCCTAATAGTCCTTATAGTCCTTATACTCCTTATACCTTATCGTCCTAATAGTCCTAATAGTCCTTATAGTCCTAATACTCTTTATAATCCTTATAGTCCTCCATCCATCACAGACTGCTCTTTGGGGACTCCCCATTAGGGACCTGCTTCTATAGATGCTGAGAGAGGATCTTGGAAATTTTATATCTTCTTTTTATATAAAAGCGTTTTTAGGCCCTTAGTACCTCAATATTAATCTCCCAAATTGCTTAGTTCCCTATTTCCCGATCCATCTACTCCCTTCCCACTCTCACCCACTCGCTATCAACACTCCCATCTGACAAAGTCCCCAGAACCCTGCCTTCCCTATGTAACATGTATCATGCATCATGAATTATGCATCATGTATCATTCATCATGCATCATGTATCATGCATCATGTATCATGAATCATGCATCATGTATCATGCATCATGAATCATGCATCATTCATCATGCATCATGTATCATGCATCATGCATCATGAATCATGCATCATGTATCATTTATCATGCATCATGTATCATGCATCACGCGTTGCTTGCAGGTACGAGCTACCCGATAACTCCCCTCTGCTACAAGCGGTGAGTATCCCCTCCATGGTCCATCAGTCCTAGTATCCCCTCTCTCCCAGACACCTCCGCGTGTTCTATAAGCCAAGCAGTAACCCAAATATACTAGGCCGTGCGTCCTTCACCAGGTGTGCTTCGCCACATGCATTCCACCCTCTTCCTCCTCTTTCCCTCCTGCCCACCTTTTGCTCCTCTCCTGCACACCACCGTGCCATGCTGCCTGCCACTTCTCTCTGCCTGCTTTCTGCCCCCTTGTCTCTCCCAGTATTCCCTCTTCCATCGTCTTGATCCCTTGTACCTTACCCCTCTCCCCTCTCCCCGCCTCCCGACCCTTCCTCCCCCCATCTGTGTGTCAGTTGGATCCTCGCCACCCTGACGACCGTTGCCCGTACCTGCTCGCTCTCTGGGGTCCAGGTACCTCCTTGCTCTGTTTTTTCGTTTTGAGACGTCTGAGAAATAAATTACTATCGCACGTACCTGCTCGCTCTCTGGGGCCCAGGTACACCCGTGTGTGTATAAGTCGATTTTTAATGAGTCGACTCAAAGATCGACTTATTACACACGGACTATCGCACGTACCTGCTCGCTTTCTGCGGCCCAGGTGCATCTCTGAGACATGTCACAGCCCCACTCTTGTCCCCTTGTGCCGTCCCCACTCCCGCCCGCTCTCCACCCTTGTGCTCTCCGCACGTCCACTCACTTTGCTTGTGCCCACCTATTCGCAGGTGAAACCCTCCCTGCCACGCCCACGCTGCCGGAGATGGCACGGCAGATGGCGGAGGAGAAGCGCACGCAGCAGCAGCAGCAGCACAAGGGGACGCAGGGAGGCTCGCAGGAGGTGGGAGAGAAGCAGAGGAGGATGCAGCTGGGGAGGGGGGGAAATGCGGCACAGGGAGCTGGAGGGGTGAGGGGGGTGGCAGAAACATGGGTGAGCAGCGGGGTGGAGCGAAGCAGGGAAGAAGGGGCAGCTGTTAAGAAGCCGCAAAATCAGCAAGTTGTTATTCGGGAGATGACGGAGACAGAGGTGCTATTAGAGAGAAGCGCACCCAGGGGGGCAGGATGGGAGGGAAGTGGCGCTAATGGCGCTAATAAAGCCGCTGCAGGGGAAGAGTGTGGGGGGGGAGGGGGGCGGGATGTGGTGATAGTGGAGGAGGTGGAGGACGAGGAGGCGGGGGGGGTGCTGGGAGGGGGTGCGCGGGGGGAGGATGGAGACGCCAAGGGTGGTGGTACTGGAGCACCATGGATGGGCATGGGGGGTGAGGCTTGTGAGCTAGGCTGTGGGAGCGGCGGTGGCGGCGTTGGTGGCGGTGGTTGCGGTGGTGGTGGTGTTGGTGCTGCTGCTGCTGCTGCTGCTGGCACGGTGGCCAAGGGTGCTGGTGTGTTCAATGGAGGCATGGCCAATGATGAGGATACGGTGCCAGGGACACTGCTGGTGGGTTGGGTTCCACTCTACCTACCTATGCGTCCTTCACGGCCTTGCACTCTCCTTCGCTCCTTCACGGCCTTCACTTTTGTCGGTTCACTCCTCTTCCACTCCGCACCACGCCCACTCTCCACTCCACCCCTCGTGCATGCCGTCTCCCACTCTTCCCTCAAGCGGTTCTTTGTATTGCTGGAACCTGGGTACAAGCAAGGCATTCAGGTAAGGTACAGGCACAGTGATGGGTTAGCTGGTCTAGGCAGGCCGGGGCCTGCACGGGCCCTTCTTGGGGCTCGACGATGGCGAAGCAGTCCCCTAGGGACATGTCCGCGTCCGGGTGGCCCAGAGTGGGCCACTCTGCGGGCGAGGCCTCGTTCACCTTCCCGAGGTATGTTAGGGCTTGTCCCCTCTGGAGTGTGACCGACCAGCGCTGGCGGAACTGGCTGAGCAGTTTCGCCACCTGGTAGGAGCTTGGGTCCGCGTTGAATAGGCGCCGAGCTGCGGTATCCGCCAACAGCTTCAGGAAGGTAGGCACTTCGTCGCATGGGCAGCCGTATGTCTCTCCCAACTCACACCCTCTCCTCCCCTTTCACGTCCTGCCTGCCTGCCTGCCCGCCCGCCCGCCCGCCCGCCCGCCTGCCTGCCTGTTTGCCTGCCTGTGTGCCTGCGTGCCTGCGTGCATGTTTGCCGGCCTGTCTGCATGCCATCAGATTCCTTGCCGCACTGCAATGCGTGGGAGCTTCCCGTTGAACGGCACGTACTTCCAAAACAACGAGGTGAGGGGAGGAGCATGCACGCCTGCCCTTGCCTCCGTGGCGCTCACCCACTCTCCATCCTTCCATCTTGTTAGAATTAGTCAACCATCTATCGTCTCCCCCTCCCACCATTCGCACCCTCCGCCTTTCGACTTTACAAACCCATAAACCCAGCAACCAACAGTTCGCCACCCAGCCCAATCTACAGACTCGCCCCTCTCCCTCGCCCTCCCTTTCTGATCCATCCGCTGATTTTTGAGGCGCCTCAAAAATTGACTCCTCTCGGACGCCCTCCCTTTCCAATCCATCCGCTCGCCCTTTCGTGCCCTTTCGTGCCCTTCTGATGGACGCTGTTGTCCGCGTCCGCACAGGTGTTTGCCGATGCCGCCACGAGCAAGCAGCCTCTAGCTGTTCCTCGCTCTCTACTCTGGTGCCTCCCCCGGCGCTTCGTGCTATGTGGCACCTCCATCCCCTCTGTCTTCAAAGGTACCCTTCCACCCATGCTCCGCTCCCAATGTATATGTTTGACACAAATAAAAAATAGACTCCAATTCCCCTCATTTCACACCTGCCCCACCTTCCACTCCATCCTCCTCTCGCCTTGCCCACACTCCTCCCCCAAGTGAGGCCGCGCAATCTCAAGAAATACGTGCTTGCAGGGTGTTTTCGATAATTCTCTAAAACAGCTTGCAGCAGCACCTTCTCACGATGTGCTCTGTGCTCTGTGCTTCGGCTCCTCCTTGTGCCCTCAGGGCTCACAACTCTGCAGGTCCAGTCTGTCTTCTGGCAAGGTACGGTATAAGGTCCATCATACATCGTCGCAAGGTACAGCGAAGCATGGTTCATCCTCAGCTCCTCAAGCTAGCTGCAGGGGGGATATCCCCCCCAGAGTAGTTGTGTGGCCCCTGCTCGAAGGCACGCAGCCAAGGAACTGCAACCCTCAAGCTCCTCCCATCGTTGCATTCCACCACTCTGACTAGCCGTTTACCGGTTCATACGGTGAGTGGGCATGGCCCTTTAAGTTAACGCGCTGTAAGCGGTCTTCAGAATCCCTTTAAGCTCGAACTGACTTCCTCGGCAATCTATTTGTATCAGTATCACGTCACGAGTGTACACTCCACATTAATGCTCCCCCTGACTGCAGCATGCCCCTTGCGTGCAATGGCTCCTCATTCCCCCCTAAACCTCGCAACCAACGATCTCTCCCCTCCCCTCCACTCTCATCCATCCCTCCCCTCCCCTCTCCCTCTCACCGCACCGAGCTACGTGTGGAGTCTCCCCCATTTCTGGGGCGCCTAAAAAATAGACCCCTCCCCTCTCCCCGTCACTGCACCAGGCTATGTGTGCATCAGAGCGTTCGACCGCACCTCCCGAGCTCCTGAGCCCCTCGTGCCCCATCTACACAGCAGCCCTTCCTCCAAGCTCAAAGCCAGCAAAGGCAGCAAAGGCAGCAGCAACGGGGACGGGAACGGCGTTCAGAGGCAGTCAGGGGGCAGTAACATGGTGGCATGACAAACCCTGTCGTTATGTAATGAGCGGCAGTCTGTACATATACATTATGCTACCGTACTGGTGCTGTGGCTCTGGCATGTGCTGCTGCTGGCTGGAGCCTGCTTGATGTGTACAAGATGCATTTGATTATTCCTGGCGCCGTATACAATTACATACCCACTACATCTCGACCAGCTGAAAAATCCACAAGGAGCAGTCACAACAAGTTCACAAGGAGCAGTCTACCACTATAAGCCACCGAACCGAAGCCTGGCATGACCAACGCCCTCCCCCCTCAGCAGATATCGTCCTCTGAGCTAGCAGACTCCTCATTCCCCACCTCCTCATCGTCATCATCATCATCAGACCCACTCCCACTGCTGCTGCTGCTGCCGCTGCTGCTGCCACTCCCGCTGCTGCTGCTACTCCCACTCCCACTAGCACTCCCAGAGCTGCTGCTCCCATCAGATCCCTGCGGTTTGGCCGTCGCCCCGTCCCCTTCCCCTGCCCCTTGCCCTGCCCCTCCGCCTGCCCCTTCCCCTGCATCTCCTTGCGGCCGTCCCTCCTCCTCCTCCTCCTCCTCCTCTACCTCGATCTCTTCATACTCCACCTCCTCCTCCTCCCCCACCTCCTCCCCACCGCCCCCCACCTCTATCTGCTCTACAACCCCCGTTTTGCTGGGGTAGAGCGACGCGGAACCCCCCCCGTAAGCGTCCTTAGCTGCTGATGAAGCAGCATAAGAAGTACTAGCAGTGTTGAACCGTCCAATTCCACCATCCCCCATCCCTCCCCCTCCTCCTCCCCCACCCGCACCAGCAGCACCAGCAGCAGCAGTACCGCCTCTGTTCATCCCCACACTGTAATCTCTCCCCTTGCTAGCATTGGAAGCGCCTGATGCGCCTACCCCCTCGCCCATACCCCGTCCTCTACCACCAGCAACACCACCCCCAGAAGCACCAAAGCCACCAGCAATGGCTTTGCTATCCCGAGCTGCAGCAGCAGCAGCCAAGGAAGCGGAGCCGGGCAAACCACCCCCCTCGTTCCCTGCCCCCGGGTCTGCTGCTGCTGCTGCACCATTGCCCTTCTTGCGCTTTGCTGCTGCTGCTGCCCCTGTTCCGTCACGCTCTGCAATGGGGGGGTGGGGGGGGGCGGGAAGTGGGGGATGGGAAACGGAGACAGAAAAACGAGGGCCTGGCTTTTCATAGAGACACAAATGCTGAAGGAGCCAGCCAGACTGGGAGAAAATACCATGAAAAATTTAACTACACGACAAAAAAAATAAGGGGGGGGGAAAAATACAGACCAGACTTGTGAATTAAATATTACTACACGACTGACGCTATAAGGGGACCAGTGGAAGTGACTCTCACCTCGCGGCTTCTTCCCTGCTTGACCCCCACCATTCTCGCCCCTCCCAGCCCGGCCAGGAGAAGCCCCCCCCACATCCCCCTCCCTGCCCCCATGGGCCCCGCCTGCGCTCCCAAACCCCTTCCCCTCGTCCAATGTCAGATTCCACCCCCCTCCCCCCCCGCCTCCCCCTCCCGCGCCCCCCCCGCCTCCCTTATCCCCCCCTCCCGGCCCCCCAGCTCCACCACCCGCTGCTCCCCCCGCGAGCGCGTCAGCCGTGCCCGCCGTGCCCGCGGGTTTCTCCTTGGCCATGCGCACGTGGCGCAGGTTGCGCACGGCGTAGTTCAGGCGCTCCAGGCGGAAGGAGCGCCCGTCGAAGAACACGAGGCCCTCCCCGTCGCGGCACGGGTCTACGTGGCCCTCGAACTCCACGGGCGGTTTCCCCGGCTGGTTGTTCGGCAGCTCCACCCCCACCTTGCTCTCCCCGCGGCTCTCCCCGCCCCGCCGCAGCGTGCCGGGGCGCGCGGAATCGATCGACGCGGGCTTGAACTCGTCTGGGGGAAGCGAAAGAGGGGAGGTGGGAAGGCGGGCGGAAGGGAAGGGGGGAGGAGGGGGAAGGGGGAGGGGAGGGGGAGGAGGGTGGAGGGGGGGGAGGAGAAAAGGGAAGGGAATCAGCCTTCTATCTCAGTTCTTTTACGTCATCCGCGTTATTCTGACGCTTGCAGCGTACCACCAACTAGGAAAAGAGTTGTACAAGCATCCCCGTTACAAGCGTAGGCGCGCGCGCGCACATCGGAGCGTGTAATACTGCACGGGCGCGTTGGGGCGGAAGGAGTCCCCCAGAACGAGCGGGTACCACGTCTCCTCCGTAGGAGCAGCCTCCGAGCCCGCCACGTTAGGTCGAGCCATCACGGTCCCGACACGCGGGCTGTAACGACTCTACGACACGACACGACACGACGCGACGTGACGCGACGTGACGCGACGCGACGGATGAGGAGTGAAAGGTAACGAGCGACTCAAGATGCGATAGTGCCCACGAGAGACGCGCGGGTGCCAGTAGAAGCCGAGTAGGATAACCAAGAATTCTACACGAGATTTGTTGCGGAAGGCGCGGGAGTGCCGCGGCACGCACGGCCACAAACGACCGCCGTTCTTGTTACACGGGTGCTTCAGAAACGCACAACCCCATAGTAGCTGGGCGGCAGATTTGAATTTCGTGGCAGAGCTGCACGGCAATCCCGTTATAGCAGTTTACGCCTTACTGATTGAATTATGTGATAAGGAAATCCATTTCCTTACACCCTCCCCCCTCCAAGGTATGGTCTTAGTTAAGACCGCCGACGTCGCGCACATTGCGTGACTGGAGGTAGACCCGTAACACCGAGTAATTCTCGATCTGTGCCAGGGGCAACCAACTGTTTTCTAGGGCCGTCCGGTCCTTCCAAGATATCAGAAACTCGATTAGAACATTCGCATGTTCGACAGTAGGCTCGGCGAGCGGTCGGATGTTCAGGGTCGCTCGGTGACGTGGTAATTTACTGGTGCTGGCGATGTATGGTCGAAGTATTCGCACGTGGCGTGATGGGCTGTCGTTAGTAGATGGGCTGTAACGGAGGATAACATTTGGCTGATGGTGACTAGTCCACAGTAGCGGGGGCAGAGTTTTGGGACGATGGGCAGTCGAAGGTTCTGGGTGTCGAGCAGTACTAAGTCATCAGCCTGGTAAGTGACTGCTCGTCGGTGTAGATCAGCGTTGCGCTTAGAAATTACTTTCGCGCGCTTAATGGCTTCAGTTGCTCGCTCCCGGGAATTGTGTCATATTTCGGCGAACTGTAGGGCTCGTGGTACAGGATTTTCGATGTTGGGCGTGATCGGTACTGTAGGGTTCTGCCCGTCGTTCAGGTAAAACGGTAACTGTCGTGTAGTGGTTGACGGGGCATTATTATAGGCGAACTCAATCAGTGACAGTTGATGTTCCCAGTCGGCCAAAATCATCGCAGGTGGCGCGAATCAACCGCTCCATTGTTTGATTGGCCCGCTCGGTCTGTCCGCCAGTCTCGGGATGGTAGGCGGAGGAGAACTGTAGGTGCGTGCCAATCTGTTCCCAGAGGTTGCGCCAAAAATTGCTGGTGAATTTCGTGTCATGATCTAAAATGATGGCGGATGGGATTTTGTGAAGGTGAACGACGGTCGAGATGAAGAGGCGGGTTGTTTCTTCGGCTGAGATGCTTTTCTTGCAGGCGGCGAAGTGGGCCATCTTCGTCAGCTTATCGACGATGACATATATCGCGTTATTGCAGCCGTCCTTGGCAGGCAATTCTGTAACGAAATCCATCATCACCTGCTGTCACGCGCCCTCAGGCGGCGCAATCGGTTGCAACTGTCCAACTGGCTTCTGCTTTGATGATTTAATGGTTTGGCAGGTTCTCCATGAAACCACATGCCGCTGCACGTCCCCTTGTATGTCGGGCCAAAAATAGTATCTGGTCAGCTGCTGCCAGAAATAATATATTGTTTTCTCCACTCCGAAGTGCCATGAAACGGTGCTATCATGAGCTTCTTGTAAAAGCAATTCTCGAAGTAAACTGTGCTCCGGTACCTAGATGCGGTCAGTCCCTGCCTTTACGTTATAGACTCCCTTAGCCGTTACGAGCTGTTCGTACCCACCCGACGTAAAGAATCTGTCCGTCTGGTACCCGTGGGTAAATAGGTCGGTTAATAGCGGGGAAGTTTGGGCGAGGATTATGGAATTAAGATGGGCGGATGGGTGAGAAAGGGGGTATGCGATGTTGGATGCCACTTTCTTGTAGGTGATCGTGTAATGGAAGCTGGACTCCATAAAATCCAACCACCGAATCTGTCGTGGGTTGAGTAATGCTGTGCGCAGATGTACTGTAGGCTTCGGTGGTCTGTCCGTATTGTCATGTCCGCGCCTGTCAGGTAGCACCACCACATTTTGAACATTTCCTTGTCGTGTATCGGATAGTTTTGCTCGGGCGAGTTCAATTTTCATGACTCGTACGCGATTGGTTGTAAACCTTCGCCGAAGTCCTGTAACAGTACTGTTGCTCCAATAGCAATATTGTTGATATCTGTGATTACTTCGAATGGACGGTAAGGATCGACGATGCAAAGGACAGGGGCTGAGCACGGAAAAGTCTTGAGCCCAGAGAAGGCAGCTTGCTCTTTCTCCCCGCACCTATACTCAGTCCCTTTCCGCCGCAGGTCAGTTAACGGTGCAGTTACCCCCGCCATATTTGGGATAAATCTCCGAACATAATTGACGAACCCTGAAAAACTTTGCAGGTCCTGCAGATTCTTAGGCGGTAGTCAGGCTTGCAATGTCTCGATCTTGCGCGGGTCCACTTCGATGCCCTTTGTGGAAATAACGTGTCCCATAAATTCTAAACGGTCTTTTAAAAACTCGCACTTAGACCCCTTCGTAAGCAGCCGATGCTCGTGCAGTAGCATGAAAACTGCTTTGAGGTCCTTTAAGTGCTGCTCCCGGGCCTCGCTGTGGATCAGGATGTCGTCTGGGTAGACTATAACACACTTATCTACGTGTGAACTGAAGAGCTTGTTCATGGTCATCTGAAAAGTTGCAGGGCGTTCGTCAACCCGAAGGGCATAACTACATACTCAAGACTCCTGTACCTAGTATGAAACGCGGTCTTGTGATAGTCAGCTGCGACTATGCGAATCTGATGGTAACCCCATCGTAAATATGTTTTGGAGAAGAAGCAAACTTTGCGAAGTTGGTCGATCAGTTCGTCGGCGCGCGGGATAGGGTAACGCGGCTTGATAGTCACCCTGTTCTGTGCTCTGTAATCAGTGCACATTCGGTACCTACTGTCCTTCTTTGGGGTGAACAATATGGGGGCGGCGAATGGCGAGGAGCTCGGGCGGATGAATTTATTCTCTAGTAAGTAATCTAACTCCTTCCGCAATTCCTCTAAGTACGGCTGTGTTAATCGAAACAGCCACTGCATTGTGGGCTGCGTCCCTGGTTCTAATTTGATTCGATAGTCAAAGGGCCATTCCGGTGGTAATCCTTCGGGCAGGTCGTTTGGAAATATCTGCGGGAATCTGCGAATCAGCTGTGCTGAATCGGCCGACACTGCTGCTGTCAGCTTCTCTAAATCAGACAGCGCCGACGCCACGTCGACGGCACGAATGACTACAGTGAAGACTTCCCCTCCCCGCATGTCCGCTCTTTTGATCGCCACGGAGTTCACCTGTGTCACTCCCCCTGTGATCCCCTTCGTCCATTCTGGTAACGTCAAGCTACGGCTGTTGATCTTGACGGAACAACTGCCGGTCGTCCAGTCAATTAGAGGGTTGAATCGTCGCAGCCAATCCCGTCCCAGCAACTTATCAAAGCCGTCGAGTGTTGTTGCAAGCATCCCCATCGAAAAATTGAAGTTATCTCCGCAGCGTACCCTAATCTTGTCTGCCCTGTCAAGTATTGCTAGTGGGGTCCCATCGACGAGTCGGGCGTCAATCTCCGGTAGACACCTATCTAAGGGTACAAGTATTTTGGCGGTCGCGAGGTTGATCAGACTGTGGCTAGCTCCTTCGTCCACGAAGATTTTATTTTTTCCCCCTTGAACCCTACGCTCCACATAAATGGGGTAATCTGCCACTGCACCCTCCTTATTCAGCCGAGTTCGGTCGATTGCGTGGATCGGTACCAGTACTCGATGAGGGAAGCAGGTTCCATTAGTATAGGCCCGTTAACTACTGATACTAAGCATTTTCCTGATCGCTGAAACTTCCCTGCCCCTAATTCCGCTTCGTCCCCTCCTCTGGGCATTATGACTTGCGGTGTCCTAGCCTGTTACACATAAAACAACGACCCTTAAAGGCGGGAACTGTTGAGTTTGATGTTTTAACAGCGTGTACTGTGGCATGCTCGATTTGTCCTTGATTGCGACTTCCGTCATAAGAACCCGCCCTTGGCTTGAAGAACGATTCCAACTGCTCCGCAAACCTCTGCGCCTCCATCAAATCCGTAATTTCCCTCATCTGTTTTTCTCAGCGCAGTTCCGGTCGAAGTCCCCTGATGTATATGTCGATTTTTTCGTCAGGGTGAATGTAGCCGACCTGGTCACATAAATTCTTGAAGCTGCTAGTGTAGTCGTGGACCGATCGGAGTTGGCGCTATGTGCGAAGCCAGTCGCGCGCTTGATTGCTTGCATTGACGTGTTCGAAGCGACGACGAATTCCCGCGCACCACGATTGCCACATGCTGTACTCGTCCACTTCCCGCCCAGTGATTGGTCGTGCGAAAACATCCGATCACGCACGACGTCATATCTGGCTCCTGCGACTGAATTATCTGCCGCCACCAATCCATAGCCGGTCCACGTAGGAGCGACACGACGTATCGAATTTTCTGCGCGTCGTCGCTTACGAGGTTGCAGTCGTAAAGAACGTTCGGGTAAAAAATCCACTCGCTGACGGGCAAGCTGCCACACTGGCTTGGGTCAAACGTGTGTTTCCTGGTCCCCGCTCGCTAAACCGGCCCTCTCCACCGTCCTGCACTGCGCCCCATCGTGCTGCACCGCTCAGCACCACACTGCACCTCTTCGCACCGCACGGCACCGCACTGCACCGCGCCCCATCGCACTGCACCGCTCTGCACTGTGCGGCGCTGCACTGCACCGCGTTCCACCGCACTGCACCGTATAACTCTCCACTGCTCCTCTTCGCTCCGTCCCGCCCTTCACCGCCTGTTCCCGGCTGCAGCGGCCATAATGGCGGACTCGGTGCTGCGCTTTGACACGGAGGGTCAGCCGGTTGAGTTCGACGCGTGACTCGTCGATCTCCACCGTCCCCTCACTGGTCAGCGGCAGGACGACCACTCCCTGGCCGTCCACATTGGCGGTACGCTCCTCTGCCCTGACCCCCCTGCTGCTCTTCCTGCTGACCCCACGTCTGCTGACCGTGAGTCCGCCGCCGCTGCTGCCCTTGCCCGTGCTGTCTGGCTGTCGCGTGACGCTGTCGCTCAGCTCGTGATTAGCCATGCCCTCCCTTTGTCTGAGCGCCCCCACTGTAAGTCGGTCAGGGCTGCGCAGGAGTTCCTACAGGCTGTTGTCGAGCGTTATTCCACCCCGTCCTCTGCCTCTACCAGCCGCCTGATCCTTCCCATGCTCTTCTTTGATCTCGCGT